TTTATATTAACATAGGGTGTTTCATAAAAATTATTTACAGTTTCTTCAGGCAAAATCATCTAAATCATTCTTGAAACACGATTAACTCCTAAAATATTGGAAATGTAATAATACAAAAATTCTATACTTAAAGTATCTGTACTTCTCTACTTAAATTCTATACTTCAATTCTATACTAATCTTCTATGCCAAGTTCATTGGAAAATTTAAAAATATCAAAAAACTGGAGTGAAAGAAGTGTAATACAAGTTTGTGGATGAGGTGCTCCATGCCCCTGGAACACCAAATTAATAATCCAACAACTAGTAAACTAAAATTACTCCAATGTTTTGTAAACAAATTAATTTTCTGAAACACCCTATAGATACGTAGATGAATAAAGTAGACCATACACTATTATGCATTAAAGTAATATTGTGCAACAAGCGAATTAAAAATTACCGATAGATTTGAAATTCAACGCACAAAACTATTTTAATTATTCATAAATTTTTTGTTTCCCGAATGATTCGCACTAGTAGATGCAATGAGCAATGTGCAATATAATTTTATTGACGGTTACATGCAAAAAAAATCCTCGATAATTCTAAAATCGCCGGTCCGAGGCTCTGTAACGGGGGCCTAAGAATACCGTTACTGCGGCATCTACCAGGCAGCAGGTAAAAGTCCTGCGACTGGCCACCGTGCAGCTTCAGTGGTAGTAGCAACAACAAGGCTGAGCTCTGTATATAGTTAGCAATAAAACTCCAAATACGATAAACAACATACATATATTGGTAGATTTATTTTTCCTTGATTCCTGTGTTTTTCCAAAGCAAATAATCATTCAAAAATTTTTCGTTCCATTAAACTCTGCAATCGCTTTCTACAGCAGCGGTTGTGACGTTTGTGGAATTTGCAAAAAACGAAATCGAATCGTAGTAATTTTGCGAGTTTACGAATGAACCGACAAATTCAAAATAATCCCGGGAATCCGTTTGTTTCGAGTCGAATCCAGTTTATTTTTTCTCGTGAAAATTCATCGGCTACTATCACGACGAAGCGGCTAGAGCACAACTGGCTAGCGCTAGATCGATCTCACTTTTAATACGATAAGAGGGAAAGCCAACGCTGGAAAACTCGACGCTTTCCTTGATACAATTTTTGAATATGCGAAATTTCTATCAAACCAACGCACAATTATCTATATGTCCGTCTATCGACATTACAATGGCGACGAAAACGAATAATTCACTCGATGGGATGCATAGATAACAACTTAAGTCTCCACGCACAAAATTCTAGAAATTTAATAATCAGAAAATACCCAAGAGAAGCGCTTTATTCCCTCAGAGCATGCTCGCAAGATATCGTCGAATTTAGCGTTTCTCGCGTACAAATTTTCCAACGAAAGGTTTTTCAGGAAAATATTTATAAAGGCGCTCGTTTGTCAAGTATACACGCACAAGATCGCATTGCACAATTTGATGTTATTAGGCTTGTAAGATAGAAATTCAATTGAAGACGGTTTTCCAGGCGGGGAATTGTGGGGTGCACGATGATTTTGTTTAAAGTAGGTTATTGCGTGCATCCCACAATAGGCGTCCGTTTCGACTTTTCCAATGCAAAATCCAACGAATTTGTTAACGTCCCGGTCTAACATTCGCCCTCTTACAAGTTTAATGAACGAGAATTATTTCGTCACGCACAAGAAGTGCCTTGGCATCGGTTAGGAAACTGTTAGAAAACACGGTAATGCAAATACAAAATTAATCGATTAGATTAGGGACCAAAATTCCCGGAAAAAATTTAGCTGAAATCCGAATGATAACAAATCAAACGTTCAAAAAGTGTATCAAGATACCGCTTTCTTTCTCAACAAATTCCAGGAGCAATAAATTCCAATTACTATGAAATGTGTTCAAAAGTCAGAAACTACAACTACAGTAATGATAAGAAACATGTTTAGCAATGCCAAAAATTTACCGGTCATTTTGTCCCACTACCAAAATTTTCATTAGATTGTACCTCAGTTTATTAGCAAAGTAAAACACAATTTATATACAAAATCTATCAGTTTCGATCGATTTGTAGCGAATAATCCAATAAATTTTATTATTTTCAAAGCATTTTGGCATTAGTAAGTAAATCAACAAACAAAACAAAAATTACGCAGGTGCTATACAAATCTAACCATGTCTGATATTTACGATGCAATTTATACAGGGTGAGTCGAAAACCAACTAAATTTATAAAAATGATAAAAATTCTGATCCGATTTTCATCTGATTGCATATTCATCTCAAGTTATAGTAAAATCCAAAATCGAACATCCGGTTGACAACATCTGGTATACAAAATTAATGATTGTAAGTGATTTCAAAATCAATTGTATATAGTATTTAAAAACAACTTCAATAAGATCACTCCTTCAGACTACTGTAAATAAAGTGTATTTTCAAAAATAATAAAACTACGCATTCAGCAACAACATGAAAAATGAAATTTGTAACGAAATTGATGGTTTGATTTGATTCATATTATCGAACCATATTCAATTGATTTTGAAACATTTTGCATAAGACACTTGTAAAGATTCATCCTGTATTCTTACAATTGGAGTAATACATGTGAAAAAGTAATCAAAAACTACAACACTAACGATATTAAACAAGATTTTTGGGAGCAAAAATGGGTAAGGAGATTCCAGATTAAAAAATATGAAATAAAAATACAAAAAAAAATATTTTATTTAACTGAATTTCAGCGTTATCGGATTTTTACTTTACTCTCTTCGCCTAGTATATTTCTCAATGTAGCCTTTATTTTGCAAAAACTGAAATTGTGATATTTTGTACTTATAATCCTATTTTTTTAGTACCTAGTTATTTTGATTAATTCAGTTAATCGTAAATTAAAAAATTATTTTTGCAAATTTGTGATACACTCGGTGCGTTTTTAAAGTTTATTTGTATATTACAACCTAATATATTTTTAATGTATAATTTCGCGGTTCAAGCTGCATTAAAATTTCCTTAAAAGTCACATTCAACAATTAACATCGATCAGCAGAATTTTAACACCGCTTGAACCAACAATAGAATCTTAATATAGTCATGAACATTGTTTTATAACTCAATTAAGATTCGTTAGTTCGTAAGATAAACTATGAGAAAGGTGGAAAAATATAATGAATTATAATAGGTACCCCATGTTATATATTTTCCACCTTATTCATAACAACCCCCGCATTCGCCGTGAAACTTAAACCAAACCTCCAAATATCTAATTTTAATTCCATACTTAGTGTTAATAATTAGATCATTTCAAGACAAGCGTTTGGTATAAGTTCCACAAAAACTCCCTGCAACGCAAATTCTACCTATTTATTGCATTCACTTAAGTGAAACCCCCCAAAACGCATCGCCCCCTTTAATTCCCCAAAACAAAACACACAAACTTCCGTTAAGCCGCGTTCACGCCGCGCGTTCCAAATCGCGCGGCGTCGGCGCGGTTTGGGCCTTCGACGCAGCAACTAATCGCCCCTCCGCGGTAGATCCAGCCAGTTTGTCGTGCCGTTTCCATGCCGTCACTCCCCCCGGCGGTCGGCCCGCCACCGGCGGCCCCACGTCGACCGCAGCCGGCGCGCGTGGCGGTCTCACGATGTGCCCCAGCGGCTTAATGAATTGAGGATGGGCTCTTGGGAGGCCAACAACTGAATCGTTACTCGCGTAACGAGTGGCCTCTCTACTCTTCGTATCGCATCTGGACCGGCGGCCGCCGCAACAAGTCGCAGCGACCAGTCGCGCGCTTCGTTGCTCCCCGTGTTTCAATTAATCGACGGTGCTTGGATTAGGGACGAGGATTCGTTTGTGTATACGTAGTTCGATGCAGTGCTCGTTTGCTCTGCTGGTTTGGTGTATTTATGCAGTGGTTTACCGGCAATCTGGTGGTCTACAAATGAGGCGCTGCCCGGCGAATAACTGCCAGTTAATATAAGTTTAGTCACATTATACCTGGGTATTACACTGGTGATTGTTTACCGGAATACAGCGCTTCCGTTGCCGGGTTTCGTTCGAATCAGACGATTTGGTGTTTTGAGATCATTAAAAACGTCTGATTGATCCTCTCGAATCATCTACACCTGTTTTTTGGGAAAGTACATCGGGGAATGCCCAATCGAGTTTTCGACATTTGGAAAAAAATTACACTCTTCTTCTTGCATGCTCGGTGTTCGGTGTTTAATTGTTCGATGTTGGGTGTCGTGCAAATTGTACAGTTTTTGATACTTTTATAAAAAAAAACTAAAAATATCCGGCTCGGCGATAAAGAGGACTTAGATGTACTGCGATAGGTGTAGGTGCGAAAGGGCGCGGATGAAACTCGGCGCATTCTCTCGAACATTTTGGAGCTGTCGTTGTTAAAACTGCGGTCGAGACCGCGAGTAGAATTGCTCGAACGAGCGATTCTGCGTGGCGGGGTCGCAGATTTTATCATAAAATTCAAAGCGCACAAATTATAGTTACTTTGAAATGAATAAGCCATTTTGATTGCCCGCCAAGTCCAGGAAGGGTTCCCAACGAACTGACACATTCAAACAGAACAAACACAATTCCAACAAAATTATACTTTCCCCGAATAGGTAGAATTCTCGTTGCAATTTTAATTAAGCAGGTACATTCAAAAGCAGCAGTACTATTAACATATTAATGTTGTATTCTATCAGAAACTTTAACATTTCGGATAAGTCATCGCCTTTAGATTATACTTAAAATTTGTTCTACTGGATACAATTTAATTATAGGTACAACTTCAAAACTATGGAAGGAGTAATATAGGGTCTATTAAAGATAAAAATTAACTGTATATTTGAATTTTATTTGCTCCTTATTCCAGGGAAAAAGCAGTCGTTAAATCGAAGCTGGATATATTGACTGGTATATTCAACAAAATAACTTATCGAATCATGGAAATTTATTTAAATTTAAATCAAAAGTACAACTTTGCTGAATTAAATTGCACCAAAATGCAGCGCTGATCTTACATTTACTAATTTTGTGCCAAAATTTTGATAGTAGTGGCTAGTATATTGTAGCCATTTTTTACCATTATTGTACAATTCTCTATTTCCTCTGTTAGAAAACTTTTCCTAAAGGCAAAAATTCACGAATCCATTAACCATCAAACTCGGAACACTGCATGGGTAATTAAAAAAACAATAATTTATTAATAACAACAAAATACTGGCATTCGAGAGGGTAATATATCAATATTATTCAAATAAATAAATAAATTATACATAAGTTTATACAGAAACTAAGGCATCAATACTTCTTTCGATCTTCCCAAATAAAATTAAGTACATATTTCCGATTTAAGTACTCCTAACAGATCACTTCTTTTTGCCCCAGTAATCTTCACTTTGCATCTCGCTGAGCCTGGACAAAGTCCTATCGAAAGCAAAAAGCTCTTCTTGCCCGGTAAAAATATTCGCCGTGAAATCTTTTTCTCCCATTTTCAAATCGTCCATAAGCATTCGATGGTCATCGGTAATTTCACTCGAAGCCGTCGGTACCACAAACAATTCCCTGATAGGAGCATCGGCAGTAATGATAACCTAAAACGATAAATTACACTAATTAAAACATTAATGGATATCCTTTAAACTATCACCTTCGTTTTGTGATCGTACAAGGCATCTATAAGGGTGATGAATCGTCTAGCTTCCGATCGCATTCTAGTCAAATCGATTCTCGGCACATCCCTAATGATAATGGTGTGGAAGAATTGTGTCAGGTGTAAATAATCATTTGCACCGAGAGCTCGCACGCAAAGCTCTTCGAACGAGGTCTCCAGCACTCCTCCGCATACTTTCCTAGAAATAAACGAAACTTTAGACTGCTAAAAGAGCTTCAGGAAGATTGTTATAAACGTTTTACTTGGTTACGAGGTGTGGCAGAAAAGTAATGAAACTAGCAACAATGTTAGCGATATGGCAACACCGCGTTGTTGCTTAAAATTTGTTCCTACATACCTAAAATGCACGTCTCGTCCTAAAATAGTGAATGTTTTACTACGAACTATATCGTTCTCTCTGGCTATTAAGATTTTGAAAATAGGAGCAATGGGATCCAGTTTGTGCTTGTTCTTTTCGAAATAGTTGGTCTTCGCCCCAACGGTTTTCAATCTGTAATCGATGCCCGAGTCCAAGTTACATATGTTGCAGCGGTTTTTTAGGATGTCTATGAATGGCAGGAAATTCGATCGCTGCAATCCGTTCTTGTACAAGTCGTCAGGAGCTCTGTTGCTCGTTGCTATGACGACGGCGCCGTTGTCGAATAAACTAGTGAAGAGTCTTTTTAGTATCATAGCATCTGCGATATCGGTTACCTGAAATTACATAAACTTTACTTGATTTATCGTTTGTAGAGTTATTTTTTACAGTTTCTCTTTTAATTCTGCAATGAATTATCGAATCATAGTGAGAGTATCAAACGAGAGTAATTTATGCTCTTATGCATTCATGCTTTTTGATTATTTAAGAATATTTTTACCTGAAATTCATCGAAGCATATCAACCAGGATTTTTGTATAATTCCATCAGCTACTGGAGGAATCGGGTCGAAGGGTTTTGGCTTCCTCTGAGTGTAATCGACAACAATTTCTTGCTTCAAGTCATGCATTCTCTTGTGAACATCGATCATGAACGAATTAAAGTGGACTCTGGTTTTTCTCTCAATGTCGCAAGAATTATAGAACAAATCCATCAGCATGGTCTTACCTCCGCCCACAGCTCCGTATATGTACAAACCCTTCGGTGCTGTTTTTTTGCTTTGGAATAATTTACTAAAGAATCCCTGTTGTGGGGGCTCGTACTTTCTGACATCGTTGTATAATTTCTGAAATTCCTGCGTTACCTTAGTTTGTACTGCATCAGCTTGTAGCTCTTTGGCTTTAATTTTTCTTTGTAATATCTGCATCGGTCCATCTTCAGGGATTTCGTGGTCTGCTCTTAAAGAATATTGTACCGTTTGAATTAATTTTGTAGAGCATTTTTCGTTAATTGAATGTAATTTTTTACTTATTGGAAATTTTAACATTTTATGGGTATCTACAACTTAAGTTATCAAATAATAATTATATAATGATAATAAAAAGTACTCACTTAAGAGGTAATTTATTCCTAATCAAGGCCCCATAACGAAAATATGTCGAAAACAAATACCGCAAGATTACGTAAAAGCACACTCATTGAGTGAATTTCTCATTTTATCGATAACTCTCAAAATACCTATGTTGATAATGAAAATGCATGTTTACGTAATAATAATAATTTAAATAACCCACTATTCCATTTGTCAACAATTTCTGTCAATGTCATTGTAACTGTCAAAAAATTCATCCGATTTTTTTGTTGATAATTTTACTTAAATAACCTACTAGTTAAAGTCACGTTTTAATGACGTTTCTAATATTGTAGGTTATGTTACAATTTCTTATTTTATTTATGTAAACAATGAAAATTATAAACATTTTCAATAATTCTAACAAGAAAATTTACTAGTTATTGGTCGAAAAGACAAACACATTCATCGCCATCTTGAGGATTAACGTTTTGCGAATCTTCAAAATATTCGTCATTACCTGCAAGAACACATTTAATTAATTATAAACAATGAAGTTCAGATTTTGCGGAGACGCGGATTGTCCAGATTGGGTTCTCGTCGAGATCAACACACTATCCCGATTATCTTCGATTAAACTTAAATTACTAGCGCAAGTGGTGGCGCTCGGTTTGATAAATCCACCGATAAACATGGAAAAAGCCGAAAAACTATTCTCAGACTCCAAATTGGACACGGATATCGATTTGAAGGCTTGTATTGCCTGCATAAGCTACATATTAACCTCTACAACCCGGTTTAATTGCGATAGCAACGTTCTGCAAAACGAATTGCAACAGTTAGGACTCCCGAGAGAACACAGCACGTCCCTTAAGAGAGTCATCGACGATCAAGTTTCTGCTCTTAAGGAGAAGTTCAAGCAAGCCTCGCTTAGAGTCAATCCTTTAGAGCATTTCAGTGCTTCTGTAGATGATGATTTGAAATGCGCTATTTTAGAATTGAAAATTAACGGGGAAACTCAAAATGTTACTCTTACTCCGCATTTGGTCGATGTTTTGTTGGATAATTTGGAGCAAGTGAGGAAAAAGATGGTGGAGTTAAAAGAAGCATCATGAACTTAGTAAGGTACAATTAATTGTATAGCTTTAAATTCAATCGAATTATCAGTTATTTTTGTATATTGTGTGTAAGAGACAAGGTTAAAAAATTTTCTTTGTTCTAATATAAAAAAATGTATTTTACTTACCTTTTGATTTTAAAGGAGAAGTTCTCATTCTGTTCTTTTCAAAGGGACCTATTGAAGAAACATAATGTTAATCACAATAAAAAATTGTTAAATTTCAACTTTCAATATACAGTTTGATTTATTTTAGCTTGCAATATAGGGTATGGGTAAAGCGATAAAGACAACTTCCATTAGACACTTATAAAGGAAAAAGAAAGAGTGATATTGTGTCATTGCAACTTTTCACTCTAACAACTGTTATTTTAATAAACTATTTGTTCAATTCATAGAAATGACCATATCAAAACTGAAATAAACCAAGTTGTATAGGCTCTATTAGAAATGAAAGTGGTGTGGTTCTTGGTGAAACAAAAATGATTTTTGAACTCAAGAAATTAACAAGTGAAATGAAGAAACTACTCATTTATTTATTACAAATAAACCACAACTATTATTGCGATTAATGATCTTAACAGTGAATAAAATTTGTCCTCCACTCTAGTATTACTTCTGATGATTTTATCGCAATGGCAACGACCGTGATACCATCTACCGATTGCTCTTTTATTGCGATTTTTTATTAAGAATATGATGTTCTCTCGTTCTTCCACGGTATCGAATTCTTCTTCGACATCTGAAAAACAAATTGTAAAATCCACAAAATTTAATACAGCACGCATTAGTTAGCAAACTATATTATATTTACCATTATCGCTACTGTTTCGGGGAAATTTCAAGTATCGAAATAATTTATTATAACTTTGATTCCACGCGACATTTGAATTATATCCAGTCATATTTAGTACCCAAGGAGACCACACAGTTTGGAAGTTTTCTTAAAAAGCAATATATGATGTAAACTAATTTTGATAACATATTATATTGAGTAATTACCTGGTATGGAAACGTTTGTGCTTTTCAAATTCAAATCATCTCCATCAACATCTCCACTTAACTGTTGTAAACAATCATCTCCGGGAATTCGAATGTTTAAATTATTTTCTGCATTCAACCAATCTTCGAAATTATTGATACCAACACCAGCAGGCGCTGCGACTCGCTCTCCATCTGAAATTAATAAAATTTGTGATCACACACCATTGAAAAACTTACCCTTACTTTATTTGCTTTTCCAGTTCAACACTTCACTTAATAAAAAAGGCGCTTTCACTGAAATTAAATTCGTAACTCATTAAATGCGCGATTTGGTGTTCAAACAACGAAATCCCAGAGATTAAATTCTCTAGGTTTTTATAAATTCGTTCAATACATTCGTTTAAATTATACAGTTAATCGAACTCACTTTCGCACAAGGCCTTCCTGAAGGAATCGCATTGATTGGTAGGGCATCGAGAGCACGGTTGGCCAATCTTGTATATCGGCTTGCCCAGGATGTTTCCACCAGGTCCGTAATTACACACCAATCTCTGATCGTAATGCTCCTTGCCTTGTTCCTTGTAAATCGCCATGCCGCATCCTACGTAAGCCGTTTTCGCCCAGACCAATTGCGTGTACTGACCGATCAAGTACTGACCCCTTTTCATCCTACAATCGATTCATTTACAACATTTTAATATGGATAAAAGAGTATAGTAGAGATAAATATATGCAGAGTGTATAAAAATGTATCTTATTACCCACTAAAGAAACTTATGTCCGTTGGGATGACATTAACGACTTGTTTGTACCAATTTAGTATCAGAATAGCTAGTTCAGGCATTATAGTTCCATTTGTTATGGCTGTTAGAATGTTCTGACCAACTTGTTCGAATCTAGCTGGAAAATAAATTGAGTGTTTAATGCTACAGTACTTGGTTTATTTTTAATTGGAAATTGGTTACCCACTTACAAGTTTTTCTACAAAAATCGTGCTGTATGGACTCTGCGATCGGTATGCATTGATCAGCCCATCTTTGCGCTACTTCCGCCAATTCCTCGTCCCAATGCTGCAATTGGTATTACTGGATTGTGACGTGGAAATAGTCGCGTTACTCGCACGCTAATCTAATGCTTACCATCATTAACATATTGGCGGCAGGCGGTTGTTTCCCCAGTTTTCCCTTCAACTCCAAACCGGAGGCTATGTGGTTCCTTATGTCGTTATGTACGTCGACTATGTATTGCTTAAAATGGTCGTTAAATGCTATACGCTTAAAATTTAAGCACGACGGTGATGTTTCCTAGGTAGAATACAATTTTTTTAATGCAATTGAAGGTCTCAAATTCCCAAAGTGTTTGTACTTACGGTGTATAAACACATGGTGTGTTTACCATCGGGGCATACGCTACAGTAATCTGTTCCTTGAGAGATACTAATTAAAAGCGACACAGCCAAGATTGTTAACATCATAACATTGCATTCATTATATTAAAGATTTTAAGAAAAAAAATATGACAGCATATTTGTCAATTCTTATAAGTGTACATACTGAGATAAACAGGAAAAAAATCCAGGAAGCTACCTTAAGTCGTTTGCAGTCTGTCTACATAGATAAGAACCAATAAACTTGCAGATTTCTAGTTGTACACCAGTCATGTGATTAAATATTATGTTCTCATTGGTTCATTTCAGTTTGCATTATGGTTATCTCTATGAGTTGAACAAAGAGAGATTACTAAAATGACAGTTGTCAAAGTGAAAAGTTGCAATGACACAATATATCACTCTTTCTTTTTCCTTTATAACTTACATTGTAAACTAAAATGAATCAACCTGTATATGATCGATTGGAGTTTACTTTTGGGAGAATTTGGAGTAAAGTGCAAAATGAAAAGCTCATTACAAATTGCATTTAAAAAATTTGTATTTAAAATAAAATTATAACAACTTTGATCCCATGGGAATCGCATCGTAATTTTTATAGCCGTTTATCACAATAATGTGATTTCACGATATAATTTTATAGTATTCGTTACATTGTATGAGAAGCGTTTATAAAAAAATTAGTACGAAGCGAATTATTTCAAGTATTTAAATGACGAATGTGGAAACAATGTAATGTTAAATGGATTTTACAACGGCCTTTCTTATAACTTGTTGAAAAATAATGTTCTCAACAATTTCGAAATGCGTTAATTGAACAATAACTATAAATGATATCCGCCTAATATAAAATCCATCTTTATGTTTGAAGAAAATATTAATACATAAATTATTTTCCTCAGAACCATATACCTACTACTTATAATTATTTGCTTATAAAACGACCTCTATAATATCAAAACTAATTCAAATTCATTTCAGTTCGATTATTGAAATGCATTAATACTCCCTTCTTCGATAACTTATGACAAACGAAGACGAATCAATATTGTACAAAAATTATTTCCAAAAATTTGGATTTTGCTGCAGTCTTCTCTCGAAATTCATGTACCAATTTTGAACGGTAGAGAGCGGCACATAAGTAGCCGTAGGATCCCGTACCATATTCGACTGGGTAATAGTGTAACTTAATATATAGTTCATAAAATTCTCTAACATTTTTTGCGCGAACGTGACGTTGTTTTCGATGTTGTTCGGCGATGGTACGTCTTGAATATTTGATAATGGTTCTAAAAAAAGGGTTATTTATTAATCGTAATCGAACTTACGATATTGCGAAACTTACCTATCGATATACCGATTTGAGCATTGTGAACAATGTGACTCATTCCGAACATCATGTTCGAGTAATCGCCCATTTCATGCAATTTCTTCAAACCTGATATTTTGAAAATCACTGAGGGTTTCTGGTTGGAAATGAAGCCCAATAATTGCCAATTTGGTGGGGCATGGGGGTCCGGCCAACTAAAATACACTGAAAAAAATATTGAAATGTTAATAGGTTGTTCTTGATTCGATAAAAATTCCTCCATTCCAATTACGAGTTATTTTTTTCAATATTATCACCTGTAGATTCCAAACATTCCCTAATAATTACAAATGAGCTGAATACAATTTCAACATAATTCATTGCAGAGTTTCAATGAAAATTATTGAACAAGTGTTGTTGTATTAAGTTTCATCTAAGTTAATTATGACTTTGTTATCATTGAATCAAAATACCTTGTCCTCCAGTTCCTTCGGGAAAGGGTGTAGTCCCTGTTAAAAACACCACTATATGGTTAATATTATCGGCATCTGGTATGGTTGTAACAACTTGGGTCACGCTAATCTGCTGAAATTCAGTTTGCACCTGCAAAATGTTTGCGAATAAGCTAAAATTCATATTTACAAACAAAACAACTCACTAATCGACCTGAGACAATTACTCCGAACATGTTTGAAAGCTTTAAAACATATAGATACAATCAACTGATAAAATCTACTAGTCAAAGCAATATTTTGGTTTTCCTGAGTTTTCCTTCTAGAACTTTCTTAGAAAAATTGTACAATTTTTAGGTTATGTAGAAAGTTAAATGTCAAAATATTGGTGATAAAAAAGAAGACTAATACGTCTTAAGGATAGCAGCTATTATGTGTGTAATAAAAGTGCAATTTTTGAAATTAAATCTGTTAACTTTATTACTTCATGAATTTTTATAATTGAAACTCTGTGTTTTAATAACTAATTAATTAATGTATGTTATATACTTAAAAAAAAGTAGAAGTTGACCTTGATGTTTTTTAAGTGACTAACTTCATGCTAATAATAAGGATTGTTAAATGTCGGGAAGTGATACACAATTTGTTTTTATCCACTGTGGATAAATTCCTAATAGTTCGTAGTGTTAATTTGTTCTTACTTTGATTCAGTCTTTCAAAATCATGGTACGTACAAATTTATCCGCAATTTTATTCATCGTTTTTTCGATATTTGCAGATAAGGTCCTCTATTTATCTAAACTTTGACAGTTCTGTTTTAATGGAAACGAGGACTTTATTGAATTGAATTTATGAATCATCATTGTTAAAGAGACTAATTGTTGAATTACATTCAATAGAAGCTAGTTTAGCATTCGAATTTGGAGATTCCCTACTTATTCCAGAATTGCAAAACACACCCTCTCCATATCTGGCTTAAAATCAATAATGAGAAAGTCATTCCAAGTTTGTTTTTATCTACGTTTATTTTTTTATTTATCACAAGAAGTATAAATATGAGTTTTAAAATACAATAGAATTATTATTTATAATTTTCTTTCTATGTACTGTTTACTTATTGACTGTGTTATTCCTAGAAAAAAAATCTGATAGGATACTTTTAAAATATTCATATTGTACAATTTTTTATTTTTTACACATTTAATATACCAAGAAGTCCTAATTTTTATTCTAATCATATACTTTACACTTAAGTGCTTTCAAAAACGCTCTTACCACTAAAATTATTTCTAATTATTTGGTCTGGTAATTTCTCGAATCAATTTATGAACTGAAAGCTATTTTAATGTTGAATAATAGATATTTCAGGTAACTTCGACGCTAATACTTTATGAAAATAGTACGAATTCCTTTAACATTACAGCGGTGCCTAAACATAATTTTTCCTATTGCAGAATGTAGTTTTCGGTAATGTCTTTGCCGGTGTCTCAATATGAAGCTCTGCTCGCTGAAATGCGCGGCCTGAGGCGGAAGGCTCAGCGCGTTCAGCAAATCGCTAAACCTCTTCTGCAAGGAGATTCCGCCGCCTCGTTTTCCCCTTCGAACAGCTCCACCCCTTGTGGCGCTTCGAAGATATACCATTCGCACACAGAACGAATCTATGTAAGTATTTTATTTGGTTTAACACTAGATATTACTTCATATTTTCTTCACAAACAGTTCTTTAGTATAAAATGGACACTCTCCACCCTGTATTTTTGTATAATTACTATAAGTACCATAACAGTTAGGTGAAGCTTATGCTTATTACCAGAAATATTTAGGGAATTTGTAATTTTTTTGCCTCTATAATTATCTATTATCTTAATAATCACTCGGTTAAATAGTTATCTACATTCTAAATTGATTTATGTTGGCTGTTATGTTGGTATTTTTATTAGTTTTATGAAACTGATGGGGCTCAACTTTAACCTAATTATATTAAATAGATGATGATGATGCAAAGTTAGTGTCTCAGCAGTACATTAAAAATGATGTGCAATTCATTCTTTATTAATTGTATCCCTACTTGGATCAATCTACATTAAAGATGATGAATTATTCATCATATTATCTAATAAAAACAATACAGGTGATGAATGATAAATAGATAATAATGAGCGTTTGTTCAACTGGGTAATAATTAAGGATAAAATGGAGAGAACCGGTCGTGATTGATGCGAATTTATTCCTGAAAAATATACACTTGAGCCAACATTTTAATTATCTTTAAACTTCTGAAATCCTCCATTGCATGTCACACATGCGTGTCAGACTGGAATTATCTCTTTTTTTGATGTACATACTGAAAAAATAGTGTAACAAAACATCTGTTTTTGTCGCCTAAAGATTCGTGAGAATTTATTTTAGAATTTAGTGGGTGCTTCTGGTCGTTAAGTTTTTTTTTAATAAACGTCCAGGTTTCTTGTTTCCTGCTGGCTGTTCTATTTGGGTTAAATATCCATTAGTTTTTGTTATTAATAGTAATTTACCGTCGAAGTATGGCAAAAATAATGAGACCCAAATTAAAATACGTGTTGGTTTATTTCGAAATGTATATTCGTACTCTCTACAGGGTGTCCAGCGACTAATACGCCGATTGTATCTCCCAAATATTTGATAAAAAAAGTGAAATGTCTCAATTTTGGATGTAGTAATTCTGGAGCTACAATCTAATTAACAGTGGGTCACTCTATACACAGTTTATTAAATTATAGTTTCGAAATATCCCGTAAAGAACATAATCGTTAGTAAACGCCCACGCTACCCTTCGAAACTAACAATATTTCAGAGAGCAACGCACTTTAACCGGGCGCCAATAGTCTTTATTGTCTAACAGTAACCGAAAAATCTATTACTCATTATTGTTTTCGTACATAAATTTCACATAATAGGATGCGTTAGTTGTGATTTTGTGCCGTACACGTCTGGCGTGAAATGTTCGTTGTTTACCAAACACGTGCTGCACAGACTAAACCAAACATTAATGAGAATAACGAGAGGCATGTTTAAGTAGCGCCGTTTACCCTTGAGTAGGTGTATCGACATCGAAAAAGGTGAAATCTATATTGGTCAATGTCATCATCCATATTGATGTTGCTCGAATGATTGCCTTATTTGGAAGAAAGATGCCTTGGTGAATAATCAGGAAATTAATGTAGGACAAATCTCAATGATGGATCACAGAAAAAATCTCCAAAAAATTGGTCATAGCATATACTCTTCAGAAATTGCTCTTCATTGTTCTTCAGAAATTTCTTTCAAAAAGAAATTAAATATTGTGAATACAATCAAATTATTTAATAAGAAGGAAAACCTTCATTAAATCAATTAAGAAACCATCAAACAACCACGAACAAGTGCTCTAAAAATCCCTAAAACGACTTGAGAAATGCCCCGAAAAATCCTTTCGAAAACCCTCTAAAAGCAAGGGTAAATCACAAGTTGTTTATTGTTATTCTCCGACTGTCTCCTGCACTTCCAGTTCCTGCATAGGGAAGAATACGGGAGTCGGAACTTGCGCGTTTGTGCGTTTTCCTGCAATGCACCAACACCGACCATTCCGCTTTTGCTCTTGGCAGGTTCGGGGCGAAGGCTCGGAGCGATTGAAGCCGAAAATACGATTCCGGTTCGACGTGAACGTAGCCACTGCTGGAGCTATTCGCGGTGCACGAAATCTAGTTTATTTTTATCGGGAAAATATACAATAAATTTGGAGAAAATCGAACGGTTCCAACGCGGAAAGAGTGTGAGTTGTGAAGTGTTTTGATGGGTAGAAGAGCGAAAGTATTTTCCTGGTGTTGTTCTTCGAATATTGTGCTTGGAAATTATCGGATTATTTTACATGTGCTATATTTTTTTTAACAAAAACTTGTGATTTTGCAGATTATGGTTCGTATTTAATATATTCAAAAAATTGATAGTAAATACTGTTTACTAATAAATTAAATTTGAGTTGAATTATCAAACTTATAGCGTCAAAGAAATGGAATAATTTTATGCTAATTTTCATTCATTAGAATTCTGTTTGATTTCGGTTTAGGCTGAATATTTGCATTATGGTTTAATAAAATTTAATGAGGTTTACTGAAGCGCATACATAATAAAATTTCTGCAATATTTTACCAAATAAATTCCTATAAATAAGTAGGTATATTAAACATGATTCATTAAAGGCGCGCTTAAACTTGTACATAATTGTGTTTTAAGTATATGATATTAACAAAAAACTCAATATTTAATCTACTCATAAATAGGAATTTAATTAGATTTGGTCTATCATTATCAGAATACGAAATAGGGGAGATTGTAAGTTTTGAAATTCGACTGATGAAACCTTTTTTCATCGATCAAATTACTGAAATTACCTAATTAATCTTCCCTGGGAGTCTTTATAAACATCCTGCGTTTTTATTTATTTTGTAACCATCAGTTTTGGTATTCATATGTAAATTTAGGGGTGAATAGCAACCATCCAAATAACTATTTCTCTATCAAATATTGTCACTAATTTTTGTTCATTACAATGAATGATTATTCTTTCAAATTCAAGGAGTATTTTGCTCTTTATTATCATCGTTATTTAGAATTCTGGCAATTTCAATGTGTTTCGCATCTTGCTTTACCGTTTGGATTACCTATTACAACTTGAAATTTCTAATGTACTCCTCTTTTAATTTATTACTCTTCTTCCATTTTGCAACGGAACGCAATGGATACTTTCTTTGAAACTATTGTAAAATAAAGAGTGATAGTTCGTACACATTTTTCTTTGTGACTGCGGGATCCACTTTCAAGATATTCATTGATTACGATTACGGCGCGCTGCCCACTCGATTTCTCTCTTTCGCCTTTTATAATCTTATAATCTAATCTCTGCATTTGAATAGTCGTCGTTTCGTGGAGATTTCTCCTGCTGATTCATCATCAGGCAACGTCGTAATTTTAGCCAATTTTGTTCGAAAAGTTCGTTAAGTTATTTCCATTATGTAATTAATTTGTGAAAAATGTTTGAACGCTGGCGCTGTACGAGCGAGCTCATTAAAAGTATTATAGCATAGGATTAAAATTATATGTCGATCCGAATTCCTGAATGTTGACCCAAACAGTGACCCAAAAAACTTGCGCCTGTTGCGAAATAAATTCCACGATCGACGCAAATAATGCAAATATCAAGGTCTTTGCGGATCGAATTTTCCGCACGCTATCCGAGTGGAGCAAGATATTTTATGTAAAAATTCATGAAGACTAAAGAACATAAAAATATCAAAATTTTATTGAAAGAAATGATTCGAAAGTTAAGAAGTTTATTTTAATAGACGGCAAAGAAATCAATTAAAAATATGTTTAAATATTAATCCTTTTAATATCTAAAAAACATTGTAATGCTTGAACACGAACTTATGGGGAGATATATCAATCAAAATAGTAATCTTGTTTACTGTGTATAAATATCTACCGCATTTTAGCGTGTTTGGGAACTCTCTGCCGTATATCATATGGGTTTATTGGATAAAAATTCGAGCACTATTTTTATCCGAAGTCATTAATGGAGGGAGCACCAGAAGTAGTATGGAGTGACTATGGACGTTGTGTTTTCAGCAAAGCATAAATGTCAAATGTATTTATGGAAGCGGATATTTACGTAATCCCCGGCTTGTTAGCTGTTGAAACGAGTAAAAACATAATTTTAAAGGGAATTTTTCAATCAAATTCAACCATCACTCAAAAATCTTCAGGGTATAATTGAAATCTCTCCTGTAGTAGACCAAGTTAAGATATATTTAGTAATTTTGCTGTTGGAAAAACATAGAAAGTATAAATAGAAGAAGGTATTGAAGAATCTTATAAATAGAGGAATATTGAAAAGGAAGAAAACAAGCTACAGTTTTTGGTGTATAGAATATAAAACTTTTTGTACATATTTAGATAATAGTAGTTCATTTCTAAGCTCAAAAAACCTAATGCGATAAGGCTGTAATAAACTTGTTAATTAAAATGATTGTGTTCTACGAGATGAGATAGTTGTATTTTATGCCCCTATAAATCGTTATGCCTTATCTCTATCAGATTACCGAGCACTAATTGATTTATTTATTTACATGTAGATGTTTGAATAGTGTAGATACGTTTAAAAATTTGTATTTTACCGAAAAAAATAAGTTCTAAATGTGAGTAGTGGAACATTTCTCGTTTGTAAAATTTTTGTTTAATGCTTATAATTTTTTAATACATAGCTAATGAGAATAACCGTCGTGCGGTCTTCTTCAGTATACAATTTTCTATTTCTCCGAGTAGATTATTACCGTTAAACGTAATTCACTAAATTATAGTGTGTATTTGTATTTAAACTAATTTAATGTAATTTACGTTCGCGTTACATTAATTGCCTCATATGAGAGAAACTAAACGTTGGTCTGTCTCCGCCATGGTGCAGTGAAACGGATCGCATTGGAACACTTGTAATTAAATACGCCGAAGAGAAACTGTAAAATGGCACTTCGATTTTTCGTGCGAAAATACCACTTTCATCCATCATTTTTTTAAATCATGCTTGTATATGCAATCATTCATCATCATTAATCATTTAATCAATAAACCAACGAAAATGTATACTGTTAAAATCGTATAGCTAGAAATTTGCAAATTCTTAGACCTCAAATTTACCTTTTTGTAGTTAATTGGAACCTTGTAAATGATTATTATTTGTTGACCGAGACCCCGATCGTTTCGTATCGCTACCGGAAAGAAACGTCCGCTTCAGAGTCATAACAAAATCTTAAATCTCCGTTAATTCTTCATAAGTGCGCCCGATCCGTTTTTTTCTACCGCGATAAGAAACACATTTCGAATCAACTACTTACATTTAAGATACGATCTAATTATAAATACAATAAGCAGCTGCGCGTGGATTTATAATCCTCGACTACAAGTACCGTCTTTGTTTGGGTTATTTAACGTCTAATTGCGAGGAAGATGGATAAATGCTCGTGGTGTTAATTTAAAGGAAAAATGCTTGTTTGGATGAAACTGCCCAGTAAAATTAAACCGAGAGGGAGGTGTGTGAAGTTGGCACCGCAACTGTAGTTCTCAGTAGTTCTGATTAGAGTTCTGGATTCCTTTTGGATAGTTCAGGAGTTCTTTTGTACAAAAAATAATAGTTCTGGTGTTTCAACACATTATTTTTTTAAATAAAACATGCGGTGCTATTTATACTTGTTTATTGATGAAATTTATTATTATTATTATTTTTTAATATTCAGGAACTCTAGAACTCATCAAAATACATCAAATAAACTAATCAGAACTATTCCATTGTAAATTTAGGTTTGAAGTTAGCTCCGCATGTTTTATTTAAAAAAATAATGTGTTAAAACACCAGAACTATTATTTTTTGTACAAAAGAACTCCTAAACTATCCAAAAGGAATCCATAACTCTAATCAGAACTACTGAGAACTACAGTTGCGGTGCCAACTTCACACACCTCCGAGAGGGAAACCACACTTTGCCCATCTGGGAAACGATAAAAATAAGAACTGACACTACTTACTGCATATACACAAATAATATTAGTTAATACAATAATGGTTTATTATTACTGGATACGTAAAGAATACAAAGATTCGATTACAAAATCACCGATTGGTATTGATTAAAACCTACTTTTGCTAACCTTCATATGGTTAATTAATTTCAAACGTTAATTGTTCGATTAGATTAGATCTAATGTTGGTTTTTGCAAAATGTAATTTACCTTGGCGCCGACCACGCTGCATTTAGTTTACATCCTTGTTTTCACACCTCCGAAAAGAAAGTTTCTCTGTTCTCTTGTGTAATAATTCTTCCACCAATCGATAAGGAATCGACGGAGATGTGGGATGATTTTTTTCCCGACATATTACAGGGTATTCAATGTTGTTATGAAACTATGAATATTGCTATGATGTTTGTTTTAAAGCCACAAAACTATACAAAAAAATTAAGATGTATGGGTTTGGTAGAAATATATTTAACGCCCAGTACATAACTGTTTGTTAATTTATAGCTAGCCTATGAAGCAAGATTATTAAAAAAAATCCAATAATTTTTTTGCAATAAAAAGTTACCATTTACATTTCTTGTAAGTGTTTATTACCCAACAATGTTTTTGCAAACTACTTAGTAATTATACGTTATACTTTTCAATTCTTAAGAGCGATAGTATTGTAGTCGTTTAATTGGAAAAATGATTCATAAGGTGCTTGCATATTGTATTTTTATCGCTAACAATTCAAAAGTTATTTATTGGATATGGAAATTTTGTTTATGCGTTTCGAGTCCAATACTGGCATTTTTAAGAAGTATTAAATAAATCTTACAGCTAAAAAAGTACAAGAGGAAACGTTTCTGGTTGTGGTCACGGTTTACGGTTAGGGAATTAATGTTCGAGTATATCGTAATAAGTATAATTAAATTCGTTTAATGAATTAAATAATTTATTCTTTTTTGTTAATACCTGATGGTGACTCAGAAATTTTATTGATAGAGATTTATATTTTTTTTGAGAAATTGTAGCATAATTGTAGCTCTACAATTTGGTCATGTTTTGAATTAATTATTAAACCCTTATCTTTATCTGTATTTATTGCTAGTCATTTAAAATGCAATCGTACATAATTAATATTATCGAGCGATAAATCGATTTGTTTCCAACAAAATTTCACCACACGAAAATTGAGTTTTAGCCGTTCTGTCCCAATTCTCCGAATAATGTAAATAACTGGAAATAATCGTCGTTTATTTTTATAACTTAAACGTTTATCACAAAGTTAAACATCTAATACTACTGCGAGTACGATGAATGGAACATATGTATTTTGTTTCAGAACAATGGGCTATCTGAACCATTAGATTATACCATGGAATCATTACTAGTCGGCAGGCACAATGCTTCATCGCCAAATGTAAGTCGTTAAACTATTAACATTAATATTGCTTGTTAACTTCTTGTACTTTATTTAGATGCCCACGATAATCTCTTTCCATTATTGTTTATTTTCCACCAGATTTATTGTTAATGGCATCACAACATTCGGAGTTTTCTATTGTTTCTACACCGGGTGAATCATTTAAAATCGAGTAACTGATAGGAATTTTTAAAACATTTAAAATATTGCGTTCTTTGTAAAAATAGTGGAAAACATTACAAACTAGATTTGGTGTTTACTCCCATGTCCTTTATCCTACAAAAAGATTATTAAATTACCTGAATTTACCACAAGGTTTGGTAAGATTTTTTTTGTACTCTTCTTCTTCCGCTACCGTTATCTTAACTCTACCTATAATACAGTGCATTTCTTTAATGTCCCCCCCTTGTATTTATTGAACGAATCAACTTAGAAAATTGAAATTTGGGATAATGAAACTAATGCATGATTACTATATTTTGGAGTAAAATTGACAAATGAAAATTTCAAGATGGCGACTGGGCGCCCTCTTGGGAAATAAATTTAAATGGAAAGGGGGTCTTGTGATACATAATTTTGAAGCTCCTGACAAATACTCTACAACCCTGGAATATAAAGTCAATATCTGCACCTGCTACAAAATGGCGGTAATTTAATAATTACCTGAATACATTGACGTTTAACGTCATAATTTGAGGAAATAAGCTGAGTTCAGTTTAAAAAATGCTCGAAATGGTTGCCTTGAACTTCTTGATATAAGAACAGCCTATCCGAATATTTTCGAACATAGTAACGTCGATATTTCTACAAATATCTGTAATTATTTCTCGTATATTCAATATTGAAGCAGGTACAGTTTCGTACACTTTTTGCTTCAAATAGCCCCATAAAAAAGTCTAAAGGTGTCAAATCTGGCGAGCGGGCTGGTCATTCCGTAGGACCTCGACGACCAATCCAACGACTAGGGAAAATAGCATCCAAATAGTTCATTACTTGTCTGGAGTAATGTGGTGGTGCTCCATCTTCCTATGGACGAGAATTGGCCATTTTAGAGTTAGTTCACTTGGTACCTAACTATAATGAGAACTAAACAACCGAAAACTAAATGAAAATACTTTGAACACTAGGAAAATCGAAAACTAAAGAGAATATTTTGAACACTAGGAAAACCAAAAACTAAATGAGAATATTTTGACTAAACAATTAATGTTCGTTGTCGTACTTAAATTTTTTGTAATTTTTTTAACCAAAAATAACCTGTCAAACCTTATCGGTTTGTTGGGATTGCTATTTGGCATAGAAAAACAAATATTTCTAGAAAAATTGATATTAATTTGTTTGTATTCTGGTAATTATTAAATGTTCCGCCATTTTGTAATGGGTGCAGATATTGACTTTATATTCCAGGGTTGTACAGCATTTGTCAGGTGCTTCAAAATGATGTGTCACAAGACCCCCCTTTCCATTTAAATTTATTTCCCAAGATGGCGCCCAGTCGCCATCTTGAAATTTTCATCTGTCAATTTTACTCCAAAATATAGTAATCATGCATTAGTTTTGTTATCCTAAATTTCAATTTTCTAAGTTGATCCGTTCAAAAAATAAAAGGGAGGGGGGGGGAGACATTAAAGAAATGCACTGTATATTTCCGATCAGTACGAGCACGGAGCGACCAGCAGCGTGGAAGGCGACAACGATTGCAGCGAAGACGAGTACGGCGCCGCGACGAGAAGCAGCACGAAATTATCGGTCAGCAGCGAACCGACGCCGGACAGCAATCGCGTCGCCGGCCTCTATCACGGCACCTGGCCGGTCGAAAGGACCATGTGGAACTCGGAACCCGCCTGCTTGGGCGCCAAAGGCGATCCCCAAAACGCCGCCAGGATAATTAACAACCAAATGGTCGGTACAACGCAATCGAGAGTAACCTCCTGTAAAGTAACGAGAGTTCTTTTTCGCGTTGTAGGAAGTGAACAGCGTGATGAGTTTCGCTTCCAGTTCGGGCGGAGTGCCGCTGGATCGGGTCTTGGGAAGTCCCGATAGAGGTAAATGGTCCTCGCAACAACTGGAGGCGAAGATGGACGTGGTGCACAGCTTGTTGTCGATGTTGGGCGGTCACGATCACATCGATATGGGCGAGACGCTCTTGGCTCTCAGTACTTGTCCGGAAAGTTGTTTGGCTATGAGACAATCAGGTAATCTATTCTTCTTGATGATAAATCAATTATTGTGGGTATGATACAATTCTCATAATGATGTTCGTTAAACCATAAGTTTTTTTAGTTGAATACATTGCTTATGTTAGAATTAATAACAGGGGCCTGTTTCATATAACTGACAAGTCCTGTCGGACAAGTGTAGTCTAAATTTGATTGGGGTATTTGACAAGTTTGTGTTTCATAAAATTACACGATTAGATTATTAGTGACAAGTGACCAGCCTAATATTACAAGTCTGTTTTACAATTGTAGATAGGTTTGCGTTTCATAAAAAATAAATTAAAAAACACTTGTCATTTATTCCTATGATATATTAGTGTAAAGCGACAGGGACTTGATTTCCTGTCACCATCCGATTTTCTTGTAAATTTAAAAGAAAATGTGATCTAGCGACAGTGAGGAGGAAGGTTAATGAGAGTTTATTAAACGATTTCGAATGAATTCGATAAAAATGGAGGAAATAATAAAATCTATTGGTCCCCGCCTAATGTATACAACCAACGTATAGAAATTATACATTGTCTTTGTTCGTTCCAATGCTCACATTTTATAGCTTTTGTAGAAGTGGAACTAAATTTTCCAAATAGAATGCCCTTTCTTTATTAAAATAATTGAATATTAAATAAATGTTGCTGCATTTTAGAAATAAGTTTTTTTGCCAATAAACGAAATTGTCGTGGTTCACATCTAAAAATAGCTCCAACCAGAAAAAAAACAATTTCAAAGTAAAAGTTTCCCAATATCGAAAAACGAAGGTGGTGCTACATATGCTTATGCTCCTCAGTATAGTAAGTACTATTTTTTTCTTTTTGGCTTAAGTCTGACGTTTAATTAATATTACAGTTGAAGAAAAACGGATGCTAAAAATTTAATTCGACAATTGTCGAAATTTATTTTATGAAACGAAATTTTTAAATACTTGTCAACCAAGACTTGTAACTTGTCGACTTATAACTTGTCAATTTGTCAGTTATATGAAACAGGCCCCAGATTATTGCTGTTTACTTCTGGAGCTTTGGTAATATACTATTATGTATTGTTTTAGGTTGTATTCCTTTACTGGTTCAACTGGTTCAATCTGATAGGGACGGTGATACCAGAAAGAAAGCCGCACAGGCCCTTCACAATCTGGTGCATTCGCAGCCGGATGAAAAATTGCGAAAACGCGAAAGTAGAGTATTGAAATTGTTAGAACATTGCCGGGCTTACACGGAAGTGTTGAAGAATAACGTGGATTTGGATGAAGCCGAAATCGGTGGTACAAATCCCGAAGGTATTCGTTTTTTTATTGCCGAATAACCCAAGAATCTATAAAATTGATTGTTTCAGATGGTGACAAGCATCCTGTACAAACAGTAGCCCATCTAATGAAACTGTCGTTCGATGAGGGCCACAGACAGGCCATTTGTCAATTAGGTGGAATTCATATTATTGCTTCTTTAGTAGAGGTATGTACTCTAAATATTAGTAGATTTAGTAAGCAATTAGCGTAAATCGTAACTAATGAATTTACCCAATGAAAAAGATTAATTCAGTACGAATTAATGTCGACAAATGGACTTTTAATCCATCTTCATACAATCACATTATAAAGGGTGTTTCAATAAGAGCGCTGATTTTAAGGTTCAATGAAACAATGTTATCTGTAGCAAAATATGGAAATATTTATTAATTTATTATGTGTACATTTGGAAATTATGTGTGAAACAAAATATCTTGTAAATGGCCGCCACGGCTTTGCCAGCACAAGCGTACTCTTTCGATAAAAATTTCAATAGCATTGTATACAGTGTTAGAAATTTAATTTCGCATAATAGGGAAATCAATGTTTAATTCTTAGCCGGCTAAAATCCAGTCTACCAGTATACATTTCAATAGAACGTCGCGATGAATTCTAATAAATTTAATTGTTCTACTGGATCGCACGCCGCGATTTGTAGAGGTACAAAGTTATTTGTGTTAGGTATGAAGTACAAAATTATTTAGAAACTACAATTAATAGGTTTTTTGGGGATATTTCAAAAAAATGTGTGTATCGGTTGGTACAGTTTTGAAATAGCAACAAATCTTGTTAAAATTAAAACTTTCTTTTTCAAGCCATTGTGGCAAAAAGACATATCTACATAATTCTATTTTAATATTAGTGATATTTTTTAAATAAATTATCGTTTAAAAATTCTCATTTCTTTTTAATCGACTCGACGTTCACCCATCCGAACCCGTTTTGATACTGTCGAAGTGTCGAAACCGTCGAAATTATTTGATTTTTAATCTAACCAAGCCAAAGCGCGGTGTGAAGTCCAGTAGAACAATTAAATTTATTAGAATTGATCGCGACGTTCTATTGAAATGTACACTGGTAGACTGTATTTCAGCCGTCTAAGAATTTAACATTGATTTCCCTATTATGCGCGAATAATTTTCTAACAGTGTATATGTGGCGGTATTTTATTGATACAGCGTCTAATTTTGGCTTTCAACGCTTCGGTGGTCGCGGGCATTTTGGCATAAACCTGTGACTACAAGTAACCCCACAGCCAGAAGTCTAAAGGTGTTAAATCACAAAAACGTGGCGGCCAATTCTGGTCACCAAACCGGAAAATGACCCGACCGGGAGTAATGTTTATCAATTAAGACGCGATTATATAGATCCATATTTACTAACTCCCAACTGTTAACTTTCGATCTGTCATGTTATAATCACGTGTTATTATGACTCAAACATGACAGGCAATTCAAATCTTGCGGTCTTATTAAAACACCCTTTACAAGCACGTTGTTTTTAGGTGGAGCATTCGATGCACTTGAGCACGTCTACCGATTCGCACTGTATACTGTTGCGTAGATACGCTTGTATGGCACTAACGAATCTCACGTTCGGCGACAGCGGAAACAAGGCTTTGTTGTGCTCGTTCAAAAACTTCATGAAGTCCCTCGTCGTTCAGCTGCAAAGTACCAGCGACGAGTTGAGACAAGTAAGCCTTTCGCGGTTGCTCGTTATCGATTAGAATATCTTTTGTAATTCTCAGGTAACCGCGAGCGTGTTGAGGAACCTGTCGTGGCGCGCCGATTCAACTTCCAAGGAAATCCTGCGGGAAGTGGGCTCGGTGACGGGCCTGATGAAATCGGCGATGATGGACAACAAGGAGAACACTCTGAAATCGATTTTGTCCGCCTTGTGGAACCTCTCGGCGCATTGCACCGAGAACAAATCCGAAATTTGCGCTGTAGATGGCGCGCTGGGTTTCCTCGTAGACCTATTAACCTACAAAACGCCTTCCAAATCGTTGGCGATAATCGAAAATTCCGGCGGCATTTTGAGGAACATTTCGAGCCAAGTAGCCGTCAGGGAGGATTACAGGGCCGTATTGAGGGAGCACAATTGCCTGCAAATACTGCTGGGGCAATTGAAATCGCCGAGCCTGACTATTGTCAGTAACGCTTGCGGCACGTTGTGGAACCTCTCCGCCAAATGCCAGGCGGACCAGGAGGCTCTTTGGCAAATGGGGGCGCCGACCATGCTGAGCAGCCTCAATCACTCGAAGCATAAGATGATCGCTATGGGCTCGAGCGCAGCGCTCAAGAATTTGTTGAGCGCCAAACCCCAGCAAATGTTCCAACCGCAATTGGACGCTACCGCTTTAAGTTTGGATCTTCCAGCTTTGCCTACTTTAGGTAATTATTTTCAATATTAAAAACGTTTAAATTACTTGATAATTGTATTTTTGCAGGTGTTAGAAAACAAAAAGCGTTTCTACAGAACCTCGATTCGTCTTTGAGCGAAACGTACGACAACCTCGACAAGGAGTCGCCTAAGAAAGAGTCGAGAAGGACCCTCGAAATGCAGGAATTGAACAGTAATTTCGCTAGTTTGAATTTAAACGAACCATCCACCAGCTATTCCACGGATCCCAGGTTGAACGCCAGGATGAATCAAAGCTACAGCAGCGCGAGTTTGCCGTACAAACGACCGAGTTGCACGTACATTCCCGTTAGAAATAAATACTCCGATTGCGGTTACGACGATGAAATCGACATGTCCGATCAGCCGATAGATTACAGCATAAAATACTCCGAAACTAAGGTAATGTAAATCGCTCTAATTGAGGATTCTGGTTGCTTCGTTCTTATATAGAAGCTGTAGTATTAACGGTATTTTTTGGCATACATGTCACGGTAGGAGATGTTCATTCGCTGGTTAATTGGCGTTTTTTACGGCTGCAATTTGTATGTTTTGTTGGAGAAAAGTACCGAATCCTATGTAAATGAACACAACCGATAGGGAAATCGATATTTCGAAATTTGGAGTAGTTTCCTTGCAGGGGAAAAACCTGATTTTTGCGCCAATTTTGGGATTTTCGGGGGTTTCTCGGAAACTGTTCTAACGATTTTTCTCGAACTTTCCTGAAATATTCTTTAATTTATTACTAATTACTTCCGGCAAACCGCATTTTCTTAAAAAATGTATTTGCCAAGTTATAGGAAAAAGAAAAGTAGCCGACCCGGGGGATTCTCGTTAAAAGCCCGATCCGAAAATCGACGATTCGACTTAAGAAAATTATACCTTCATCGTGAACTGAGCAAATTAATCTTTTTTATTCTCACTTTCCTCAATTCCTACCCATTATACATATTGCTCCATTTTTCATTGCAACATAGGCTGTGGGTGCAACAAAGACAACTTCAATTAGATACTTTTAAAGGAAAAAGAAAGAGTGACATTTGTGTCATTGCAACTTTTCACTCTGACAACTGTCATTTTAATAATCTTTCTTTGTTCCACTCATAGAAATGACCATGTTGCAATCGGAAATGGAGCAAGGTGTATATCCCATTCTACCCTCTTTATACCGTGAGATTTACGTTTAGGATGTTAGGCCATCATTAAAAAGATGTTTTAAAGAGAAATAACCCCGTTTTTAGGTGCCAAATTCGGAAAGTACCGACGCCAATTACTCCTACTCGAAGCAATCGGAGGAAAAAGAAAATTTCGGTATATACGCGGAGACCGATCTGGACCAACCGACCGATTATTCATTGAGATACGCCGAAGACGATTCCGATTCGGAAATCGCCAAAAACGAAGACACCGTTAAAACCTACTGCACCGAAGACACTCCATACGAAACTCCATTCAATTTCTCCACAGCCACATCCATGTCGGATTTACGCCTGGACGATAAGCAAGTTATCGACAACGATAAACTCAAAGAAAGAGAATCTACAATAAACAAAAAGGTGAGTTATAGAGCCTAGATAATCAAATAGTACATACACTGTTGGAAATTTAATTTCGCATAATAGGGAAATCAATGTTAAATTCTTAGCCGGCTGAAATCCAGTCTACCAGTATACATTTCAATAGAACGTCGCGATGAATTCTAATAAATTTAATTGTTCTACTGGATCGCACGCCGCGATTTGTAGAGGTACAAAGTTATTTGTGTTAGGTATGAGGTACAAAATTATTTAGAAACTACATTTAATAGGTTTTTTGGGGATATTTCAAAAAAATGTGTGTATCGGTAGGTACAGTTTTGAAACAGCAACAAATTTTGTTGAAATAAGGGAAAAAATAATTCAATTTTCAGCTAGAATTATACCTCAGCTCAGTAATATGGGATGACATCTGTATGACAGGTTTGGCTATAGTTTAGCAGAAAGCGGTGGACTATTTTTTAGAGTTCTTTTATTTTCTGTTTTAAAATAATCCTTAAGTTTATTTTTGAAGTTTCCTTTTTATTATTTTCTTAGAAGTTACTTTCTTTTTCAAGCCATTGTGACAAAAAGACATATCTTCATAATTCTATTTTAATATTAGTGATATTTTTTCAATAAATTATCGTTTAAAAATTCTCATTTCTTTTTAATCGACTCGACGTTCACCCATCCGAACCCGTTTTGATACTGTCGAAGTGTCGAAACCGTCGAAATTATTTGATTTTTAATCTAACCAAGCCAAAGAGCGGTGTGAAGTCCAGTAGAACAATTAAATTTATTAGAATTGATCGCGACGTTCTATTTAAATGTACACTGGTAGACTGTATTTCAGCCGGCTAAGAATTTACCATTGATTATTTCCCTATTATGCGCGAATTATTTTCCAACAGTGTATATCCTCCATTTTACGTTATTATATCGTTGTAGATAAATAAAAGTCCCGAAGAGAAGGAGCGTTGCAGCACCGAGGACATCTCCGTGTTAGACCATCGTCCTAAATTGTCCGATAAACTTCCGAAATCTGAGCTAAGTTCGGGGCTGATGTCGCCCGAAAAGCCCGTCAATTACGCCGAAGAAGGTACGCCCGGGTACTTTTCTCGCGTCAGCAGTTTCGGTTCTCTCAATTCGATACCGGCCGTGGAAAGTAACAAAGAACAAAAAGACAACGACAACCGGGAATCGGATGGCGAGAGAAAAGAGAACGAAAAATCATCGCCGAAAATGTCCGCCGAAACGAAGGTGGTCAAGTTCGAACGGGTGGTGAATTACGCCGAAGAGACCCCGTTGATGTTTTCCAGGTGAGGATGATGGCACTTTTTGTTTTGGAAGTCTTAGTGGAATATTATAAAATCCTATTTGTAGATCGAGCTCTCTGGCGTCGTTGGATAGCATCGAACAACACTCGATTCACGACGATAGAAGCTCCGTGGTATCGGATTTTAGTCGATTAACCAGCGGTATCGTCTCGCCGAGCGAATTACCGGATTCTCCTACACAAACGGTACCGCAGAGCCCTAAACCTAGAAAAACCTCGCTAGACTTTCCATCTAGTTCTAAGGTAATTGCAATTTCACAATGGCAAAATACGGTGAAATTTAACACGTTGCTAAAAAAATTATAGATGAGGTCTAATGACAGAACTTCAGTACCGAGGGTGCTACCTAAACCGAGTATGTTCGAGGATAACGTTACTAAATTCAAAGAAGAAAGTACTCCCATACAATTTTCCACAGCGACGAGTTTGAGTAGTTTAACTATAGATGATCATGAAGATAATGGAGAACAAGTTAGTGTTTTTTTTTCGATATTACTTGAATAGATATTTAATAATCAATTGTAGGCGAGCAGTCGCAAACCGTCAAATAATAGTTCCCAAGAAGAACAGAAAATCGTAAATGATGAAGCCGAGAAAAAGGACGATGAAAAAGGTACCGCTGCGTCTGATATAAACGATGATTACGTTTTCGAATCTGATGTCGATGAAGACATTCTGGCTGATTGTATTAATATAGGGATGCAAAACAATAGGTAACGCACTAATTTGTCTATTTATTTAATTATTTTTGTTCGAATGAATAATTGTTTCAGGCACGATCAGTCCAAATCTGTTCAAACATCGACTCCCACCAAATTGCCCACTTCCAGTTTTAAATACACGTCGAAAACTGTCCAAAATAGCGGAATTCCGATGCCGAGAGGTAATTCCAGAGTGCTTTCGCAACCTAATCAATCGAGATCCTTTGAAAACCACACCGGGATAACTGGAAATCAGGTACGCATGCAAATTTAAGAGTATTCTTCGAATAGTAATATTCTTTTATGAAGCTACAAACGTTAATTATTGTCTAATTTAATCTCTCGTTGGCAATTTTTTTACATACCCCGAACACTCGCTCCTTTACTATCGATAGGTTCGCCGAACATTATACATTTTTAGAGAACTACTCTCAGTTGCATAAAACAATGTTTAATCTATAAATATATTTAGGGCGACACAGTTAGAACTTACTACACTGAAGACACCCCTGTAAGATTGAGTAATGCAGCTTCCAATTCGGATTTGAGTTTACTTTCCGCTTCGAATGGGAAGGATGGTTCGAGAAAAGGCGATTACTTATCCGACGACAGTAGTAATCTATCAGGTAATTTTTTTTCTAAATGTGATCCAATTTTAAATGCTTTCACTCTATTTACGCTTATCTTATCAATTGAAAAATTACTACAAACGCTGAACTAGATCAGCGCGGTCGTTCTTTTTAAATATTTAATACCCACATATCCGTTTTGAATTTATGTTCGTTGTAAAATATGAAATTATGATTTTTAGTGCAGTTTAAAAAAGTGCTTCGTGTTATTCTAGATAAATATTTAGTTCGTGATTGTTTACATTTCATGTTTGAAGAGATGTATATTCTGGTAATTTTTTGGTAAATGTTTACCATTAATTTGCTATTTGAGTATCGTACGGAAATAACAAATTTATTACAGAATTTTTGAAGTCGTGAATCCTTCACATTTTTTCATAGTTTGTTTGTAACGAAGTATTTGGAGATTATAATTTCAATTTCCAGGCGAAAATGACAACATTTTAGCCGAATGCATACAATCGGCGATGCCCAAATCGAAGAAAGACGCCAAAATCGCCCCGAAATCCGCCATGCCGTCGTCCCTACCGCGCCGCAGCGTTCCCACCGGCAAATACCACGGCGCCTCCGCCGTCGCCGGTAACGCGAGACGATCCGAAGCTCCTAAAGTGCCCCCGTTATCGACCGACTTGAATCGAAGGGATAATTCGTCGTTGTCCGGCTATTTGAACGTCGGAGACGAGGTGGAAAATTACGCGGTCGAATCCACTCCCTGCCATTTCTCGCTGAGGAGCAGCCTGAGCGATTTGACCGTCGACGGGAGCGTCGCCGGATTGAACAGGTTTGTTTAACAATTTGAAATTCATAAGCGATAAGGAATAATATTTCGATTGTTTATAGGACCGGCGGGCAAAATCAAAATGAAAGTTCCCCGTCGAAAGTCGAAGGTGGAGAAAATCAGGAATCTCAATCGGGTGAGTGTGTTTAATGAATTTACCGTTGGTTCGGTTCACATACAATAAATTTTTACAGCGAATTCCACTACAATGCAACATAACATCAGCCAACAATCGAGAAGAGAATCCTTATCGTCGATAAGCGTGGAATCCCTCGGATCAGCCGAAGCCGAACAAGCCCTACTGGCACAGTGCATATCTTCCGGTATGCCCAAGAGTCACTCGAGAAGCGATCCGATGAAAATTCCCAAATCCAGGTAAAATAATCGCTATTGTTCGGAAAAATCGGGCGCTAACGAACGCACCAGTTCCAGGACGAATCCGGAAGAGCACTCCTTCGACTCGTCGAGTCCCCCACGGTACGACGTCAATTCAAAAAACGTGAGTGCTGCGTCTGTTGCCGGGAGCACGCGAGAACTTCCAGCCGAGAACGAGCCGCGTCCCGCAACAAATCGGTCCATCGCGGCAGCAGGCGTAGAAAGAAATCCAGAAATCCGTCGGGAGAACGGGACAAGGGCGGAGGCGGAGCCGAGCAAACTGCCAGTTCGAGAGGAGCCAGAGAGAACAGGGATCCGAACGCCCAGCGATACATCACGGGACAGATGCTCGCCTACAGACGAGATCTCATCCCCAGGTTAGATCTTCTACGCTAGTAGATAGGTAAGATATTTATGCTAAAACAATTACGTTTCAGGAGAAGCGAAGAGTGGATCTAGGGATTCGTTGCAGAAGATATTGGACGTGATGGATGAGCGGTTGGTGCGCAGCTGCGAGGAATCCAAAGTGGTGGACAACAGAATGCTCGATCCCGACGCCATGATCGAATCGTTGGATCGTTTCACGGCCGAATTAGTGTCGCAGGCGAGCCATCTGAACAAAGACGAGAGTTACAAGGTATCCACGGCCGATAACACGTGGAACGACGACATTTCCCCGAACGATATCACTTTTCCGAGTATATCCGGCAGCGCTCCTAACGTCGTTACGTTCAGTCACAGCAACGAGGAAGTTAACGATGTAGTTTGCACTGATGAAGGCGGTCCGGCGTCGAACGATTTTTCTTCGATAAACACATCGACTATGACGGATAGCACGTTGATAGCCATCGACGCTAATAAGATGGCTACGGTGTTCCAAAAAGAGGCGGAAATGTCTTCGAGCCTCAACAGCGCCGCTTCCTTGGAATTGGACAACATTCAACCGCCTTCGCAGCTGAACTCTCTAACGAACAGCGCCGTTAGTTTGACCAGGAGTCCGAAATTGCCGAGAAGGAAGAAATCTCTACCGGCTGGGTTGATGATCCGACGCGCTTTTAATAACTCTTTGAACAACGGCTCCAGCTTAGAGAGCTTATCTAACTTAGACCACGTTAATCCTCCTACGGATTTGTTGTTCGATATGGAAGGTAGCGTGACCAGCATAGCTAGTCTACCTAGTGACCAGAGAACCGATTTCATAATCAACGGTATCATCAGCAAAGATATACAACAACGAAACCAACATCCTATATTCGATTTGAAGCAACCTTACAGCGAATTGGAAAACATCAACCCTCCCTCGTTGTTCAACGAAATCACGGATTTCTGCAACTCGCTCGCCGACGTGCCCACCGAAGTCATAGCCACCGATACGGATATATTCGAAGACTGCTTCACTCACACGATCGACGACACAGCGGCGGACTTCACCCTAGCCGAGGACGGAGTCGACGGCATCGCCGACTCCATCATGGAAACGGCCAACAACATCGACGACGACGACGAAGACGTCACGATATTCTCGGACGCGAAGAGCAGCGTGGAATCCACGCCGAAGAAGACCAAAAGCGCCACGCTGAGCAAATCGATGACGACCAAACAGCGCCGCAACCAAGCCAGGGACCGTTACAAAACGTACACGATCGGCGCCGAGATGGTGATGCGCGAGGAAATCGAAAAGTTGAAGGAGACCGGCGACGATTGCAGGTACGACAGCGGCTTGCCCGAGGCCGACAGCACCACCAGCACCTACGATTCAGCGACCTACAGCGCCGAAAAGGAGAAGCTCACGCCGCGCCAGCGTCGCGCCATGAACAGGTCGCGTTTCGAGACGCAAGTCGTCGACGAAGCTACCGCTAATATCGCCAACATCATGCAGCGATGCGCGATAGATCCGGCTCCGGTGCAAGACGACAGTTGCTCATCGTCGCCGCTTCCCAGTCCGGTGAGATCGAAGCTGAGCATCCGGAGGAACTTTATGCAGAAGCGGCTGGAGAATAAGGAGCGGTTCAGGACGAGGACGTTGAGCGAGTCGAGCTTCTCTCCGGAGGCCTCGTCGACGTCGCCTTCTTTAAATGGAGAAAACGACGTTCAGTTGCATTTGCAGAAGGAGGCTAATAGGCAAGTATAATTTTTGTCAATAGAGAAAATCTAATGGCGTTTTCCATTGGTAAAATAGTGTGCACTGTTTTGACGCGACTGTTTTGACTTCCATTGGCAATCTGGCCACCAAAAAACACTTTTGGAAATCAAAACACTCGCACAGCTCACCAAATAAAACAAAAATTTTGCTTTGAGTGTATTTTCAGTGCGCACTATTTTACCAATGGAAAACGCCATTATCTTCCGTGTTTAGTACCTATTATTGTAGGATAAAAATGTGTTAATTAATGTCTCTTTTTTCCCGTAGAGTATTAAAAACGTTAAGGGACACGAAGACGTACGAGGAATTGCTGGATTGCGAAACGTTGAGTTTAGTCAGCAACGACGACGATTCGGAACACAACTCTGGGAATTCTGTGAATTACAGAACTTACCACAAGAGTTGGGGTATGAAAAAGAACATTCCCGTCATAACGAACCAAACGACTCGCCCGGCCGAGTTGATCTCGCCACCGAACAACGACGACAAGGAAGAGGAAGAAGAAGAAGAAGTCGAGGAAGAGGACGAGGAGGAGAAACGATCGCTCGGCAAGCCGAAAATCGTGAAACCGGAAGAGAAAGCCGCCCAGGACGAGGAGGTACCGGCCGAGCAACCGAAAGGTATTCGAGGCCGCAGGAAACCGTTGTATTCCAGAACGGTGACCAGTTCGACGCCGAAGAACATCAAACCCGTCAAAACCATGACGTCTAATTTGGTGAAGAACGTTACCTCGACGTTCAAATCGAACTCGGTGCTTAAGAACGTGTCTAGACAGACCAAATCGACCGTATCGCCGCTACAAAGTCGCGTTTCGAGCGGTTACGGGAGCAGAAACGTATCGAAACCAGCCTCGCCTAAAACTAGTCCAGCCAGGATGCCGGCCAGTAATCGAAGCAGTCCCAAGCACGCGCCGTCTAATAAAACCGTTGCGTCCTTAAAAGGTAAGCTATGATAAAGCTCTCACAATACTGAATAGTTTTTTGCACCAATGAGGCATCAATCACCTTTGATTTCATTTTACATTACAGTAAGTCCTCAACTAGACCGGCAAGGAACGTTCACGAAAGACGAACAGGCTGCTCCCAGCAGTACTTCTGCTGCATCGAAGCCGGCCAGTAAGATTCCGACCGTCTCGAAAATACCGAGCTTCGCTTCGAAAACCGTCTCCAAATTGATTCCCCCGGCGCCGGCTTCGAAAATTTTCGGTAAACCGCCGGCCGTGAATAGAGCGAACGGCATCGTTAAATCGGCCAGTACAGACAGAACGGGCAGGAATCCGAAGGTGTACAACAGATCGACCAGCGCCGATAGCAGGGAATCGATATCGAGGCGGGTACCGCCGAGTCCTTCCAGTCAAAGTTTGAAGGGCGAATCGAAGGTGCAGCAGAACGGGGCTGTTAAGAAATCGTCGATACCTAGTGCTAGTTTAGCGCAAAGGTGGGGAACTTGTAAAACTTGTATGAAGCTTAGCAATTTGAACTAAAAACTAATTATTGTATTACAGATCTAACAGTAATTCAAGCATAACGTCGACGGGAAGCTCGAATAATGTAAGAAAACAAGTAACCAGTAAGATTGCTAATTTGTGGAAGAAAATCGAAGATAGTAAAAAACAACCTCCCAAGCAGGACACTCGCGTTTGGATACAGCCTGATATTGAGAAAGAACCTCCTAGATTGATAAGGTATTAAAATTACTTATTTCTTACCTACTTACCTATTATAAAATATCATTTTTGTTCAACAGCCGAATTTTAATTAAATGATATTTTATAGTCGGTTATTACTTATTAGTATAGAAATATTTAATAACAGTTCAGCTATACTCGTATTAACAATTGAATATTTTATTGGATTGTTCTTTTAGGAGCAACACTTTCGAAAACAAGAACGGATTAACGTTAAAAAGTAGACAGGAGAACGAGGAGGTCTGCTTGTCTAAATTACAACCGTACGACTTTACTGACGATGTAGACGGTATTTCGACTGATAGCTTTTAATTTATGTAATAATTGTGTTTCCATTTTCTACCGTTGAAAGGAAAACAGCAGTTTTCCTTTTGTCGTGAATTTTTGCGTTATTGTTTCGACATTTAATCCAAAGTAGGAATCGAATTACCTAGTTATTTAAGTTTCGTTGTGTCCAGTGATGTTAATTTGATAGGGATAACTTTGAAGTAAATGTCGAATTGTGTTGTTAATGTATTACTAAATGTATTTTTAATTACTTCTTTTAGTTTAGCTATTTGCCATAAATTTTAATATTTAAAATATTAATTAAAAAAATTAACCTATTTATTCAAGATGCTCTGAACTCTTCATTTTTTTAGGTATATGTAGCAGTGAACTTTAATTTTTTTTAGGTGTAGGAATTTGAAAAAGGAATTTTCTAGTCGCAGTTTATTGAATAAGACTGTATATTGTATGTAAGTAGTTAGCAGCGCTGTGGGGGTATTTAAATTTTTGAGTTAAGTATACGTGCACGATACATACTACACTCAAAATATTGATTGTCCCTATTGTTCTCTCCGTGATAATTTAATATAATTTGTACATATTATAATATTTTAGAAAGAGCGTAGTTTAGTTATAATTTTATAATATTTGTATTTGATTTCGTCGAATAGATTAGACTTTAGTCTAACTATTTTAGTTAAGAGGCTGTTTGTCACATATTCTAAACCCTAAAAATCGTTTATATTTAATAAATTTGCTTTTACCTTCACTTTATTGATTTCCTTTACCGTTTTAAAGAAAAAGTAGTAACCTGCAATTAATTGTTGTAATGGTAGTAATTTATTGAGTTTAAAAACTAAAAGCACATACTGACAAACAGTTGATAGTGAATAATACAGCAAAACAATACATACTTCGTTAAATATATACACAGTCCTGACATTTTGCTGCCGACGTTTCAACTAAATAATCGCTAGAAACAAAGATCGATCGTTTTACCATTCAGTATCTCTGATTTAGACAAACCACATTAAATTTAAACAAACCAGAAATAAATCCAATGGAAACTGTAAATTTTACACGAAAAGTTAAAGATACATGTCCGCCGTTACTAAATAGAAATAAAAATAATCACAATAACTTCGTCTTTAAGAAGTAGACTTAACAATTATAATATATACAGTGTTACAACTAAAAACGAAAAATTAACTAACGCTAAGATTACAGATTTGTGCCTTAAATAAGCTTAGGGCCACGTATTGAACTGTAGGTTTATTAGAAATTGGACAGATATATTTTACATTGTTTCGTTTAAGAAGCAGCTTTTGTTCTTTAACTTAATTAAAAATGCCATAATCATATTATATGTATAAGTAAATGGCACGTTAAATTTGTTTATACAGATTTTTAGAAAATAATAATAATCAGTCTTAATCTATACATTTCACTTTAAACGATGCTAATTAATAATTAATTATAGCAAACATGTATTAATAGAAAAAGCACCAATTAAAGTGAATTCCAACGAATTTAATACAACTATTTTCAAATTAAAAACTGTATAACTTCCACTGAGGTATGGAGTAGCTGCTTCTTAAAACGTAGAGCTGTATAATTAAAAAAAATACATAAAAATTTACCCGAAAACAAAATAAATTACCTCTTCTCAAAAAAAAATCCATGTACACCCTACATTTTCGAAATAAAATCGTTCGAAATGGACGCCGATAAAAATATTTAATTTACATTTCAATCTATTCAACCGACTGGGGTTTGGTTAATTTAATTTCGGTCTCATACATTAATTGAACGCGATTAACAATGTACTTTACAACTATTTTTCGTGGATCATTCGAACAAAAAATAAAATAAAACAAATAATAAAACCTACGTTGTTTTCAACGCATTGTTGACAAATAATTCAATATTTGAAAAATTGACCTAAATATCATAACGCACTCTCAAACATCTCTCTATATACAGAAAATCCCATTTCAATTATTTAGAAAATAATACGTTTCGTAAAATCAACAAAAAACAACAATGATACAGGGTGTTTAATACATGAAAAATTGAAGATAATTGTAACAGAACAGAGCGTTGTAACAATGGATTTAAATATAAAAAAATCGAATAAAAATTATAAGCCGAGAAAGAAATGGAAAAATGTATGAAACACTCAATATATAGGTTGTAAAGTACCCAGAAAACAAAACCTTTATACACGTTGATGCATCTTAGTTTGCAATATAGGCTATGGGTGCAACAAAGACAACTTCCATTAGACACCTATAAAGGAAAAAAGTTATTGTGGTATTGCAATTGTCTCACTCTATCCACCGTTATTTTAATAACCTTTCCTTGTTCAACTCATAGAATTGACCATATTGCAAACTGAAATGCACTTATGTGTGTTTGGGTTATTTAAAACCCTTTTGGGAACGTTCATTAATGGTTCAAATAATACCCAAGTATTTGTGATGTTTTTATAAAATTTCTTTCTTTTTCACTTCAATTATCACGAGATATTCATTTCGATTTTCCACCTTAAATCCAGTACTTTCATTACATCCCATTATTATAAAATTTAGATGTTTCTAATAATGCATTTTATAAAAAAATAACAGGCCGCTTTTTTATAAAATCATTCAAAATACGATAATCAATTTAAAAAACCTAGTATAAGCACCAAAATTTGTGATAAACTAGGCTAGATTTTCGAAAGGGATCTTCTGTACATACACGCAATTTTAAATTTCCTTCTAAAAAATATTTCAAACAAAAACAAACGATTGCACACTTCAAGGAATTAGAATTTTTTGTTTTCTAGTTTAGGGTCTACTCGAAAAAACGAAAGAAAACAGTAAAAAGGGGCAAACGATAAACATCAAAATTGAAATTTGTATCGTAATATTATAATCGATTTTTCCCTTACAAGATGAATCCAACGTAAGCTTTGTTCCCAATCAGCGTTTGATCAGTTCAATTACGAATCAATAGTTGCGAAATGGAAAATTTTCCAAAGCGCAATCACCGAGTAGTTTGTACGTTGATGGATCATTAATTGGAAACAAACCCATAATAAACCGAGTTTTTGATATTAAAGGAATGACCCGGATATTTTGTATAATTTAAAGTCAGTCAATTTTTTAGATTCACCCATCATTGATCACAACAAAATAAGTTTCCAGGTAGAAATGATAATACGAAATGGCTCACATTTTCTTCACTGTTGTAAATCATCCGTAGGCACTAATTTTAACTCGTTCAAACGATTAACCGAATCTTACGAATCGCCCGGGTGAATCTGATAAGATTTCATCTACCACCCACGGAAAATTAAAACGGAAATATTTATATTTATGTATAGTATAATAAAAAAAAATGTCCGTGCATCTTAACCGTCCTCCTTGGGAGGTGTAAACCATCCTGAAAATAAATAAAAATTATTCATCGAGTCGAGGCGATTTTTCGAAATATTGTCCAAAATATACTCCTCTTTGTAAATTCAAATTTGTTCTCATATTACATTTCATCCTCCATAATATTTGTATATGCACAACTCGTGCAGTAAGTTTGTATTGAATCAAAAATATGTAAATTTCAATCATACACACTGGATATACAGGGTGTCCAGAAAATAGATAATTCGTAATTAAGACATCAAATAAGGGTATAAGTTCATATAGATTTTGTTCATTTGAGCCCACATTTTGTCCCCCAATTTTTGAGCCCTCTACCTAATTTAAAAATTGAAATTTTTCTTGAACCGTTAATTTTGTCGACTTCCAGGATTCATTTAACCACCAAATTGGGCATACTGGTGTAGTTAATAAACCACAAAAATTTTTCCTTTCTCCCATGTACAATTAGGGAATAAAACGTAAAAATAAGTTATAAATTTTTAACTTTAAAGGCCTCTATTTTTGTATGCCTCTCAAATTTGTATGCAGTTATACCATTGTTTTAATTTCATCTATAAGCTCCCGAATTATTGGGATAATTTTCTGGACAACCTGTATTCCCATAAAAGAATAGGTCAAAAAGAACTTACCGTTTTTTTCGTGGATTTGTACAAGTGATTTAAAGCTTTGTTGAGCCCTCGCCAAGCTGTATTGTCCCTGCGAACAGACTTTCGGAGCTCCGAATTGGATCCGCGCTTTACCTTTAACGAGCGTAGCGGATATTTGCATTATCACCGCTTCTACGGTGTAAGCGCTCGACCAGCCTTGTTTCGTTAACAATTCCATGCATATCGCTCCACCCACCAACACATAACCACCTAAAAAAAATACCAAACAATACAATTTCAACCGCTAATTCTTCATATTGAATCGAGAATCTTACCGGATATAATCGGATGCACCACCCTGACGAAGGGCGGTTCGAACGGGTAAGTGTCTTTGAACAACATGTTCAATTGTATGGAATCCTTTCCCTCCTTCTCTTTGAGCATCTGCAAATCGTGGCTGAGCGGACTGTCCGGATCGACGCACATCAGCCTCACGTTCCATTCGTACAACGAATCGTTGACCAGCTCGATTTGGTACATTTTGTTTTTGAACGAGTCCGAACGGTAGATGTCCCGCAATTCTTTCATCAGTCGATCTGTCGCCTGGACGGAACCCGACACCGAGCCCTAAACATTGAAATATTTATCGATAAGTAATTGATTAGATGTAGAGATAGATTCACTAATATTTTCCACTGTATGAACGTTTTCACTCGCTGCAATATAGTGCAATAATAAATAGTTGCAATATTGCATTGCAATTAAAATACAAGCGTTTAAATGCGTAGTTTTCCATGTAAGAAACCCATGTAAAATTATGCAGGTTTTTTATTACTTTTTTTAGTAATTAAATTACATAAAAATGAAAGGTATCATCATAGTGCTTTAAGATGTCAAGTGAGATTATAACAACTACTGCATTTACTAGTGCAATAAATCTTTATTATCAAAGCAGTTAAGTAATATTAAATGTGATATGAAAGGTGTCTAAAAAGTTTAAATTTCTAACATCAATAGACTTCTAATTGAGGTCTTATTTTTGCCTTTGAGTTTTGCTAAAGCATACAAATGTAATATTAAGATTAACTTGAATGAGCGCGTGTTGTTGACTAACAAAATAACAATCCCTAATAAAAATATCACAAGATTCTATGATTCGCAAATGTCTAGGTCTCTGGGTCAAATAGGGATAGGCCTAATTAATTAACTACTCCCTCTAGAACAAATATCAACAAAATTCCACAAGAAAATTCGCTTTAACGAACCTTTAAATAGTCCTGCCTCTGGTTCTGCCTGAGCCTCTCCAACGTCGCCAGGTGTTCCACGCCCATCTCGTCCGCCTTCGATCTGTTATCCTCCATCTCCATGGCGAGATCCTCGTCGGCGTCGCTTTCGTCCTCTCCTTCGCTCTCTCCGATGTCCAAGTCGGCGTCGCTGTCGAGGCCCTCGTCCTCCATCATGGTTTCGTCGCCGCCGCTTTGGCTGCTGCTGTTACATCGCGTGCTTATTCTACACCAAAAATAAAGGACTCAATATTTCTTCTGGATACTTGTAGTTGGTACAGGAATGTTTGCTTACCGATTGGTCGCTTGTCGATCTAAAATGTGTAGTGAATCTAAGTCGGGAGGCTCGGGCACCGCGTGCAATCGACACAGCTCTTTGAGAAGTATTATCACTTGGTAGAGGACGTGATTGTCCAAACCTTCGGTATTACTTAATATTTGAACGGCATTCGCTATACTAGTTTCTTCGGAGTCCGCGAACCATACGGGCGGTACGGCGGGGTATGTTTCCTGAAAACGAATAAATCCACTTGAATTATGGAAGCAAAATATAGCACAGTTCGAAAGTGAAAACGTATCTTGTGAGGTTTTTTAATAAGAAAAGGTGTCATAAAAACATAGGTTGTTATAGAGGAATATTTATACACATACTGATGCATAAAACTAATATAATAAGTGTTCCATGTGGTGCAATTTTCAGTAGAGGACAGTGTATATGTAGAAAATGATTTTTGGTTTAATAAATAAAATCTTTGGTCCTACGATTGGGGATTTTTGAGAAAGCATTCGTTATACCAAAATGAAGCTCTGCAGCAAAATCAATCATTTTCCTGATTTAGAGTGATTTCTGGTAAATTTATTTCATAATTAGGGTGCTTGAAATTCAGACTTTCTACAGATAAAATACTTTTCAAATTATCGCATATTCATTAAATAAAAACCCAATCAGTTATGATTTATGATATACGAGCCAAAAAAATTCTTACATTTTTAATTGTTCAGATAAAAGTAATATGGTATAAGTATTCACTTAAATAATTATTTACTTTTTTCTACAAAACAAACAAATTCAAGTACGCACATAAGTAATATTATTTGAAATACACTTTCCAAGAAACGAATTCCATAAACACATTCAGTATTGTTTTGATTTATTATAAATAAACCACGCTGACTGTAAAATCCGTTTATTACCAGGAATTTCGATGTAAATTCAGTGAAAATTTCGATTTTGGTTGCGTCATACTATTTAGATTTAAACTGTAATTCTAGGACGTAAAACTGTGCTTCAATAATTGCTTTATTGGAAAAATTTATTGCGTTACAATACTGCATATAATAGTTTCTTTAATTTTAATTAAATTGCAACATACTAATACAGCTGAATAAGAACAGAATATGTAAAATAGAATAATAGAAAGGGAATAGGTAAACCATGACATTAGAATTGACAAAAATTTAGTTAATTGTAATATGTCATATGTATAATTCAGGTCATTTTTCACTTAGGTATTCAATTTGGTTAATTTAAATTGTATAGTTAATCAACCAAGTGTGTTTTATTTTCTTATTTTGTCTAGCCATTGTTGTTTTAATCAAGTGCTTTTCTAAGTCATTTAATTAGATACAAATTTAAACGATAATACTTAGGTGTGTTTTTAGATAATTTATTGATTAGTTGGTATAATTTCTTAAATAAAATTAGCACATATATTACCAATGTGACGATTATTCAGACCAGTAGTTTCTGAGAAATTATTTCTATAGTATAAATAAACTGGGTATATTATTTTGATTTATAAATAAAATAGCACAATGAAATCACTTTATCGCCAGTAATCACTTTATCTGTGAAACTCGCAAAAATCACTAAATTTCGATGTAAATTCATTAACAGTTTTGCTCATGTTAAACCACCTACATTTAAACTATAATTCTAGGCCGAAAAACTGTACTTGTGTAGTTGCTCGTTAAGGTAAAATCAATTTACAGAGAAATTAATAACTTTAAATTCGGATTTTCCTTAATATTAATTAAATAACAAAGCTTTAATACACCTAAATGATAAATAAAAATATATAGAATATGACATTAGAATTGACAAAAACAGCTGTATTAAGTACATATGTTAAACGTCAAAAAAAAACAAGAAAAATAAAGTCCTTTGTTGGGGTGTTGAAGGAGACTTATTAGATTACAAGGACTTTGGGGAAAGCGCAAATAACGTAAATTCACCGAATTGCAAATCAACTTACTGTAATATTCGCATGGATCGTGTATTCAACACCGTTCTTTCCGATAAACCTACAAGTCAATTCGTCAACACTCGCTGAGATGATCTGAAATCGTTCATGGTTTTTCGTAAATATCGATTCTAGCGTCCGAATTTCCTGCTTTAGCGTATTTAAACAAGCCATATGTATCACTAACTAGGTATTTTCGTGGATTCGCCGCCCGTTTGGGACACTTTTTGGGACACTAAAGCACTAATTTTCGGGTACTCGAGCACTCCCTGCACACCAAAATGGCTGCTCAGTGAATGCGAGCGGCTAACAGTGTTGCCAACCATTGATCATCCTTTTTTCCTTAATTCGCTTGAAAATTTATTTGTAATAGTGATGGTTGATGGTTCTTTAGGAACCGTTGATTTATAAATAAGAAATGATTTTTGAAGATTTCTTTTACAATCCTGGTGCATTTTTCGGATTATTTTTGTGGATTGATTGATGGGTTTTCTACAAATTTGTTTCAACTCTTCTTTAAATGTTGTTTAAAGATTTCGTAAAGGGCTATTATGCATTTACCATTTGAAAGTAATACATTTTTTTTAAATAAATTTATCCTTTGGGCGTAAAATGCGTCGGGCATTGACAGTTTCTGTCAAAATTTTAGTACAAAACCGAAGGTTGGCAGCACGAAAATCCCTATTTTTTTATTAACAATTTCTGTTATTAAACATTACTATGGACATTTAGTGATTCCGAGTCATTTACTATCATCGTTATAATATTAATTAATCAAGAAATGCAAAAACAAACCAATTATAAGATAAAACGTAGTCGAATGTCATTTATTGACACAGCGAACAAATATTTTGACAACAATGACAATGACATAAGAAATAAATTACACTGTACAATCTGCCAACTCTAAATATAAAAAAAATTCTCAAACAAAAACTATTAACTATTAGTATAAAAATGTTAAATGAATTTATTCGATAATTTAAATTTAACATTTTCATTTTTTCCTATCACGTGCAAGTTTTCCCCAAAAACGGGAAATTTCCCTCACATTGGCAACAGTGCCGGCTATCGAGAAGAAAAGACGCGTTCGCGAGCAATCGGCTCGTCTCGGGCGATCGAGGTTTTTGGAAATAATTGAGGAGAAACCGGGATTAACGGGATTTTTTTATAAGTGGGATAGGAGGGCATGTTGCGTACGGTGTGTGGTACTCGATCCTACTTCATCGACGAATTTTGGCAAACTGACCTATTTTATTTGCATTAGAAATTCATTTTTTATTTACGCGTAGATCGCTTCGGTTTATTATTTTATTACGGGGGTCGTTCGATAAGTTCGGAGGATAGTTTTTATTACAAGGGGTTTACGATAAATACGAAACGTGCAGAATGACCAAAAACTGTATAAAGAAACCAAGAATGACCAAGAACAAAAAACATTAATACAATAAATTCTTAATAATTATTTTTGGAGTCCCCCAAAAGATTCCTCTTCTGTGTGGGTTCATATTCAAGACAACCTGTACATTTCAGTTGAATAATGAATAGCTACAAAATTTTTTTTGATCAACTGTAAAATACTTTTTTTGTATTTTTCCACCTCCTGAAATAATCTTTTCGCGAGAAAACGTCTTCAGGTGAACGAATCGAATTAATAACGATCAACCAACCTAACAGATATCAAATCAAAAACACCTTATAAGGGAACCCGAATGTACCGCAATTCTGTAAATCTCCTGCCAGCCTATCTCATCGCACAATCCTGCGAATACGCCTGCTTTTTTATCTTCATCTTTTGGCAAAGAAGAACTGGAAGACTCAAAGTGAAGCAAATATCGAGCGAAGTGGGGGCCCAACTCTGAGACTGATCCGCTTTATAAAAGGCGGAGACCGTGAATTTGATCTTAATGAATTATTCACGAATTGCGTAAAAGGGCTCAATCGAAATGCGCGGGGTTGTTTTGATTATTTGTTTGTTCCGAATCGCCTCGATTGCACACGGGAGAAGTTCTAATGGTTATTTATTAAGGGGTAAGAATTCGTTTATTTATATTTTGATTATTTAAAAAAATCTATTATTGGCTTTATCGGTTTTTATATTTTTTATGTGATTAATTTAGATTTTTATAAATTTTTAGATAGTTTTTTCTTCATATTGAAGTTTGATATTTAAAGTTAATTTACACTTTTTTGATACGTATTAATTTTTACATTTCAGAATTTTTTCTTGATTCCTTTTTTGATTTTCATCATTTTTTAAGATTTTAATATGATTTTTGGATTAATAGTTTATTTACATTTATGGTTTTGTTTAGCTAGTATTTTTTTAAATTTTTGGGTAGTTTTCATATTATTTTTAGACTAGGTAATAATTAATGTGCATTATTTTCATTAATGAAAATTTAATTCTAAAAACAATGTACATTTATTCTAACAATGACACGAAAAACATTTAATTATGCAAAGAACTACTTTAAAAAATCAATTGATCAATAGAAAAATTGTCTAAAAAGGCACTTAATTAAAACTATACCTAGCAACTCAAAAATAGTATGATACATTATACTTTAAGCAGGCTGAAATATACAGATAAGTGCAAATAGTCTCATAAAAAGGAAAAAGAAATGGTGATACTGTGGGATTCCAAGTTTCTCAATACCACTCTGTTATTTTAATAATCTTTCTTTGCGCAACTCATAGAATTATGGCCATATTCCACACAAATTTCCATAAAATTACTTGAGTAATAGCTCCAAAATACCAACCAAACATATGTATTTCTAATAAACTAGATATAATAGGAATAATACCAGACCTACAAAGGTAACTAAAAAATCAGTCCAGTTATAATAGCGAATTTAATCAACCCAATGTAAATGTAAAAGTACCCTGTTTGTTGAACCCAGCGATCTAAATTCCGAGGCAAAAAATTTCCCGAGTCCGAGAGGAAACGCGAGCAATAAATCGAAGCAGATAAGACGTGCATAGCTGTGTAGCGAACGAGCACTGAGAAAAGCCGCATAGGCTTCTGCGTAAAGTACACGCTATAAGTACCTAACGTGTACTAAGTAACAAGTTACAAGCCTCATCCTTGAAAAGAGCCGATTTCAGATTAGACGTTGAAATATGAGGGACTTCAGGAAATGTAGTTCTTTGTTTCGCAGGGTCGTCGCGAGCTATTGTTCCTCTCGATATTATATTTTATTATAGCTGTAGCCGAAGATTTAATATACAGAGTGATTTTTTATATAATAGATCGTTATTTTAGGGGTTGATCAAATCTGGGATACCTAAAGTGTTACACATAATAGGGGTGTTTGAATAAATCAAACAATTTTACTAGATAGGGGTAATTAATTATCACAAAACTAATGGTGTTTGATTGACAATTCTCTTAACATGCTACTTGGAAGCCTTTGTAACTGGTTTATTAACTATATTTATTATTAATGGAATATTTAATCCTTGATATTAATCTAGATTTTGTTACTTTTGTTTGGGTTCCATCCATTTCCAATAGGTAAATGCGCGAAGAATTCGCCGACCTTGAATAATGTTAATGACATCAAAGGTAACGTAGGAAGATCATTTGCCAAAAAGTCATAAATAATCGTTTTTTTTATTGGATTCTTGTAACAAGACTTATGTCCATGTTTAGAAGCCTCGGCGTTTGTTCTGGACTGTGGGAAGAAATTGTATGAATAGCTTTATACTTATACGGCAGTTGAACAATATAAATTATATTTTATTCGTCGAATTCCTGTTATTTTAGAACAGAGGGATAAAAAAATTGTGCCGAGTGAAAATAAATTATTGGGTTTTTAAGGTAATTAATTTAAAAAATTACATATTTACGAAGCTATTTCTAATAATTTAGAAGCTATGCGTAAGAAAATTATAAATGTAGTAATGAGGGTACGAAACATTGATACGAAGCTGATATTGTCTGGCCCATTACTTATAAATTATTCATAATGTTTGCTTAATATAAAACAGTTTCTCTATTTTTTAGGATCTAGATCACTTACCCCTAAAGACATAAACCAATGGAACATTGTTCAAGGTGCCCAACAATGTACAGATCAACCGGCATCTCCAGGATTTGTATGGATTCAGGTACCGGTGGGTAACGTGGCTGTTTTAGGTGGTTCCCAGCAGTCACAAAAACAAACAGGTATGTATATTTTTCATAATTTTATAATATTTTCCCTTGTTTACTGTTCATTGTTTTATGTTGTAAAAATATCAGTCAATATGACATCTGGAACTAATATTGTATACAGGAAAAGGCCACAATTGTTCAAAAATTATTGTATGGAGAAGATTAACCTAACCTAGAAAAAGTAATATATTGTAAATACTGTAGGTATGTAAATGTAAAGTTTTTAGCTTTGAGAAAATTATAATGGTTCTATTTATCTAATAATTAATAATATATTTAAAATTATTCACAATGCCGTACATTGTTATTACTGTACCAAGTATACAGGCAAAAATCTTTTCTCCAAACAACAATAATAAAGTAACTCCTCATCTGAGGAAGCGGATATAAATAAACCAAAAATAAAATTAGAGAAGCTCGAAAAACCGATGAAAACCAGGGAAAGATAACAGTAAATTACAGTCACAGGCTCCTGTTAAATAATTAACAATTGTAGAAGAAATTAATCGAAAAATCTACACTTTGAATCTCCACTCAGTTCGAAGTAAATGTAGATCGTTCACAGAACTAATGTACACAGTTACCATATAAACGGTTCACAGATGGTCCAAAGAGTTTGCTAATTAAACTAATTAAGGTAACAATCTGTCCGAGATGGTATAAAAAGCACATCCAATTAGCCACAAATCCGAATTTAATTTAAAAATCTTGTAAATACTTATTGTTACAGAGTCACAAACGACTGCATCTGGACCATCGACTCCCATAGCTCCTTCGAGTAACCCGAGTCAGCAATCTACAGCAACAGCGGCCTCTTCTACAACTGGCGCTCAGTCAAATGGTAAAATTATTTCGATTGTTTGTAATAAGTATTATAATGAAAAACGCTTTGTAGGAAATTCTGATTTGAAGAATCTATGCTTGAAACCGAGGGGTCAGTTTCCCGGTACAACCTGTAAAACGTACGTAAATTGTTGGGATGGAGCTGCAGTAGAACAGGAATGTCCAGAAGGGTTGTTGTTTTCTAGTAAAGGATATTGTGATTTTTCACAGAATGTCGTCTGCAAAACAGAAAAAATTAGTAAAAGTAAGTACTTATAAAGTAAAAGTAAGTACCTACTGTAGTGCAACCTTCTTATCTTATGCATTAAACCTCTTGGTAAGTACTTCACCAAGTCTCGGTATGGTAACATGAACGAATGATGGGAATATATTAAAACATTTTATTTTTAATCAGTATACTTAGATATTTATTTTAAAAGTTTATTGTTTCTAGTTTCTCCTCAAGAATTGAAGGAATGCCCATTCGAGTCTGGAACATTTAGAGATAAAAACGATTGTTCAGTGTATCACAAATGCATTGCTTACAAAATTACTGCTACATATATTTGCCCAGTTGGATTTAAATATAATGAGGTTGGTCACAAAATGTCTATTATTTTGTTTAATAAATAATGTAATAATTTTATTATAGGAAAAAGGAATATGCGATTATGAAGAAAAAGTCAATTGCAATAAGACTCAAACTATAAATGGAAATGTTGAAGGAGATGCGATTGCAGCTCAATTTGCTCAATGCCCAGTTAAATATGGAACTTACAGAGATCCTAACAATTGCAGCAAATATTACGTATGCGCTTTATTTAAAATAATAGCTCAACGTGAATGTCCTTCTGGTCTTAGTTTCAACGATGTAAGTATATCCATGTTATGTGCATTTCTTGGAATACATAAACAATTTTCATAATTTGTAGAACACCGGTGCTTGCGATTATTCTTACAATGTCAACTGCAATGAAAAGCCTAAGATGTATGAAATTACTGCCGATTCAATTCATAATCTTCCTTCAGGTAATTTATTATTTGCAATTTATTACATATTAGCTTAAAGAAATGAACTGGCTACATTTGATAGAGTAATTCTAAGGTCTCAAAAATACATCAATTGCCTCAATATATCATAAGCTGGTTAAATGCTCCTAAGTAATATGAACTATCTGCTTTCAGATTATCAAAAGCAAGTAAACAACTGTAAACCAGGCTTAGTATTTCGACTGAATCCTCAATGTTCGATCGCCTGTTTGTGCAGAGAAGAACTAGCGGAGATTGTACGGTGTCCCAATGGTTTTGCATATGATTCCAAAACAGATAAATGCGTTCTGGCGCATTTGGCTAACTGTTAAAGTAAGTTAAAATGTACAAATTAGACTCTGTTAATAAAACACAGTATTTTGCTACTGCGTTATAGACCTAGATCAACTTAGGCGACCTAGAGAATGCCTTAACTTATTGATTTATGTGTTAATGGCTGTCATTAAATACTCCCATTTTGTTACAGATGCAAGAGCACTTTTCATTTAGAAGACTGATTTAATTGATAAGCTGCATAGGAGTACCGGCAGTAATGCAACAATATGTTGCAGGGTTTGGTGATGGGTAAAACAAATCAATAATTTGTCTAAATCGTAACATTTCATGCAATAAATTCATTTGACTGATTCATACGAGCTTCTATTCTAGAAGTAAAACACTATGCTTTAATTTTTTATGGATACGTTAAGTGCGGTCGTAAATCCGCTAAACCTTTGCGCTGTGTTGTAAAATTTTACGAGTCGCTAAATAAAATGGGTCAATGACTGGGCAGATACCTGGTTAACACCTACGGGCTATCTTTAGATAGGAACGTGAATAGTTATGCTAAAATAAAAGACCATTTATTTCACAGCGCATATTTACATGAGGAGAACATTCGGAATATTTTAGAAAGATATCTGTTTATTATTGAAATTTCGCCGCAATGGCTCTAGTGTAGTGGTATACAGGGTGTAGTATACAGTGCTTTTGGGGATGATCATCAAATGGTTTTAGACAGTTCTGAATGATTCTGGAGCGATCTAAATGAGTCTGGGGAGTTCTAAATTGTTATAGGCAGTTTTAGATGTCTCTGGAGTAGTCTGGAGTGTTCCAAATGGCAGAAGAATGACATATTGGGGTTGCTATTCCATTAATATAGATAGTTTAATTGAAACACACTGTATATTTTTACGTTTTCAGATTCTACAAACAATTGTAGGTTTTTAACGCATTGTATACTGCAAATCAGTCAATAAATTTAAATCGGAATTAACAATAATTAAACGAGCAACGGCGCCCATTATTTCCTGATTTAACGTTATTTAATATAATTAATTTTACGAATAATATTCCCCGGCCCAACCCAATTATGCAATGCGTTATTTCAACGATTAACCTGTTGAAAAACTCGAGACCCAATCGTAAGCCGTATAGGTATTTAAGGTGAAAGTGTCAAGTACTATACGCGGGGTACCTACGTATAAGTAGGAGTACGTAATATGAGTACTTTCACCGGTTCGGTTGTGTCTCCATATTCGCCAGTACAATCATCTTAAATTAAGTTAAATTAAATTGAATTAAAGCTGCATTCGGCCGTCGTAATTAATAGCATAATCGAAGCTTACCGGAGAAATTTTCTACCCGGAACAATGAATATTAATATAAGTTATTAATTATTGGTTTTTTTTTCATGATTTGGTGTTCATTTTTGGTTTGTGATTGCAAGGTGTTCCATGGTCACCTTTAACTGATCAAATATTATTATTTTTTCTAAATAAGAATTCTTCATTTTCTAAGAAATTTTTATAAGGCGTACTGTTTGCTGAAAGAAACAGGACATTTGGTAGTTGTGACTAATCCAATTATTTTGCATAAATTATATCTTTGATGTCGATACAATCCTAGACATTTCTCGATCGTAATTGTAATTGTATAAATAGCAGCAATCGGTGCGTATGCATTCTTTATCCATTACAAATCCACGGGCGTAGGAAATAATGCATGCCTACAACTCGCAATCAAAAGTAGTGTTTTTACTATTTTTTTTATTAAAAAAAATATACGGGGTGTTACTGAATTATTGCGATAAATTGGCAATTCGTTATGAAGAGAATCCTTTTCACACCTCACTCTTCAAATGCAGGCATTTAAGAGTACAAGGTGTAGAGAAAGTAGGTACAAAAATAAACCGATTTTTTGCATAAAAAATTCCCTATCCATTCATCCTGGTGTATTGCTATACTAACGCCCTCTATCCCTAATATACTCTGCCCTATCACTACTTTTGCTTGCGTGTGTAATGATTTGGGAGCGCCAGTGAAAGTGAATAAACAAGAATACAATATTACAATATTTAGCGAACTCCCGTAAGCTGTGTCATGTCAGTACCAGTACCATGGTACCGATGTGTCCGGTCGATGGGCACAGTTAGACCTTGAGAACTTAATAACGAATTCCACAAAAGTCATGCAAGATACATATTTGCAAAAAATGATATTAATAGAACGCTTCTCTTCCTCATAATTGTAGCTTGGTACTTTTAATACGATCGTAGTAGGTTGTGGATTACCTATAGGTTTGATCAATTTGTATTGTGTAATTTATTTTTTATGTCATCTTCGTTAATGTCAAAATTGTAGACTTTTATTGGTTCTGTGTCTAATGAATTCCAAAAAACGCATACAAGTTAGGTACATACCTACATATTTCCAAAAAATGGTATTAATAAAACGGCTTCTCTTCTTCATAATTGTAGCATATCATAGTAAGCTGTGGATTACCTATAAGTTTGTTTTATGTCATCTTCGATCATGTCAAAATTGTAGAATTTTATTGTTCCGTGTCATTTTTTGACATTTGTTCATTTTAATTATTTTTTTTTTCATTTATCGATTGACAAAGTCGATGACATAACTCTTCTAGAGAGATTTGGAACGCCGATAACGATTTTTTTTTGTATTCTCTCAACAAATACCGCTTTTTTCCGTTACATAACAATCGCTACAAAAAACGATATAATTGATATTCAGTTACCGATATTAATTGTCGCTTTATAGGATGCAATAGAGACCGATTTACATGCATATTCCACACATCAGCGACACGTCGCGCCTTCGGATCGACGTAAAGTCTGGGAAACTTCGTACGCGAACCGCATAAGGAATAAAATTTTATTGAATAGTTTCCAATAATACCAATACATTACAAATTCAAATTCAAACTCGTAATTAATTTATCGGCTGGTTGTGTTTTCTTCAATTACTTACTACAGGGTGTCCAAAATGTCTGCTAACGAAAGACCATTCGAAATAATTCATATATAAAGTTCTCATAATTCTGTATTACTTTCGAGCTTGCGAAGCGAGCGAGAACAAAAATAATTCTAATAAAATAGAGAAATGAACAAATCGTCAAAATTCTTAGCTCCTTGGGCATTTCTAAAATCAACACCTGCAGAATTACGCACCATTAGAGAAACGATTTACAACCATTAAGTTTGCGTGCCGAAACGGAAGAAAACCATTTCCAACATTCCTGAAGCGATTAATAATAATAATTATTCGCCCATTTTCCCATTTAATATGTACAGGTACTCAAAACGACCAAAACTGTTCTAGTCTACAAACTTTTAGTCGATTCTCGTCCATTAATATTCCTAATTAAATCAATTTCACTCGAATCCAATTAGCGTTACGTTGGATATTAAACGACCGTTTGTTTAATTAAACAGCCATATTATATCGTGTTTCTTAAATTAATACACTCGATACAATAATAAAAACAATGGATCATTGTTAAACTCTTCTTTGTGAGAGTTTATGTTTTTTTAATGATTTTAAAGATATTTTTGCATTTCTGAAATACACTGTACAAAGCATGTTATATTTGTATAAATATCTAAATCAAGGTCGTAATAGAGGAAAAATGCATTCATGTATGTAATCGTGAATAAAACCAGATTTCCTTTCGACGAGCGAATGCAAGACCGGTCTAAAATTTTCAACCGGAACCGATTTTCTCGTATACAAATCAGCCTATTAACATTACTTAAAATTTTATTCGACGAAATAGGTAAAAGTTTCGACGTCGATACTTTTATAAAGCGATTTTAAGGAAGGCGATTCGCGTGTTGAAATTTATGAGGCGAAAACTTTCTTATAATTTACAAGAGAATTTCACTGGAGCAGTTTTTTTATATACGTTACAATTTATGAATAAACTAATGTTTACCGCCTTATTAACATATTCATTATTAGGTTCGGTATGGAAACAAAAGTTGTATAAGGACTTTTCCCCGTACACTTGCGCCTAATGAGTTGTGGATTGCGTAATACAATATTTTCGTTAATTGGAAAATTATGTAAGTTCTCGTGAATAAATTAACGGTTTCATTGGAATCTTATCCAATTTTCCTTCAGTTCTAGCCCAATCCAAACCTACCCAAAAAAGTCCTATGGTTACTTGAAGGTATATAGAAAATATATTTTTAAACTAAGGAATATTTATAGTACACTTCATGGGAACTAAAAGGTTAATTAACTAGTTTCGTTCGTAGGCCAAGCACGAGCAATAATTTCTCTATTCTAGTGCAAAGAACGCGGGCACCTCGACCTGTTATGATATTCCATTTCGTATGATTACATTAGATCAGTATGTCAGCAATAGAAGGAACCTGTCCGTGCCATCGGCACCGCCTCGGCAATTTCATCTCCAAGGAGAACCGCTTTTCATTTCATTCTTCTCATTCTTTCTGCCGCTGTTATTAATTAAAATTATTTGTGTGTGCATATTGATCATAAAAACGGGTATTTTAATATGGGTATTAGTTTCCGTATAATTCAGCCGTTCGAAAGGTCAAAAGGGGGCTCAAAATTGCCAATTCGAGCGCTGGCCATTCGATCGGGCAATTATAATAAATTGGATTAATAATAGAAGAGAAAGGAAATTATTGGAAAGTGTTAAAAAAGTTTAACTATCTGCTTATAATGTAGAAAAAAATTAATGTGTTTAAGACCAAAGTGAAAACTTTGTAGGTAATATTTTGCTTCAGTTTAGGTTCTTGTAGAGTTCATATAGAGCCCTCTAAAATAATGTGAACAGTCATTTAAATCATTTAAAATTCATAATAGTAAAACCCCATTAGGTTACCAAAATTTCCTTTTTAAAACACCAACAAAAATCTCTTATAATAGGTACGATTATTAAAAAATATAATGGATTGCATCATTAAATTAATACATTTTCGCTTTCTACATCCTCCCACATGAAAATACTGCAAAGAAAATAAGTTCCCCAACAATATAAACTTATGTGAATTCCTCCAGTTCGTATACATTTGCAAGTTTACAACTTTCCTATTAACTTTCAATGGAAATTTGAATAGACGTTATTTTTAAATACCCAGCACCTGCAATAACTCAACATCGCCAAAGCCATTAATTAGATAAATTTAATAAGTACACGGAACGCAATCACTCCCAATAATATCCGTAACGCTCCATTGCAGAAACCCAACCGAACCGCGTTGTTTGGTTGTCTTGTCTGCTTCGCAACGCCGATCCAACGAAAGAAAGTTGTTTGCAACGGGCGAGTCGAAAGCAAAAAGCCAAGCGACACCTCGGCAATAACAAAATATGTAATGGTTATATCAGGAAACCGAAGCATTTCGATAATTTCATGCAAATATTCTGCGCCTACAACGCGACCTACCTATTGGCTCTAACGCAGCGAAATATCTCGACGATGCGATGAGGCTGTTGCACAGAAAAACCGAAAGGTCACCTGCATAATGAGCCGTCGAAATGTTACAGAGGTGATAGTCATCAAATACTAGTAACTAGAAGTAGATATCGAAAAAATTATGATAAAATGCTGAGATTGTGGTAATTCTATTATACAGAGATCCTTGTAAGCTGACTACAAGGGGTCTTTAATAGTAACCTGAAGGATATATGGATAATATGTAGATCATTAGAGTATCAAAAGAGTATCAGAAGGATATAAAAAGAGTATCGAAAGAGTATCGAAAGAGTATCGAAAGAGTATCGAAAGAGTATCGAAAGAGTATCGAAAAAGTATCAAAACAGTATCAAAAGAGTTTCAAAAGAGTATAAAATAGTATCAAAAGTGCATCAAAGCTCCTATTATCCTGTCTATTATCTATTAAAGAATTAAATTTAACATTTATTCAATTTAACCTGTAAACATCACCGTTAAACTCATGAATGGCAGAGAAATAGCGGTAAATAGCAACGAGAGTAACATTTCTAATTACCAGTAGGTAATAACAGGAAAGCGACCTGTAGAAATACCATCGAATTATTAATGAATCATTAACAATTATTATGGTATACAGTTTTCATCAATATTTTCGAAATATTCGATGAAGCAACTGGGATTTCAGCAAAATAACGCACAATGGTTCGTAGGCAAACGAATGGGAATAAATTGGCGTTTTTTTGTAGCTGCATTGTCGCTATTCTAATTATTGCCAGATTGATCTTTTGTCGTGATTCATCATATAGACATCGATTGCGTAACATTGTAAATACTAAATAGCGATTCAAAGGCAGGACATAGGTGCATAGTTGGCGGTACGACTTCCTACGATTGTTGGCGTTAGTTTAACCGGTGCCCGGAATAAAAAGTACTTACCCACCGGTACATGCTCGAATAGAACCGGCGGTGTAACGGAAACCCAAATGACCCACCAAAGGAATCGGAGGAATTGGAGAAGAATATTAATGAATCAGCACCACGTAGGTATCACAGGAGCGGTTTGAATTTAATCAATTCTAATTCTTTTATTTCAACAAATAGAAGCATTTCTGAAGTGTTGAAGGAGCTAAATATTGCGTTTTCAAAGCATGCAAGATAATTGTAATAAGAAGAAAGTTAATAAAACAATTTCTTTCAAGGCAACTAATTTAATACAATGTTGCGGATAATCGCGTGAACGTTTCGTTTTACAAAACAATAACGTGTAAGAATCGATACCTTTCGCATAAAATGTGCAATTACGATTTTCACCTGATTATCTGGGTTAAAAATCTCCGGAGCGAATTCGACGGTGATATTGAAAACGATGGCGACTTTGAAGTTTTAGTATCGGTATCGAAAAACTAGATCAAGATCGTACCTCGCCTTTCTAGGTGACATTTTACCTTGTCACTTATGGGCGATTTCGCAAAAAAACCGGGTGAAAAACCGCCGCTGGAAACTCGAAATCGGCTCCTACCAGTTTCTAATGCACCTTCGATCCACCGTCGAAGGTTGAGCGATTTTACGATGAGCCTTAAACAGGTCGCATAATTTAATTACATCCATGATATTTTTCATAAATTATATTAAATAGTATGTTACACAACGAGCTTATAATGCCAGCTATTAATACGAATGTGAATCTATTGATTCCTATTGCAAGTGTTGCATAACTGAAATCACAACTGCCAATGTCACATAAATCTGCACGAATGTCGATGATTGCTCATTTTCAAAATGCTAATGTTAATTTAAAATAACAAACAATTCATCTCAAGGAAATGAATCAATGGTCATACAAACGCTTTTAAATATAGCATACAGCAAATTAAATAAGTACAGTAACTAATCAGTAAGTAGAATAAAAAGGTAAGTATACTACTAGCAGAGCACTGGGTATAAATTTAATGGAGCCCATTCAGTTGACAAAATAATAAAATATTCGCGTTTAGAAAATGTTCTAAAATTACGCAACTCCTGGAGTTCATCTCGGAGGAGATGATATCAGAATAGAGTGAAAGTATTGACTAATAGCTACTCTGGGACCTACATACATTGTTTACAAATTACAAGTTATGCGCGATGGCGAAGGTGTGATTTACTTTTGTCCAAACAATCTAACGCTTATATAAAAGGATCGGATTTTTCTGCATAATCAATATTATGTCTTCTTTGATCGAAACCACCAGGTAAAATAGACTGCTATTTGGATGTACATAATAGCGAAATGAAAGATTTTTTACAATATTTCTAACCACTCTGTATACCTAATATAATAAACTGATTTTTTTAATAAAGGCATTGAAGTTCTCTATAAGGAATGTCATTTAATATGTTCACTTAATGCCAACCCATAAATACATGATGTGTGTAGATATACACAAAGAAACAAAACGGACGTTTCCGAGAAATTTCCTTTAACTAAAGAACCAGAATTTTAATTAATCATAATTTGAAGATCTGCATAAAGAAGTACTTAATTGGAATTCTTCAGTCGAGCGGCCGACGTGGAAAAATAGCGACAACTGAAAAAGCTATTATAAAATTCTAATTAAAATGCTCTCGGCCAACGAGAGAATCGAATTGAATGTCGAAGAGATATGCATATAGTCAAAATTAAATTTATGGTGGTGTTTTTGGAATTTTTTATATCGAAATCTGCATATTAAATTATCATTTTTATTTTGGTTACTGTAGGACCTCCAAAGGACGATGAATTTTTTACTTTCATGTCTATTTTTTGGTTGGGTATGCATTTTCACCCAATTTATTAAAAAAAATTGTTTCAATAGAAAAAAGTACTTAATGGAAGGAGAAGCAATTAAATTTCTTCTTCCTTTTAAAACAAATCTTTGTTCTTCACTGGACTCTTTATTTCAAGTTTCCTTCTTTAAAAACCTATACCCTATTTTCATAATGTACTGTATCCATTTCCTCTTTGATTTAATCTACCTCAAAACAATTGTACTAAACGAATCTACTCTTTGGTTTAAAACAATTAGGTACCACTACAATGCAAGAACACAATTCAATTAGTACAAGGAACCCAAGTACATTAGTACAAAAACACCCTGTAAGCTCCTAATAAACCCAAGTTTAGAGCAGATATGCTCACGATTGCGGGTTATACTTATACAGCAACGATATTCGTGCAATTGTAGCGGTACCGCCGGGTAAGCGGCCGGTACCGACGAAGGAATCAGATCAAGGTAGTCTTGATAGCTGGGTGTGGTGTTCATTTGTCGCAAATCGTAAAGTCAGTACTTACGAGTAGGCACTACCTTGTCTTGGTACGTTCTTGACGATAGATAGCAGGAAACGGCATATGTATATTCGGTATTTATGGTTCTAGGCAAAATGAAATTGCAAAATGTGACCAGGCAAAAAAATTGTATAGCCTATAGTATATAGTACTCTTTAGATAAGTCTAATGCGGCGATCTCGTTTCCTTCGGAATACGTTTTTTTTTCTAAACTAAGCGAAGTAAGTCAGTATAGGGTTTGGAAAATTTGGAAGACTAATAATTATTTAATCTTACACTGGAGTAAAAATTGTGAAAGTGAGTACAGTATTCCATTAACCTTTCCGAATGTGTTTCAAACGCCAATCAACTTTTGCTATTTACATTCGCATTCGCGAGATTAGTCGAAATTCATATACGAGTACAGAACCCAACGATTAGCGAACCGGACCCCATTACTCAAGATTTTCAAAGAAGATACCTCCACATACCAATCTGCATAAGTGTTATATAAGAAGAGATTGTATTTATTATCGTTTTTGCTTTATCGAGAATTTGTCGAATAGAGAGTCCTGTGTCTCTTGTAAGTAGGTAAGTGGTACTTGGGTCTGTAAGAGAATGGATTATTGTAGTTAAATAATTCGTCATTTTGGGGAAAGGAGGAGAACAGCGATTTTTTTGTCAAAAGTATTGGCCGAAATACAATTATTTGGGTTGAAAGTTTGTAAGATTTTGGTTTCTATAACGTTTTGGTAAACCAATACAATCGAAATAATTCCAATAGGAGGTACAAGAAGATGATAATGTTAATACAAATCCTATTAAATTTTTGGAGATTCAAAGCTGCAACGGAATATTTTCTTTTATGAAACCTAATTATGATGAAAAAGTTTAAAGAATTAAACAATGAATTGAGCAAAAATCTAAATAAAAACCAAAGAATTTATGAGCAATTTTTACATAAACAAACTTGCACACGTTTCTCCAAATAAAATACCCAGATTCAATTATACTCAATGCATTTTTCGAGTTTTTTCTTGAGATTTGCGATTTTTCTAAGAAATTTTCTATGCCTACTTTCTTAAAGTGCCATGGTGAAGCAAGTAACTGCATATAATACATATTTTTTTCACACATTCAATGGTTTCAATGGTTCAAAAGACATCGCCGAATTCGCTTCGATTTAACTAAAAACGCATTCGAATCCAAAACACCCAATTCCGCGGTCCTTCGAGGTACTACCGAAGAGGCGTTTCGGACAAATGCTAGTTGAATGCGCCCGATCAGTGGCGGGGACCGGCGTGTATAAAGCGCCCGAGCCGCCCGCGAAGAGCCCAGTAACTCTAATCGCCGTACCACGAAAACCACCATGAAGAGGTTCGCGTGTTTGTTAGTGCTCAGTGCACTCTGCTCAGCTGGTAAGGACCTGGTGCGCCCCCGCTCGTGGATTACGCCACTATTTTTCTGTGCATTAGTGATGTATTTCATTCTAATTATTTTGAGTGTGGTACCCGCTGGTTTGGGTGCTCTTTGATCATATCGCGGTCGTGAATGGAGTGCGTTTTGATGTTGATGGATTTGAGTTGAATTCTGTACATTTTGGCGCGGGTGAGTCGAAAATTTGGGAGTTTCTTCGATGCCCATTAAATTGGTTTTGTGAGTGAAATACACTGCTCCACAAATTTTGTATTTTTTTTGAGTTTGCTGAAAAAATACTTAAAAACTAATCTTTAGATATTTCAGTTCAAAATTATTATTTTCATTTCAAAATTTCAGCATACTCCTATTTTTGTGGAGTAGCTTAGTTACCTTTTGAATTATTGTGGATTGTGGTAAATTAAATTATTATAAATACATTATCGAAGAAAACCCCATTTTTTTGACTACGAACTTTTAATTTGTTGTATTGAAACATTACATATTTTTATGGAGCATTTCTGTAAAATTTTATCTCAACTATGAGCTAGTCCTATTCTGAAAATTTTCTTGAAAATACTAAACTTTAAACTGCAAATTTGTACTTCACATATATTAATACAGTATTTTTAATGCAAATTTCAAAGTTTACGATAATTCACGTAATTTTTCAAAAATCATCTATTTTTTGCAGAATTTCAATCACATTTTGAAAAACCGGGTTATGCAAATTGAAAAAGTCTTAGGTATATGGCTTTAACGTGAAATTAGAAAATGGGCTCGTTCGACACTTTTTTTTTATTTGCTTTTTGGAAAGACCACACAATTTTAAGTCACTATGCAAAAAATCAGAATTAAATTCCATGTAGAAGTCACTTAAAAAGGCCTTAAAAACCGTCGCGCTGAGCGTTCGCTCGAATTGACTGTGACGTCACTGCATGCGTTGCGAGAACAAATTTGTAATATAGGCTGTCGATTGATAATATTGAAACGCGCTTTTAGGGTTTTAAATAGGCTTAGGGAGTTTTAAATAATGACGGACAATAAATCAAAAAGTAGTTATAAATATTGCATTGTTCCCAAATGTCGAAGCACTAGTTTTAAGACGCCTAATAAAGGCGCCTAAATACCTAAATAAGACACCTTCCGCGCGATTTAAGAAAAAACAAATTGTGGCAAAAATCAATGAAAAGAAGTATATGTTGGTTAGTACAAAGTCAACACATTTTGTCTGTGAAGATCATTTTAATATAAGTATTAATTATAATAATTAGCTTGCTTAGTAAAAATAATTAAATTTTTTAGTTTGAAAACGATATGGAAAATTACATGTATTTTAAAACAATGGCTAATTCCCAATAAAGCAAGATGTTGTACCTAATATCTTCGACTGCCAAAAATTTCAAAGCGTTAAAGACACTGTACAAGCAAGAACAATATTTTTAAAAAGACAGCGGTAAAATACTGTCTAGGATTTGTCTAGTTGTTCTAAAAGTACTCGGAATGAACAGAACTATGATATGGATGATGTGAATTTGACAATGGATAAAAATTTAAACAACACTATTACAAATAAGGCCTGTCATAAACAAATTCAAGTTTATATAAACATAATGCCCAAACTTTTTTCAAAACAAGCTTAGTGTGATTTGACTCGTTCGGGACAGTTATCATATGATTTTACTAGTAAATTAGATGACACTCTTCCTATTTCTTCAAGTGATTCTTCAGAATTTGTGACTACTTGATCGGGATCATTTTTTGTTAATTCTGAGTCAACTTGGTCTAATGAAAAAGAGAACATTATAAAAAGGGTAATGCATGTTATAGAGCAAAATCCAAAACTTACATAGGTAGGTATTAGTTATTATTTAGGTATTCCTAAATACTTTTACGAACATAATCTCATTAATCGATAACCAAAATATTATACTTACAATTAGCATTAATTATTTATTATAATTACCCTATATAATCAATTAAACATAGTCGTTAAAAAGACGAAACGATCGCGAATGCAATGCAAGTTAAGTGAATGCGAAGCGGATAGCGGAGAGATCGCATGCAGTGACGTCATCATCGTACTATCGCGGAGACAAATAATCGCATCTTTAAACTCGAATAATCCAAGAACCGCTGATCGGATCAACTTGAAACTTTCAGTAACCATTTTTTTTGACCTCTTCTTTATGTATATAAAGTTTGATCAAATTCTAAATTTTATCGAATGAGCCCATTGTGTAACATTTTTATTGAATCGATCTGAAATAGTTCTCTGCCGTTAAATAGCATGCCTTTTCAGTAGTTTCCTCGTTTTCTTTAGCTAAATGCAATTTCGTCTATTTACGGAATAAACGTTTCCACTAATTTGTGCAGTTCCTATTTGAAATAAATGTCTTGAACAGTTCAGGTTTTAAATAATTTAATTTTATCCACTGGATTAGGTAATGATTGTTTCATTAATTATTCGTATTAATTCCACAAAAACGATACAGAAATATTTCGAGGTTAATTCATTGTGTAATCACTAGTGCAGTCGATATTTAGCCTAAATTTGCATACTTAAATGTAAAGCAGACCATACACTGTTATTTTAAAATACCATTTCTGACCTCCAAAAAAATGAAGCAATAATTACAGTAATTTAATTAATAATTAACTTGAATTGGAAACCTGTGCACAGATTATACAAAATGCTACTTCAAAAACTTTTTTCCAAACATCGTTTGCCGGTGAGAGTTTGTTGTTAAATGTCTATTATAAATTTTATTATTTATGAATGTTAAGTACCTAGTGAATTACAAAATAAAATATAATAGGAGATATTTATTAAGGTTCAATTTAAAAACAATTAGGTAACATCAAAAAATAATAATGGTATAATATATCCTAATTAGACAATATTAATATTACTGCCCCTTTCTCTAGACATGTCTAGGTTTTTAATTAGCAAACTTAATTAGGTATTTTGCCAAGAAAAATTACTTTTACTTCTTTTAATTTACTCTTTACAATACACCCAAAAATTTAAACTCGATCATTTATAATGAAAAATTCTGTTTTTTAGTTTAATGTTTTTAATGTTTAATTTTTTTTTAGATTAAAGTTCTGTTTAATCATATGTATAGTGTATCCAATACATTCAACACGTGACGTCACCGCCTTTTTAATATGATTGAACTTTCTTAATGCATTAAAAATTGGCCAAAAAATTTGAAACGACTGCAATTAAACCATAACGACAACTTTCCTTTATTTCGTCTGCAGTCAATGGGCCTTTTTTTCGTTACCAACACTAAAAACCGGTCCTGCGATTGCTTACAAATTGTGACATAGAATCTCACGTAACTTTCATGTAGAAATTACACCTCTCCGCGTTTCTGTATACTCTATAGCATATCAGCGGCCATATGTTATAGATTATTCCGGCGAATTTAAATTTCTTAGCTTTCATTCGGCATGCTTGGGTACTTTTATCGTTCGCTTTTTTTTCGAAACTCTTGTTCCAAGAGATCGACCGTGAGCGATTTTCTCGAGTGAAATCGGACACGCCCTTTCTAGATTACATTATTAATATCATTTGCGTATATTCTGGGTTTTTTTTTCGGTAACATACAAAGTGTTTCGTTGGTAATTGCACACACTTTAATAAGGGTCCTAAATAAAGCTAAATTAATTTTAATCTTTCTGCAATGTTAATGTTAATCACATCCTGCAGCTCTTCTATTCAATTCTATCATCCATATAAATGCATCCTTATGACACGGATTCGCGTATGGAAATTCTATTGTCTTGTAAGCAAGCAATTACCTACTTGGTTTCAAAAACCGGAGGACGAGTAATAGTTGAGATAAAAGTCAAGTACAATGCGTTTAGAAATCCTATTGATATTGACCTTAAGAAAATACCGCAAATCAATTTCACGTCGAATCGTTCCTGCGCCAGTTCACCTTGCAGCGAGAAATGGAATTTCGCGAAAAAAAATAAACCGTTATTCGTTAGTTATTCGTATTGTAGAAAAGTGGAAAATGTCTTTGCACTGGGTCTTATGTAAATCACTTTATCATTAAGTTCTCACCGCTATTAATTAAATTAAATTAAATGGATTAGGGCTGTGTTGTATACTGAAGGAGCTATTTGAATCTTTCCTTAGAACTATTTTTGCAGTTACTTGAATGTACAGATTTTGTTTAAAATATGCTACAATATTTGTATTAATTTCTCGATAAATCGCTTTCTCGATTAGTCCTTATATGAAAACATTATCCCAATGAGTTACATAAAGACGGAAAAATTCGTCTGTAAAATATTGCAATTAAAATGTATATTTATTCACCAAATAGAAAACCAGTTGTTTACCCAACATTTTATACAATATTATAATTTCGTTATATATTTTTTCTTTCATAGAAATTCTTTACTCCAATAACTTGGAAAGTGATCAAAATACAGCTTTCCCAATCTCCGATCGCGTAATTTAATAATTTCTGATATAACGCAATACCTGTTATATGCTGAAAAGTTGGTGATACTGGTAAATTATAATCATATTAATGTATTAAATTTTGCTTCTACAGGTACATGCAAAATTTGGTTGCAATATATGTTACGGGTGCAACAAAGACAACTTCCATTAGCCTCATGTAATGGAAGAAGAAAGAGTGATATTCTGCGATTGCAACTTTCTCACTCTAAGCACTGTTGTTATCATAATTTTTCTTTCTTCAACTCATAGAAGTGACCAAATTGTAAACAAATTTGCACTTACCCATATGCGATAAAGTATAGTTTACTATAAATTACGATGTCTTACCTAAAGATATTTAATTGTTAAGTCCATAACAAGTCGAAACTTTTTTTAAAATCACAAGTCAGATGTCAATTAGTTAATTATTTAATGAATTAGTCAAATGTCACAGAACTAATGATTGACACAAGATGGACAATGACATAAAACATGTAATTGACATATAAAGTTTAGTCAATCTAGTATGCGTTTGTTTATTGTAATCCATAACTGGATAGATTGATTCTACATATAATTTTGCGTAATTTTTTCTTTAGATGAGGTTAAAGACCGATAACTAGGACGTATCTCGACCCGATCGGTTTTCTCGTCAAAAACTGGCCTCCGCCACTTTCTTGAGCCGGTCCATGTCGTAATAAGTCGTCTTCTGTGTCTCGAGAATGCGATAACAATTCGTAATTTACGGATTCCACTTTCATTTTCATTGAAAACGAACGCGTAACGGGATAAATTGCATAAAATCGAACCTTTAAAGTCGGCACATTCGAATTCGGAAAAAAACCGAATATTGCGCACGAATTTTGCAACGCGTGCTATAAAAATCCACTTTGCTAATTTATTTTGTTTTTTGCAGTATACAGTCAAGAAAATTTCAAATGTCCGGACGATTTCGGATTCTACCCACACCACATATCCTGTGATAAATATTGGAAATGCGACAACAACGTTGCTGAATTAAAGACTTGCGGCAACGGTTTAGCCTTCGACGCTAGCGATTCCAAATTCTTAACGGAAAACTGTGATTACATCCACAACGTCGATTGTGGCGATAGGAATCAATTAGGTAAAGAAAACTTAAAGGAACCCAGTCCAATTTGCTTCCTACCTTTTCCCAATCTCTACAGCCTTCTCCATAATCTCCCTCTACAGTCTCCACTATGCTAATAACTCCAGAATAAGCAATTCTTTCCTGGATAATTCGCTCCTCTAACCGGACAAGGTGTGAAATAGGTAATACCCATTAATTCGAATTTCAGAGCCTGCGATAAGCACCTCTCACTGCGAGAGGCTGTACGGTATCTTCGCTGATGAGGCGAAATGCGATGTGTTCTGGAATTGCTGGAACGGAGAAGCATCCAGATATCAATGTTCTCCTGGACTCGCCTACGACAGGGATGCGCGCGTTTGCATGTGGGCAGATCAGGTTCCTGAGTGTAAAAGCGAAGGTCAGTATGGGTGGTTCAGGTGTACATTTAGCCAGTTTCAATGAGGTGGTGCTATAAAACTACATTTTGGTTTCCAGAAGGTTGTAGTTTGTTATAAAGTATTCATTACTAATTCTGATCAGGGAGTAACGAAATTAATAATATTGAGTAGATTAACAAAAGCACATTTATGAAAGAAATGAACAAATACACAGAAACACATAATTGGTTAATTAAATGTAAAATAAGCACGAAGCACTCGATTTGCATTAATTTTCTAATCATCTACTTTTAATTGCATGTTTTCAATTAACTTCTATTTCTTTTCCTAAGTCTTTGTACCTACTTATTTTTGTATATTATGTTGACCTTATTAAATCATCGAGAAGAAAAACGAAAACCAAAGGAAAAGAAAATTACTAAACGAACTTAATAATTTTAAAATCGATACTTTTTCATTAAACTTTACATAACTTTCAACAAACAAGACTAAAGACGACGACAAACAAAAATTAAACCAAATTTCTACAACACAAAAGTAACAAAATTTTCTTTCAACTAAACAAGTTTCTATTTACTCATACAATTGTTTCTACTTCATTTTTGTACATACCTACTACACGTATTATAGATAAAATAACAGCACGAAATCCTTCGAAAAGGATCGATATTTGTATATATTTTGTACATAAAATTGGCAGTAAAATTCGGCTTTCAGACTCCGACTGACGGACATCCTGACCCCTAACGATCCTTTTGTATTAATTTTGCAGAAGTTGCAGGAGGCTTCACTTGCCCCGCTGCTGGCGAAATAGCCAACGCCGGGTCGTTCTCCAGGCACGCGCATCCTGACGACTGCAGGAAGTACTACATCTGCCTGGAAGGCCAGGCCAGAGAGTACGGTTGTCCCATCGGTACCGTGTTCAAAATTGGCGATGCTGATGGTACTGGCAACTGCGAGGATCCCGAAGATGTACCCGGATGGTAAGCGATTTTGAGTTGTTTTATGCATTGGTTCTTGATTTAAATACTTAAATTAGCAATAAATTCGTAGTTTTAAAGGATACTTTCACTAGAAGTATTCTAGAATTCGTCGGTATAAATTTTGTTCAATAATCGATTTTTTTTTAATTTTCATTCGAGTTGATTTTGATTAAAATTCTACAAAAATTGCTTGTGTAAATATAACGGGGTAAAAAATATTTTTATATAGTTACGATACTAATTTCGAAAATTGCATGTAAATCTGTAACAATAAGGTGGGCACATTTCATTTGCATCGATTTCTTTTTAATTATCAGACGGCATTCTAAAATTTCTTGAATGAATGCTTGAAGGTGTTAAATTTTTCAACGGGATTTCTTCTAAATTTTTCTATAAAATTTGTCGTCTGATAAAAAGTGCACTTTTACTCTTCGTACACGTTTATTCATACTAACACAATTTGTTACGATGTTTAAAATATATAACTTAACGAGAGCATCCCTTTAATAGGTAATTTTCTGATCATTTCACTTAACAAAAATCGAATTGTTCAACTAATTGGTTTAATTATAAATTAAATATTAAGCGGAAATTGCATGAATATTATTACTAAAGTAATTAGATTGTAAACTATAATAGAATATAACGAATTTATCATTATATTTTATGCGGATGGAAATATACACAAACTTTGAGGAAGGTACAGACCAACAGATATAGCTGAAACCAGCAAAGGTTACCTGGAGATAATTCTTTTGATTCATTTTCGCTATTACTTGATTTTTTTTAATTCTACTTGGCTTATATCGAGTTTAAAACCGATTATCAATGCAAACAAAAACCCGCTTAAAACCTAATTGAAAATATCTGCGACTACAGAGCCTAGTCTAGTACAGATCCATAGGAATAGCTGAAGCAGCCAAGGTCACTTGCGCAGCGACAGAATTTAAAAACCAAGTGGGCTAACGGAATTGGCGCATCTTGTGATTAGTTATTGTGTGGTAGCTATTCTCGTTGAACTGCATTGTATTCAGAAAATTGCCTATTCAAAGAGGACCTCCAGCGCCTCCAAATTCGACCTATACATATGTAAAAAATCGTTCGCAGCGAAGACTACTACGGCGACTTGGACTTGAAGAGCATCCGCAAGAGCGAACTGTTGGCGGGCCTGCAGGGCGGCGGTACGACGCGCAACGTTGCCACCCCGCAGAAAAAGCCGCGTCCGGGGGCGTCGTCGCCGGCGTCGCGTAACGCGCCCGAATCGGCGGGCAACTAATCGCCCCATCGCCCGGGAATCCCCGCAGACGGAAAGCGTCGAATGGAACTTTTCTGTGTAGCCGGTTTTCCGTTCGCCGGCGAATCCCGAGCGGCCTTTGCCATTTCGGCCCTTCATAAGGGTCGTACGCGTTATCGAGGAAGTGGCGCGGGGTCGCTTCGGATTCGTCGACTTTGTGGAAAACTGTAGAAAATTTCCATTTGGTTTTCTTTAAATTAATTCAATTTCGTGACGCGAATGAGATGTTTTGCGGCCTTTGCGGGTGACCCGAATTGGTGTGTTTGTTCCCTTTCAGTATAGTACAGGTACTTGCAATGTTACATTAATAACTTCAATTTAATGCCATTTCCATCTACCAACTTTTCTACAACAGCGACGATAAACAATTATCATTGGGTGACTATTAAAGGTGACCCATCCTATTCCATAAGAAAAGTGCAAATAAGTTCCTTACGATACAAAACATACCATTTCGGATCATCCTGTAATTATTTAATTTTTAGTAATAATTTTTTTAACGAATTTTGGGTCCAGAACAGATCGTTCGGTGTTTGCTACTGTATTCGCAGAAAATTATTAGATGTGTTTCGTTGAACGGTACAAAATTTTTTTATAAACATTCAATAAAAATCATTTTTAAACGCCCAGTGTTATTTTTTAACCACCTTCGTCTAACACCTCTTTATCTAACAGCACTGCCGGAAAAGTGGGCTAGAAAGCATTGATAAAAGTACTTATTACTTATTTCTGTTGGGTGGCCGATTCTTTTGTAACGGTAAGGTTTCTTCCATTTAAACAGGTTTTGGAAAATTAAAAATTGTACATACCTGGGTAGGTAATAACTAATTGATTGCAGAGAATAAAGAGTTGATTAATCGAAAATCGACCCATTCCAAACCTTAGAAAGCTTGTGATAAATCGGATTAAATTTATTTTAATACAGAATCGACATCTTTAAATTTAGGTGCAATTTTTCGTGTGTATAATTTTTGTTGCTTTGTTTTTTTAGCGAAGACTACTATAAAGACGTCGACCTAAAGGCTTTGAAAAAACTGGGATACTAAAAAGGAAGCTAAAACATCGAAAGAATATAGCCATTTCCAAGACTCTTTTAGAAATAAGTTAATTTTGTAAATATATTGGTCTTTCTACAAGATATTTCATAATTTTACATCAATATTTTAAGGTGTACATCTATGCATGATTTTGGAAAATATGAAACCTCAAATTCGTGCATAAATTCACTTATTCTATAATATTGACATAAATTTATGAAACACCCTGTTTAGTTGGTCTTGGAGATTTGTATATAGGTATATATTGTTGTAATTTGTTGATTTTTTTATCTTTAAGTATCTAATTATGATATAATAATTTTTTTCATAATTTACCTATAAGCATAAAATTGCCGATCTTTCGTTTAGGTAAATTTTCTAATTATCTTTTAACGATTGTTTGAGTGAACTTTCTACAAATTTCTTGGAGAATTGTCTAGTCAAATTTCAATTATCTATATTCTGTTACTTTCATAATTTTTTTGGGAATATGTAATTTGTTTTTAAATGTCTATTAATTATATGATTTTGTAATTAATCAATTATTTTAAGGGCCTGATGTAACATGCTCAAAGTACAGTTATTTTTATTTACTAAAAACATGTATTTTTTTATTATTGTCTCTAAAGTTTTTAGTAAACAGTTACGTGGATAAGGTAGATTCTTTTTTGTTATAAAACCATTTTTTGCTATATGTTATAATTTCTTGCCGTGTTTTAATTATTTACCGTCATTATTATATTTATTAAAATTATTATTCAATAGTTCATTACTCTATAGTTTATCTCCTTTCTTTATTTTATTAATAAGCATTTTAGTTTGTCATTTTACAACATAATATTTATTGTTTTAACTCCACAATTTTTAATCAATTTTATCTTCTTATTATTACGTATAAATTTTATATTTGGTTAATTTATATTTCTAATCAATTAAATTAGGCTTTTAGTATTTGAAGTTGTATAGCTCAAACAAAAATATATTTAAACATTTCTTTATAATGTATGTTAATTTTGTTGTTCTATTAATAAAACATAAATCATATATGATTCTCCACCTGTCGCCTATTTATCCTAATCATTTTTTCTCAACGAAGAAAGAATACAAAAATAACAGTAAAATTAAAATTTACATAAATCTACCGATAGTTATACTAATTCACCATTTGAGTTTTTTCACTGAATTAATTTAAATAATTAATTCAAGCAAAACCAATAGGCTTATTCCACCTCTGTCTATGTGCCACGTACCAGTGAAGTGAGAGAGCTAAATACGTTGCTTATAAATTCAAGTGAAATAGAAAATATAAGATTTGTTCAATCTTAAAAATGACGTAAGTACTCCATCTCTTTTTGTTCGGCGTAAGGACAAGATAATGAACAAAGACGTCCAATGTTTCAGCGACGTTGCCGTAATTAGGTATAATATTTTTCAAAAAGTATTTTAGTATTTTATGTAAAAAGAAAGTATTTAAAAGCAACTGTTTATAATTTAGTTAACGTGTGTGAATAATTTAGTTTTGTGGATTTGCTTTATTATTGTAGGATTAAAATTTTCGTTATTTGACTTAACGTCATATGTCAAAAACTTCGCAACACTGTCAACGTCAAGACGTAACTAAATGAAATGTAGTAATTAGAAAATAAGTGATTGTGATATTTTTTGTGAAAAACCGACCTTATTGTAATTGTTTATGATCTTGTTTTCCAGTATAATTGTTAAATATTCGTGGTAGTTTACTTTTACAAACCTTTCGTTGATATTTCATAGCTTAATTCGTTCGAAATTAGACCAAGTAGCAGTGAATGGTCGAAACAATATGAAAGGTATTAAGATCAATGTTATGAGCTGAAAGTGCTAACATATGTTTCCCGTACACAATTGTAAACAAAGGTAAGACCCAATAACTCCCGAATATTCGTGTATACCATCAAACCCCTCACGCTATTTTCTTGTATTCTTATCTACATTGGTGACGTCTCCGGTATTCAGGCGAGACTGCCTTTCCCGTTGTATCGCTTCGATTTTCCAATAAAACCACCGGCGTAATCGCCGCTTTAAATTATTAAAGCCACTCGCTACCACACGCTCAATCGTCCACTAAAGCCACCCTAACATATTAGGAAAATGAGTTTTGTAATGGCACAATGACTTTTCAAAAAACCGTAATTTAGGTTAGAGTTTGAGCAGCCTTTTGATATATTCGTTTTGTTATCAAGGTGAACCATGTCTTGGATGAAACGCAGAGGTCCGAATAACGCCAGTCCAGCACCGGTACCTTCTGTGCCCATGTACAATCCAAATCAACATTCCAACGTACACGAGGTGAGTTATAAAATTTTTAATACATTTGTAATGGAGTACAAAGTTTTATACAGTCTTTAATGTTAAACATACATAATTTAGATTTAGTATATTTCGTTAATTAGACTCGCGCAAGCATTTTCCATTATACGAGGATAGGGTGAAAAGTCATCATTTAGAACAATCTGGAACGTTCCAGAATCATTTAGGACTGTCTAGAACCATTTAGTACGTTTCAGAACCATTTGGAACGTTCCATCATCATTTAGAACTCTCCAGAATCATTTAGAACTTTTCACCTTACCCTTGTATTTTATATAAATACTTCAAAATTGATATGAAACGAATACATTTAGTTAAAGTATTTCTTTATACATATAAATATCTAAAATTTGAACTGTACATATTTATATTTGGATAATTTAAAGTAAAATTTGATACAATTCGATGATATTGTATTGTTAATAATTGTTATTCTTGTGGTTGATTGTTATTTACTTCTTCTTGGTTTGATTGGCGACTTCTTCGATGGCTTTGGTAACTGTTTCTTCGTCGCCCAAGAATCTCATGGTTCCAATAGGTCTAAACAACCCGTCGAGCCTGTATTGAAACGGAATACCGGTGGGAAGGTTCAGGCCCATGATTTGTTCGGGCGTCATTCTTTCCAAGCTCTTCACGATCCCTCTCAGACTGTTACCGTGAGCAGCTATTATAACGTTTTTTCCTTTCTAAAAAACAATTATACAGCTATATTATTAAATATCTTAAAGTATCTCTCTGCAAACCTTCAATTGCGGTATAACGGTGCTGTAGAAGAAGGGCATTGAACGTTCGATGCACAATTTCAACGATTCGGTCTTTGGAAACTTTTCTCGAGGAGGGCCATCTTTGTAAATGGGGTCGTTTAGTATATCATCGTAAAACGGATGTTCGGGTTCCATTTCAGGCGGTGGTACATCGTAACTTCTTCTCCATATTGCTACTTGTTCTTCTCCGAAAGTTTCCACCGCTTCGACTTTATTTTGTCCTAAACAAACGATTATGGTAATATTTTACAGTTATATTTCTGCCGTTTATAAACCTGTAAGTCCTCCGTAATGTCTTTCGTTCAATCTCCAGGTGCTTACGATGGGAATTTTAGTTTGTCCCGAAACTTCCAAAATGTGATTCAAAGTATCTTGGGCTCTCTTCAAAACTGATGTATAGGCAATGTCGAATTTGATGCCCTCGTCTTTTATGGCTTTTCCCGCCCGCTTGGCTTCTTCATGGCCCTTTTTACTGAGATTTGCATTGTACCAGCCGCAGAAGAGATTTTTTTGGTTCCACTCGGATTCGCCGTGACGGCACATCGTGATGCAATATTCCGCCGAATTCGCTTTGTCGAGACATTTCTTTATCACCTGCCGTGAAACAAACGTTTAGGATTTCGAATTGCTGCATTTTTGATAAGGTTTTATAAATTTTTATGTACAACGTTGCAGATTCTCGAATGGATTAGTTAGCCCACGTGTAACGAATTTATTGATTTATGGAAATACTTACAGGACAATTTGAGGTCATGATTTCTTCACAATAAATTTAGAATGCAGATTTTCGTATAAAAACGTATGAAGTTTTTAATTTGATGTGTGATTGACAGTACATAAATTAAAGAGTTTAGACAGGACTGTATTCGTACTAATTTTTCACTAATGAATTTTTCTAAGTACCAACTTATTTCAACATTTTTGTTACTCATCTAACTCTTCGATTTGTTTAAAAACGAATTTTTATCCATACTTTATTGACAAATACAGCTAGATGCAAAATTGTTTGCAATATGGTCCATGGGTGCAACAAAGACAACTTCCATTACCCTCATATAATGGAAAAAGAAAGAGCGATATTCTGGGATTACAACTCTCTCAATCTAACCACTGTTATTTTAACTATCTCTTTTTGTTCAACTCATAGAATTGACCATATTGCGAACAAATTTGCACTTACCTGTACACATTCTTACATGCTCACAATCAATTAAATTAAATTTACGTATGTATTTTTAGAACCAGTGGCAGAATCAACCGGTTCAAAATAATTGGTATCCACCACAACAGACTGAATACCAGCAAGCGGTGCCCAAACCCGAACCGTCTCAACCTCAACAAAACTATTGGCAACAACCGTATAATCCTGTACCGTACAATCAAAACAACCAGCAGTACAGCCAACAGCAGTATCCTGCTTATAACAATCCTCAGAATAACACCGGGTAAGAACTCGGTTCACCTCAGCGGAGCTAGTTTTCACAATCGAAAGCGTAAATTCGATATTTACAATTCGCATTTTGCAGATATGAACAACAGAATTACGGCAACATGCAGTATAATCAATTGAACAATCAAAACAACATTTACGGAACCCACGGCGCTCAGCCGCAGGCTCAGAGCGACGGAGACGCCTGGAATTGGGGCTGGGGCGACGAGGACAATTCGAATATGCAACACGCCACGCAAGAGAGCACCACTAGCGTTAATCAACCCGCTGCGCAATTAGGTACTACATTTTGCATTGAACTGTTCGTCAAACTAATTAATTTTCTGTTTATCAGAGACAACATTAACTAACGAAACTTGGAACTGGGGCGTCGAGGAGTCGAAAAACCCGCCGGCTCCAAAGGAAGAACCGATTGATTACCAGCAGCAGTTCCCCAAGATGGGATTGATGCCGAAACCGGCTCAAAAATCCGCGCTGGAAGTCGACGCTTCGAAGCCCAACGCCGTTCAAGACCACCTGACGGTGTCCGGTAAACGTGGCAAACTGGAGACCCCCCAATGGTCCACCGAGTCCCAAATGTCCCAGGAATCATCCGACGATATCCTGCATACCTCGGAGAGCGACAAGAGCCACATGATGAGCCGCAGCTCCACTATCAGCCATTCGCCGATATCCGGCCACGATTTGGCCCCGCACGTTGCGGAAGAAGCGCCCGCCAAAGGCGAATTTTACGAGAACAAGGAAATCGTTTCGAACATCAGACCCGATTCGGCGCCGAAGAACGTCCCGCCGCCTTTGCTCCCGTCTGCGTCTTCGAATCTAGACGACAGTAAAAATCCTTACAAGCGCAACGCCGGATTGTCTCAAGTCGCTGCGAATCGATTCAGATCCACTAACATTACGCCACCGGATACCAGGCAAACGCTTTTCAAAACCAGCTTGAACTATCAACTAGTATGAATGCTGTTTTAGACGCTAGGTTTGTTCCGGAAGCAGGTGTCTGTTCGGAACAAATCTGCAATTAAATTTGTTTGTAAACGGCCGTTATTATTTTAGGGTAATCTCGAAACGCCACCTGATAACGTCGAGCATCCGGAACCTCTAGCGTCGCATACGCAGAAAATAAAACCCGTTTCTCAAAGACCCGATAACAATGAAGCACCAATCAACGATAGAAATCAATACTTAGAAACGGGACATTTGTCGGAAGGAAATTATAATGATACACAAGTAAGTTTATTCGACTTATTTCAGGATCTATATCATACCTAAACACCTTTAAAATCTCTCTAAATTACAACAAAACCGCCAGCTTCTAACGGTAATTTTTTATCAGGATGAGAGTACCAACTCGAGGCAAGATCTTAGGAACTCCTTCGACTTGCAGGAGAGCGTCGAGGGCACCGGCGACGCCCTGCCGCCTCCTGGTTTGAGAAGAATGGTGCCGGGTCAACTGGAGCAAAGCGAAAACCCCGGAAAACCGGTGAATTTCACCGACGAACCGCCGCCGGGTCTGAGCAGGATGGTTTTGGGCCAGACCGAAGCGACCCCTTCGAATCAATTGGGCGCCGTCTCTCAAAACGAAAATGCGTAAGTTATAAAATATGTACAAAATTGTCTTCTGCAATGTTTTGTTCGATGTTTACTGATTAAATGTTGGTTAACAGAGCGCAATTTGACACCTCGGGACCGCCCGAAGGGCTGCGAAGGATGGTACCGGGCGAATCCAGCTCGCCGGAATTGCCGATGCGGCAGAGCAGGAAAGAAAACGATTCCGAACCGGAATTCAATCAACTCGGCCAGCATTCATCGCAACCCAGATCAGCGACGATCGGCGCCGATACACCGCCGACCGTTTCTAATTCTACTACCGCCCAAAACGCTTCGAGCAGTGAGTTATTTACCCCATACACATTACCCTAACGCGCGCTAAACCGCTCCGGTTTCGCTTTCACAGCCATCGGGTACTCCCGCTTGGAGAACGGCTCGTCCAATTCGCAGTCGCGCGGCTCGAGCAAGGAGCCCGAGTCGAATCATCGCAGGGACTCGATCGAAGGGGAGCCGCAGGACGGGGACGTCTCGAACATCACCAACTCCGTGCGCGACATGACGGTGGGCGAGAACCTGACGGACGGGCACGCCTCCAACAACAGCCTGCCCGAGCACCCTCAGCGGAGGCACAGCCGGCAGGAGAGCAGCGAAAGCGACAGGGAGTTCAGGAAGCCGCCGCGCGGGCCGTCCAGAGACAAGCGGTCGTCGGAGAAGTCGAGGAGGGATCGGGACAAGGACAGGGACAAGAGTCGAAGGGAGCGGGATAGTAGATACAGTCCGGATAGTAGATACGAGAGGGATAAGAAGTACGAAAGGCGGCGGTACAAGGACAGGAGGTACGAGGAGGATACCGATTATTTCAGCGATAAGGAGAAGGAGAGGAGGAACTACGATGATAAGGACGCCGATTACGAGCGAAAGTACAGCAGTTTGAGGAAAGAGAAGGATAAAGATAGGCGTAGAAGAGACGCCAGGGATCCCAGGGATTATCGCAGAGAATATTATTATGGGAATAGGTACGTTTTTTTTTCTTATTTTAAATTATCTTATGTAATAATTCTTTAATAATTATGTAGGTATGATGATTATGAAAACGATCAAAGATCAAGACCGTCGAGTAGAACTGATTCAATGCACGAATCGTACAGAGGTAGCAGGCCCGTGGAAAAAGACGAAAGGGACGGTAGAAGAAACCGAGATAGAGAACGGGAAAAATATAGGAGCAGAAGAGATCAGAGAGACGTGTACAATCCTTATCAGGTACGATTTTGATATCAAATGAACGTATCTAATAAGATCAGAAGACTTCCGAGTCGTTTTTTGTTGTGTTGAAAATAGATTAAGAACACTATATTGCTTATTATAGGCGTACGGTTTCGATCAATACAATCCGTATTTGCAACAATATCAATACTACGAAAACCTGCGTAGGACCAATCCCCAAGCGTACGCCGAATGGTACCGAAAGTACTACCAACAAGCCACGGCGCAAACTCCTTCGTATGGAGGCGAAGACAGAGCTTCGGTGCATTCCGGTCGTAGTTCAGCCAACGACGAATTGGCCAAGGATAGGTATTTATCACATTTTATTCCGCTTTTGCTTTTATAGAGTGTCGAATAGATGTTGTGAAAGTGAAGTGTTTGATCCGAGTTTTTTTTTTGGAAGTTATTTGTTATTGGTAAATATAAACTATTTTGATTGATAACAAACTGGGTCCTGTTTCATATAACTGACAAGTCCTGTCGGACAAGTGTAGTCTAAATTTGACTGGAGTATTTGACAAGTTTGTGTTTCATAAAATTACACGAGTAGATTATTAGTGACAAGTGACTAGCCTAATATTACAAGTCTGTTTTACAATTGTAGATAGGTTTGCGTTTCATAAAAAATAAATTAAACAACACTTGTCATTTATTCCTATCATATATTAGTGTAAAGCGACAGGGATTTGATTTCCTGTCACCATCCGATTTTCTTGTAAATTTAAAAGAAAATGTGGTCAAGCGACAGTGAAGAGGAAGCTTAATGAGAGTTTAATAAAAGATTTCGAATGAATTCGATAAAAATTGAGGAAATAATAAAATCTATTGGTCCCCGCCTAATGTATACAACCAACGTATAGAAATTATGCATTGTCTTTGTTCGTTTCAATGCTCACATTTTATAGCTTTTGTAGAAGTGGGACTAAATTTTCCAAATAGAATGCCCTTTCTTTATTAAAAATTGAATATTAAAAAAATGTTGCTGCATTTTAAACATAAGTTTTTTGTCAATAAACGAAATTGTCGTGGTTCACATCTAAAAATAGCTCCAACCAGGAAAAAAAAAACAATTTCAAAGTAAAAGTTTCACAATATCAAAAAACGAAGGTGGTGATATACTTATGCTCCCCAGTATAGTAAGTACTATTTTTTTCTTTTTTGGCTTAAGTCTGACGTTTAATTAAAATTACAGTTGTAGAAAAACGGATGCCAAAAATTTAATTCGACAAGTGTCGAAATTTATTTTATGAAACGAAATTTTTAAATACTTGTCAACCAACACTTCTAACTTGTTGACTTGTAACTTGTCAACTTGTCAGTTATATGAAACAGGCCCCTGTTTTATGCAACTTTTATATTTACCAATAATGTAGTGTGTGATAATATTGATATTACAGCTTATTACACCGCACCGAACTATACACTACAAAATTACACACTTTACACTCAATTCACTATTCCCATTCATCGATAACGCCTACTCATATCCTTATCACGTTAACAAATCGTAGTCCCGTCATCGAAACGGTGCCGTTTCTTCGTGTCATTATTTTTTTATCACCTAGGTGTGCTTTGTTCAATTCTTTAGGTATACGAGGCAGAGTTTTTACAGTCAGATGAGCGCCTCCCATTTGGGCGGCTACTACAGGGACACGCATACTCATAGCGTTACGGGAGGCCATTATGCTCTCGACGCTTCTAGGTGAGACTCAATTCGAAATTATTATTTGCAATTCGTTGGGGTTTCGTTAAATTCAATTAGTTTTGTCGTTTTGAAATTATTAGGCCCCGAGTATAGGAATTGAGGGTGTTTGAATTGAGTAGGGTGTTTTAACGAAGCCTCAAAAATCAAGTAAGATTTTTATAAATTATCGCGTATAGCAAATATTTATGTAAAAACCAAAAACTGAGGTATTGGGCGTTATAAAGGACAAAAGTTATTAACTACAATATATTTGAGTGAATTGTAAAAAGTAATATGGTGTAAAGGGGTTAGTTAACCTTTTTGATACATACTTAAAAAATCCCTAATATTTATAACTGCTTTAATAATTAGGGGTTACTACAAATGTTTGGACTGGTTTCTTTAATAAAACAATAAATAACAAAATATTTCGTATCGTTTGCAGTATTAGGAATTTTGTAGACTGTATTTGGTGCTCTGTCTTACGATATTGTTTTTGGGCGACGAAAATGGTAGGTATTTATCTAAAAATTGAACAATCGTTTTAAATGAGCATACTTAGAGACCATTTTTGCAGCTTGCCATTTATCATTTCGCTTTCGTTCGCTTTTGTCATTGGTTTTTGCAACAAAATTATAATGTGACATAGAGGGTGACCCAAAGTGATGAATTTGCCTCGTAAATTTTATTATCTGTGTATCATACAATAGTTATGAACCAAATCCAGCACTTGGGCCATCCTTTATAAACAGTGCATGTCGTTATATTAAACATTATCACGTGTGTGTTTTTGGGAAATATTAATTTTATTGTAATACAGGACTACTTATTATAATGCATTGATTAAGTATGATAAAACTGTTGAAATTTATTTATTATTCAAAAAGGATGCCTTACGCTTCATTGGTGAAGGGCAATATTTTTACCATGTATAGTTTTTTCACATTTAACTAACTGTTTAATGCACTATAAAAAGTAAGTAACGAAACTAATTTTAATTGAAAATTACTTCGAAAAAATCAAATTTAATATTATTATTATTATAAAACAAAATCTCTGGGTATCCACACCATATTTCAACGATAAAATTTCATACAAAACCACCGTTAACACTTGTACTATTGTAGCTATTCGCGTCCGTTCGATCACACCGACTCCTCGCTCAATCTCGAAGACACCACGTTGGCGTCGCACCGCCTGACGCCCGCCAAATTCGCCACCGCCCACGCCAAGGCCTCGCTGGCGGCGGGCAAATTGCTGCGCGTCCTGCCGCACTATCCCATCGACGGCCAGCCGGCCACCGTCGAAATCTACAACGCGCAAGCACTGCTCCTCGACGACGACGAGTTCAAGGAGCTGAGCCAGTTCCCCGGGCCCTTGGTCAAGGGCGCCACCCACAAGAAGACCGTCATCGAGTACTGCGAGAGCAAGATCAGAAACGCCATCGCCGAGCGACGGATCGTCGACGTCGAATCGTACGTGTTGATGTGGGAGCTGCTGATATTGCTGATTCGTCAGAACGGGGTGAGTCTGAGCACAGGGCTCTGTTTCATATAACTGACAAGTTGACAAGTTACAAGTCGACAAGTTACAAGTGTTGGTTGACAAGTATTTTAAAATTTCGTTTCATAAAATAAATTTCGACACTTGTCGAATTAAATTTTTGGCATCCGTTTTTCTACAACTGTAATTTTAATTAAACGTCAGACTTAAGCTAAAAAAAAATAGTACATACTACACTGAGGAGCATAAGTATAGCACAACCTTCGTTTTTCGATATTGGGAAACTTTTACTTTGAAATTGTTTTTTTTTTTCTGGTTGGAGCTATTTTTAGATGTGAACCACGACAATTTCGTTTATTGACAAAAAACTTATTTCTAAAATGCAGCGACATTTATTTAATATTCAATTATTTTAATAAAGAAAGGGCATTCTATTTGGAAAATTTAGTCCCACTTCTACAAAAGCTATAAAATGTGAGCATTGAAACGAACAAAGACAATGCATAATTTCTATAAGTTGGTTCTATACATTAGGCGGGGACCAATAGATTTTATTATTTCCTCAATTTTTATCGAATTCATTCGAAATCTTTTATTAAACTCTCATTAAGCTTCCTCCTCACTGTCGCTAGACCACATTTTCTTTTAAATTTACAAGAAAATCGGATGGTGACAGTAAATCAAGTCCCTGTCGCTTTACACTAATATATGATAGGAATAAATGACAAGTGTTGTTTAATTTATTTTTTTATGAAACGCAAACCTATCTACAATTGTAAAACAGACTTGTAATATTAGGCTAGTCACTTGTCACTAATAATCTACTCGTGTAATTTTATGAAATACAAACTTGTCAAATACCCCAGTCAAATTTAGACTACACTTGTCCGACAGGACTTGTCAGTTATATGAAACAGGCCCCAGGTTGTTTCAAAAGTTGGCATTCGAGCGGTAAAACAGACGTGCGATTCAACCTAATTCTCTAAGCTCTACGTAAAGACAATATTACTGAGAACAATGCAATTCATGCTCATATCAGAGTGTAGATTTTATTGAATTTTTGATTGGTTTTTAGATGGTGGTCGGTGCTGATATAGCCGAGCTGTTGCTGAAGAGTAAAAGGGAACTGCCTCCGGTGAGACCGTCCTCGACGGTTTCGAGCATCGGCAGCCAAAGCGGCGAGGCGAATCCGTCGTCCGAAGGCGGCAACGCCGTGTCCGATAACGCGGGTAGCGTCCATTCGATTTTAAAGGAAGAGGAAATCACGAACAAGTTTAGGGAATTTTTGCTGTACGGATCAGGGAAGGAGGCTTTGGGTAAACTTGCGCCGGTTCGTTGTTCGATTGATCGTTTGTTTGACGTTGGTATTTTTTAGAATGGGCCATGAAACACAACCTATGGGGACACGCGCTGTTTTTGGCCAGTAAATTGGACAAACGGACCTACGCTAACGTTATGATGAGATTCGCTAACGGGTTAACCATGAACGATCCGTTGCAAACGCTCTATCAGTTGTTATCGGGAAAGATACCCGCAGCAGTGACGGTGAGTAAAGAGACTCATTGGTTTCCATTCAGGATAAAATGTACCAGATTTATTATCTTGAATGGATGATATGTCAAGAGTGTTGTTGTTTAAGTCTTACTTACTGATGATAATAATTAGTGAATATGTGTATTGTAGTGCGTTTCGGATGAAAAATGGGGCGATTGGAGGCCACATTTAGCCATGATTCTATCAAATACCTCGCAACGTCCGGAAATAAACTGCAAGGCGATTACCGTCTTGGGAGATACTTTGAGGAACAGGGGGAGTTTGTATGCCGCCCAGTTTTGCTATTTAATGGCTGAGGTAAGTGCATTTTGTTAATTGAAATGATCAGATTTGTTAAATATTGTGTTTTGATAGGTCGGTTTCGGAAAGTACAACGACCCGGAGGCTCGTTTGGTACTTTTGGGCGCAGACCACTCGAAACCACATCACAAATTCGCCAGCAGCGAAGCCATACACATGACGGAAATTTACGAATTCGCTTGCGGATTGAACGATTCTGGTTTCATTATTCCTCATTTCCAGGTAACATTCGAACATCCTTTAACTCGATTAAATTTGATATTTCTCAAAATAACCATCATTTTTGTCCTTTTATAGGTATACAAGTACCTTTTGGCTACCAGACTCGTTGATCGAGGACTCGTCGAGAAATCGCTGGCCTACCTAGAGAAAATCTCCTCTTTTATCGTATCGAATCCGACGCTCGTCGAAGCTTCGTTCGTCGATAACGTGTACAACATGGCGGATAAATTGAAATTCAACGATCTTGTGGGCGACGTCGAAGATGAAACCGAATTCGGTAGCATTTTGGAAACGTCTCGCCCCGACATATCTTGGCTGAAGGACCTCAAAGCTGTTCAAGACGATTTTCAAGTACGAATTTATTAATTTCTACCCCATAACCACTACATAGATAATCGTGTAGTTCAAATGAATGACAACTGTACCGTAAAGCTCTATTCAACCGCCAAATATTCTAATTATTTGCTTACTTTTACAGAACGGTTTGATTCCTCAACAAACTATTAATCCGGCGCAAAATTACGGTACTGGATCATTTGAAGCAGAACAACTTCCGCCGACTTACGAGAGTACAGAACAAGATACGTGGCAACAACAGTACGAACAGCAGCAGTATCAGCAGAATGTTCAACAGCAACCGTGGCAACCTGAGCAAGTTCAGCAAAACGTTCAGGATTATCAGGACAATCAACAATTACAACAACCAATTGGTAATTTACTTGAAAGCACTTACGACCATATTCAACAATGTGTTAAATCGCTAACAGAGAGATAAGTTCTTAATAATCTGTTAACGTCATATTTTGTCATTCATCAATGTCAGTTAATATTTAACAGTCAGATAAAAGTAACAGAGCAAAATCGAATTGATAAAAGAGGTAACAAATATGAATTTAACAGACTGTTAAATTTTATCAGATTGATAAGCGAAAATTGGTGAATATGGTCGTTAGAATTTAAGATGTACATATGATATTTATATTTTTTTCATTAGAATTCAATCAAAATCAGTACCAAGATCAACAGAATTACTGGCCGAATTATCAGCAATTGGATCAGGTGAATCAATACAATCAAGAACGGGTCGATCAGCAAAATATTTATAGCTCAGACGCTCAAACCGAGGTAAGAAATTAACCGTTAAATACCCACATATCGTAGATACCAGTGTGCACAATACATTCAACAAATTTTAAATTGGAATTTCATATAAAATTTTATCTCGTTTTGTTAAATTGTAAATGAAATAGTTTATCGAATTATTTTAATTAAACAATTCAAATTTTTAATATTTTTATTACGCTAGCGAAGCACCTCATATAATCACCTCGCATTAAAAAGGGGGCTTAATGTCTGTTGTTTATTGGGGCACTGTCGTGGTACTTGTGATCTAATTGGCTTGTTTTTGGCGCTTTCTTCGGGGACGCAGCCGAAAGAGGTAGAGAAAGACCCGACCGAAGTAAGTACACCACTCTGCGCGCAATCGGCGCCGTCCCTGCGCAAACGATTAACCACAAACAACCTCCACCCGGCGATCCTCTCCCCCGACGATAGCCTAGTAACTCGCCGGCTCGCGAAAGAACCGAAGAGCTGTCGCAGCTCGAAACAGAGCAGCGCCGAGTCGATCGGGCGCGCGCGCACCAAGAGCTGCTCGTCGCGCGACAGCAGCGATCTAGAAATCGAAACTTACGTGGGCAGACGTAGACAGAGAAACGTGTCCTACAAAGACGAGGAAAAGTCGCAATTGATATGTTACAACGACTCGAACACACAGATAATCACGTTTAAAAACGATTCGAAACACACCAGGTACAATACGTTCGATTTAAAAGCGTCTAACGATAGAAAAGGGACGTTGGTTAAGTACAAATCTCTGGATATACCGGAAGCTAAGACTGTCGTTAAATATCTCGAGCCGAAGAGTAAGGTGTCGATATCGGCGGAAGATTTCAGTTCGGACTATAAGTTGACGAAGTTCGATAAGAAGAGGCACAAACACGACATCATAACCGATACGGTGGATGCGTGGGCGAAGAAAGGCGGTCGACACGTCTTCTCGAATATCAAAAATTCCCTATTCAAAACCAACGCGGACAGGGAGAAGGAAAAAGACAAGGAAGTGCTGTTCAAGCCTCTGGTCTTCGGCGGGACGTTTCCCATTGACTTTCCCACGTTCGAGAACAAAGCGGTTTCGAAGCAATTGGAACTGAAGCCGAAGAAAGTCGGCAGAAACGTTGCTAATTGCCAGCAATTCAGGGAGTACGGACCCGCCAGGACCTTCGATATAGACCAGCCTATTTAAGCTTTCTTTAGATCGTTTTCACTGCTATATGAAATTGAACTAAATACACAATACTTATGGCTGGATTATGTTAATAACCAACTTGGTCCTTAATTACTGTTTGAATTGATACATCGTAGGGATGAACTCTTCATTCCAACTCTTGGATTTTTCTTCATTTAATAGTATAGCAAATTGTACCCAGTTCTAAATTCGATACGATGAAGTCTGAAATACCCTCTTTTAATACGATTTGTGAAAAAACAGGTCGATATAAAAGCAAAATGTAGAATGTACGTGGATGATTATAATTGTGGGCTGTTTGAGAAAATTACGAAGCAAACGAAAACTGCACTACGTAACTCATTGTGATATTTTGGTGGTTAACCAAATCTAATCGATAGCTTTTTGCAGTATTAGAATTATTTATAAAGCGGTTCGTTAAAGAGTAACATTGATGTATTTTAGTTGTTATTTTAAGGTACTATTTATGCGTACTAACAGAAGCTTTTAATGTGGGTACAAACCTAACACCACTGCAATCTTTGAATTCAAATTAATTTTTCGACTTGAAACAAAGTTTTTCAGTTCACTAGTAGCTAAATTTCATGCTTTGGGGTAACAATTTCCTCTCAAATTCTCCCCAAAACCGTTCCTATGCATCTGGTTTCACTGGAAACTCAATCAGAAATTTATTTTATAAAGTAGACGAGTACGAATTTTTCCAATTTCAATTAAGAGGTAGAAGTGGTGATAGTTTTACCTAGCTACAAATTAAACGGTGATTAGATTGCAATATTTTGCATAGAAAATCCTACATGCTATTTTTTGTTGGGCTCCTGTGTAATGGTTATACAGCTTTAAACGTGATAATTTATGTTATTTGAAAAAATTATACTGCCCAATGTTACCTGTTAAATGTTTGGAATATAATGGTCCAGTTTCTGCACCCTTTATTTTTTGCTTATTTAAACGGGTCATCAAATTTGGTACAAAACTAAATGCACCTGTTACTGTAATCAGCAACGCCGTTACATATCCCAAAATCTGATTATTTTTATTACCTTTTTAAACTCAAACAACCGGTATTTCCGAATGAGCAAAGAATAAATTCAAACTGTTCCATCGACACTGTATAAAATATAAGTGCATTTGTCGTGTAAGGTAGTTTATAGTGTAGAAATATTGTTACGGGGTTTGTGGAATCGCGGGATAAATCCTTTATTTTTTTGTCTATTTACAGGCTTGTAATTTTTTATGTTGAATAAAAGTGTGAACAATCATACTACAGTTTTTAAATGCGAACCTTCACGTATTCTCTGCACCTTTAACATTCGTTCACTGTAAAACTAGATTGGTAAAATGCGAAACTTTCACCAATCTACTTGCACGATTTTATAGTATAGTAAATTGTCGCTCTGTACTGTTTCTCAGGACCTACCGCAGCCTCAGATAACGCTGCCCAATCAACCGAACGCCTACGAGGAGGAGAGCCAGCACGACAAGGGCGAGCAGAAACCCAGCGTCCCAGCGAAACCCCAGGGCACTCCCGCCGAACCGGAGAAAAGCCAGAGCACCGGATGGTTCGGGGGAATTTTCAGCAAACTCGCGCTGAAACCCAAGAATCAAATGAAACTGCCCGACGACAAAAATCCAAAGGTAAAAAATCAGTAATAAAATGTTTTAATAGAGATACTTACTAATGAAATTTTTCAGATTGTATGGGACGAAGCGAAGAAGCGCTGGATGAATTTGGACAACGATCCGGACGATCCGGCGAACGAGTTCAAACCGCCTCCCAAACTGTCCGACCTCATGCCTAAAATGAACACGATGCAACCCCAAGCGCAATCCACGCCCCAGCAATCTCCCGCCGCGCCCAATCCGGCCGCTTTCGATCCGAATAAAACCGTAACGGCCAACGGCGGGCCCGCGGAGACCGCCAATCTCGCGCGACCCGTGCCCGGCGGTAACATGTTCAAACTGCAAAAAGGACGAAGTGAGCGATCGCTTTTAGATCGTCGGCGTTGAGATTAATCGTTGGTTGAATTTGCAGATTTGAAGAACTCTTACATTGACGTTTTCAACGCTGGCGGCGCCAAACCGGCGAACAGCTCCGGGCCGGCTTCTTTGCCCGCGATGTCCCAGGCGGCTCCGAGTGCACCGCAAATGAATTTTTTCGTTCCCCAGCAGGTGGCCGATGCCAACGCCCCGGCGGATTTTTTAACGCCGGGCGGGGTGCCTTTCATGGGAGAGCCGCAGGTAAGGAGAGATAGATATAATTGTTAATATTGATAAATGCAAAAACGGTTTCATTGATTGAAGTATATTAAAAATTGGCTTAATGGTAGAAAAAACTAACGAATTTACAAAAATATATAAGCAATGAGATATTTGATTAACTGAATATTTATACATAATTTAATTGTGTATTTAGAAGAAGAAAAATAGCGATTCGTAAAGGAGAAGTAAGCGATTTTTGATGTTGTTTCGCATGTATGATTGGTGTGTTTTTTAATCGTTGCTTTATTTCTTTTATTGCATCAAGTATAAAGTACACTAGCATTGTTTTACCTACGGGTATACTGTAATTCCAATAGTGATAGTGATTAAAGATAAGAATTAAGAATTTACAAATAGCCGAAGGTAAAACAGCAATTATTCGACCACATCTGATTTTCACTAGTTTATTAATAACAAGCATTACACGCATCTTGCATATTATATCATTACATTTTTCATTATGCATGGCGATTTCAATATTATTCATATCTGTTAAACACTAACCATAACCAAAACGTATTAAAAAATGTCTAGAAAGCTTTGTTAAAAATTTCATAATAACAGCTAATATAATCGAACGTTAACTAAACGGAGTTTACAATAAATTGATGTTATAAAAATTAACGATATATTCTAGATTATATTTTTTATGTATATTTATGTCGGTGTTTGGCTAACTATTATGGTTATGGATAGATGTCTAGGTGGAGTTCGGCTAGTTCTTTATCAAAGGAGGTGCAATACTATATGCAACCGAAATCAAAACCCAAATTTCATCTGCGATAAAGCATTGCTTAAGTCACTGCTTGTGCGATTTTCATCACATTTTTGCGGTATGTAGTTTTCGAATAATTTTAGTTTTCCTCTGGAAAGTCTACAGTGCATGAGAATGCTGTTCTTTATTAGTAGAAATTGTTAAATAATGCCCATTTTATATCATACTATTAATGATTGTCTCATTTTTTGTGGACTTTTGGCTACCTTCAGGTTGAGGATTAAATAATTCGACGACCAAATTATTATTGAAGAATTAAGTATAAACTTTTAGTCGATATTTTCACTATAGTTTAAACCGGAGTAGCTATCTATAATGTTTAGAATATCACCATTATTCTAAACTGATGAAATTATATACAGGGTGTCCCGCATAAGAACCGACATAGAGCAGGGGCTTGTAGGTAGGGGAGCCTAAAATATGTTTAACCCGACTTGTTTTAAGTTTGAGTATTAGTGAGATATTTTTTTTAATTTGTATAACATTTGTTTATGAATTTCAATTTTATAAGGTAGTTATTCCGTAAATACTCTGTAATGTTAATAAAATTTTATACATAATTTGGTGGTGGAATTTTACCAAACGGTTGTGTTGTTTTTAAGATAAAATTTATTATGTAGTATTTATTTATAGTGTATTTTATGTCTTATTTAAATTTCAAACATTAAATTTATAACAGATTTTATTCTTTCTAGCAGCAGTAGGCAGGAAGCAGTCAAACATTGGACTGAGCTACGAATGATAGTGTGTATTAATTGTTTTTTGGTGTAACTTTTACATTTGATCCTGTGATCACTAGAAATTTTTATTATATATAGAGAGACAATATAAATATTATATACATTGTATTTATAGGAATTAAGGGTATAAAAAAAATTAAAATTTTGTGTTTGTTTTACTCTACTCGTATTGTCGAAAAATTGTTATATTAATTGAATCTAAAATAAATTGGAATATACTTACAATATTAAATTTGAAATAATCTACTAACTTCATTTTCATTTGCAACAATTTAAATGTATAGGCCACGAAAATAAAATTCAAAATTTGTAAAACTACAAACTGTATCTTCCCCTGCGGTTATACAGTTCCTCTTCTTCTTATTCTTACTTCTATCCTCGTAATATGTGTATATACAGCCAGTCTCAACAATGCCATCCTTTGTAGAACTCATGACAGATGCAGAGTAGAATAGGAAGAATACCTGCTTCATAATCCTCAAGTAAACGATATTTACTATTATATAATTAATAGTTTATAAAAATAAAATATACAATGATTTGTGTTTGAGTTGGCAAAATTGCATATGTCAAGCGTCATTGCGTCAAGTCAACTGTCAAGCAGACCATTTTCCATTTTAGTTATGTCAGAAAGGAATTATTTTTTGTTTTTTGAATAACAAGAGGTTTCAGGTTAACCGAACGGGCAACGAAATTGCGTCGGGAAATGTCCGAGACAGCTTCCAAAAAGATTGATAACCTACTTCAACGTATTAAAAACGAAACGACCCCACCGAGTCCCGTACCCATGAACCGTGCAGGTTCTGGGGGCCGAAAGGCATTACCATGTAAGTGTTTCCGTGGTAAACTGGTCCCTTAATATTACCGAGTATCGTTGTAACATGTTTTAGTAAATTTGAGCAACACAAGTAGTCCGGTTATGGCTAGACCACGAAACCTATCTTTCACCACTAGACAGAATGATAATCAAGAAACGGAGAGAAAACTTAGAGAGATTATGCGAATTAGCGGCGATTTAACTATAGAAGGCGTCCTTTTCAAAACTGACATAAAAGATATGGAGCACATAGAAGAACTGGGAAATGGCACTTGCGGACATGTAGTTAAAATGAGGCACAAACCTAGTGGAAGTATTATAGCTGTTAAGGTAACGAGCAATTTAACAACACCAATTCGAGAGAATAACGAATTTGCCGATTTCAGCAAATGAGACGCTCAGGAAATAGTGACGAAAACAAAAGAATTATAATGGATATAGAAGTAGTTTTGAAATCACACGACTGTAAATACATAGTACAATGTTTAGGTTGTTTTATAACGGATTCGGAAGTTTGGATATGCATGGAACTTATGGATACTTGCTTCGATAAATTACTCAAGCGGTATAAGCAATCTATTCCCGAGGAAGTGTTGGGGAAAGTTACAGTTGCTGTACGTCTTAATTCATCTAAGTGCTCGTTCATTGTAATTACACTACTTCTGTTTTCAGACCGTTGAAGCTTTATCGTACCTTAAAGATAAACATGATGTAATGCATAGAGACGTCAAACCTTCAAATATTTTATTAGACACAAAGGGCAATGTGAAATTATGTGATTTTGGCATTAGTGGACGATTAGTGGATTCTATGGCTAAAACGAGGAGCGCCGGCTGTGCTGCATATATGGCTGTGAGTAAAGAATCCAATAATATTTATGCTAAATCCATGATTAATCCTCAAGCGAATTAATCTAAGATATTGGCTTAATTCGTAAATTTGAATTTGATAGGATATTAAAGTTTTTAATCATTTTTAAGTAACAATTAAAATTTTTCCATCGAACAAAATGTTATTTTAAAGATAATAATTCGATTTTATTTACGCTATATTTTTTATTTTATCGGTAATCAAACATTTAATTATGGCAGAAAATTTTTCTTAGAAATATAATATTTGCCACAGGAAAAAAAATCTTTATCTACAATTTGTAATTCTCAGAAGCGAACAATGGGTTTTACGTTGAGACGCTAAATTGCACGCGATAAGGACATAAAAAAACAAGTTATTAATAGATAAATTTTAATTAGCCTGAACGGATCGAGCCTCCGGATCCCGAAAATCCCGATTACGATATTCGAGCCGATGTGTGGTCGCTCGGGATAACACTGGTGGAAATGGCCACGGGCGTGTTCCCATATCAAGACTGTAAGACTGATTTCGAGGTGTTGGCCAAAGTCATAGGACAAGAACCTCCGAGTCTGCCGACTGATAGAGAATTTTCACCTGAATTTAGAGAATTCGTATCACTTTGGTAGGTTTCCATCGAAAGTGTCTTCCAACGTTGTGAAGTTAGCTACTTTTCCAGCAATTTTTTAGCAAATAAACAGTTCTCTAAACTGTTTTTTACATAGCAAAGGAATGTGCAGAAAAAATTGCTCACTTCACACCGGCTTGTGCTTGTATCATATGTTTGTTACTTATGTGTTTTTTCAGTTTAATAAAAGACCCTAAACAGCGGCCAAAATACACGAACTTAAAAGATCACGATTTCATTAAAAAGTACGAAGCTATAAATAATGTCAATGTAGGAGAGTGGTATGTAAAATTGATCAAACGTTCAGAGGAAATGACAAATCGATCAGCGCCTAGGTACGTTGCATGGTTAGTTTCGCAGATTTTTTTTACTACTTTATTTTACTGAACGATAATTATATTAATTTTTATCGAGGTTTTGGGGCTGATCAAATGACTAATCATTAAAATAAACAAGGTGAAATTCAATAGCTAATATTTACATATAAAACGAATTAATCTCGTAATTAAATCACTTATTTTGCTTTCTTATTAAACGTTTGTCTAGATTACAACGATGTTCGGGGGAAAGGAAAATTACTCCGACTTTTTTAAAATGCCACAAATTTGATTAAGCTCTAAATACCCGTGTGTTATTTTGAGTTTGCAGTAGTTTTTTTTCTAATTTCTAGACTGAACCACATTGCTTGCATCCTGTAGGTTTGTATATTTTTTTTTGTTTTATCATCCACACATTGAATAAAAAATTCGAGATCATTTTTTTAGTAGTAAAGACATGTTTATTTAAGTATAAGTGTGCTATAGGAAAATATCTCTAATTTAATTCTGTTAATTAGCATGCATAAGTTGATTGAATGGTTTGCGTTTCTTCACAAACGGTGTTTGTTTTAATATGTTTAATACACAGATAACCCTTTATTGAAAATGAATCAAATGTTGATCGAGTAAATTTAAAGAATGTTTGATAAATAATGTAACTTCATTAACGTTTCTGGGCAACTCGACATCGCATGATTGGCATTCCGTTGCGTTTTCTCTTTTTTAGACAAAATTCAGCGGCGAACACGATCCGCCAGTTTTTCTCCTCCCGTCAAGCCCTACAACCGCAGCAATCCCTCACCGCCGCCCTACAATCGTTAACCAACGGCAAAACGTCCGCGAAACCAACCGCTGAAGCCCTATCACCGCCGCCGGCCACCAAAGCGCCCCACGTCTCACGGTTCAGCTGCTTCCAGCGGGCCAATCAGTCCCCGGAGGCCTCCAATCCGGCGACCAGGAGCTATTCGCCCTATTCGGCTTACCAAAACCACGTGGCCATGCTGAAGGAGCAACTCGAAAACAAAATAACGCAGGTGAGAGAATTCGTGCCGATTCTAAAGCTACTTGGATGTGACTGGAGGTTGCTACAAAGAGATTGCTCGTCGAGATGTATTTTCTCACTTTCAATTCGAGTTTTGCATTGTTTTTTTCGAGTCTCTTGTAGAGCTACCTGAAGCTACATCGAGATTTGTAATTGCTCACTTTTAAGTCGAGCGTTGTAAGGGTTTTCGTTCGGTTTTCCAGCAGCTGCAAAGCAACGCCGGTTCGTCTTACACGCCCGTTCCGAGCCGAAGGCCTTTGGACGGTTCGCCGACGCCGACGGCGACGCCGTACCAACACCGTCGCGTCGCCAGTGAGACGAGATGGCGCTCGCCGAGCGCCTCGCCTTTACCGCTTCGCACGCAGTTCCAGGTCGAAGAGAACCAGTACAATTGCGGCAACACCAGCCCCATTATCCTCCAACGGTTCTATCACCAGCAGAAACAGCAACAGATGGTCAAGGAGGCAGAAGAATCCGGTGAGTTCGCTAAAACTGTGTACAATTACTTGTTTGTTTTTCTAATGTTGTGGTTGGTTCTTTTTTTGTAGGTAAAAAAAGATTCGCTTCCTACATAAAAATGCAACTGAGCGGCGACAGAAGCGGTAGATCGTCGAGACACCAAAGCCCCGAACCGCCGCCTCGGCTCAACCGGCATCCCAGTGGCGAAAACCAAAGTCCTCTAGCCTTACGTAGGAATTTTTTAGAAAATCACCCGTGCAATTCGCCTAGTCTATGTCGAAGGTAAGTTTTTTCTCTCTGGGTTATCATGGACTTCGCAGTACATATTGATGGATTTTTTAAAGGTATATATCGCCCACGCCTCCAGTGCCTCCTCCCCGGAGACTCTCGGAGAGCTCGTCCGTGCCCGGTTCGCCGCAACATTTGAGAGCTCGATTTCACTATACTCCGGAACCTCAGAGGCGGCTCTTTCAGAACGACGACGTGTCATAACGTAGGGCTCTGTCGCCTCCTGAAAGAGAGGCCTCTAAGTAGGAAAAGAGTATATTTTTTATTTGTTTTCTAAGTTTACAATTTGTTGCGCTAATTGATGATGCGAAGGAGGAGAATGCATTTTTTTGCGCTAGTAGATTGCGCGCATCGTAAATAGAGATCCTTTCTTTCCTATTTTCTATGTACAGGGTGATCTGATGGTACGATTGTTAAAGTAATTTGGTAACTTGAAAACTATTATAAATTTGCTTTATAAAGATTTTGTATTATCCTTAGATCACACTGTAGATTCGAAGCATTTTAGAGAACATCGGTTAATGTTTTGTTGAATTATTGTATGCAGTTGTGTTTTCTTTCTTAGAAGAAATGCGTAAAATTGCGATTTTTGTAATAGCGGAATATTTGTTTAAATTGTAGAGTTCATTTCTTAAATGTGCCTTGTTCTAAATTTGTGTATGTGTAATGCGAGTACTCGCGTTATTTACATATTATAACTTTTCTATGGTGGTATAGTTAAATTCGTCTTCAACATTTTATAATATACAATCATTTAAATGACTTTCTAGATGTGTATAGGTGAAAATTGTTGATTTGTGGTTATCTTTAGAAAACATACAATTAATAACATATCTGTGACACGTTTTAAAAGTTGTTCAGATAGATCATTTTGATTATATAAAAAATGCTTTTGCATTTGTCCCAATATCTCATTGAAATTATCGCAGTATGAACCGAGTCTTTGAAAAACAATTGTATATGAAGATATTTTCTTGAATTTTTGAACTCTGCTTGAGTAATATTACATTTATTGCAACTTAATGAGATGTTTAAGGATCGGCTTGATAGATTTTTAGTAAATATACGACTGAAATATTCCGTTTGGCATGTCATTAAGCTCGAGTAAGATCGGAGGTGTTTTTGTAAAACATATTTGTCATACACAGGGCGTACTAAAACTTTATGTAAAAAATTGAAAAGTGGGTTTAGAAATATTCACTAGAAATTTTTTACAGAGATGAAATGAAATTATTGTTCTAAATGTTTTTTTTTTGTATAGAAATTGTTGAAATAGGCGAAAATTAATTCAGGCTTTATTTTTAATCAAGATTTACCTCTGTGACTTTGATTATGCGATTTTTCTTTATAGTTTGTCGTAGAATTGATCCACGAGTTTCTCGAAAATTGGTTTCGTATAATACAATTTTTCATGTAACGTTAATAATAAGAAGGAAAGAGAGAGGGATCGAATTTAACGGGATAGCTGTTTTCCAAACATTCTTCTAGCTAGGCGAATAATTAAATATTTTATTTTTTGCACTGCCGACAAACAAAACATTGTAGGTGAAAGGTGCTGGCAGTACTGTTAAGTATTTTTGTTGTTTTATTCATTTTTTTTAACTTCATTGTGAAGAGTTTTTAGTCATCTTACATTGCTAGTCTTACATAACGTCACCGGACGTGATTGCTTTATTATTATTTTTATTATTATTTTATTGAGTGTACCTTGCTCGACCAAAACATTCGATTTTATTATAATTATATCAAAAACGTTTAATCGAATCCACCGTTCTAAATAAACTGTAAACGTAGACTTAAATGTAGCTACTTAAATGTTGAGCAAAGGGCGTTTTAATTTTAATTTTCTTAGATTTTAGAATTTTTAAACGTTATTGAACTGATATTTATTATAAAAAACTCGATTTTGTTCCTCTTTGAACAGTTGTGAATAATTTTTGTCTAAAAGTGTAGAGTGATCAAAATATTGTTTTCTGCTACGTTACTTTTAATTATTTCGGTAATATTTTTATAGATGTGAGGAATATAAACTCGGTCTAATTTGTAAAAGCTATATTTTTAATTCAGAAATATTATGTCGAGAGCTTCATAGGTAAAGGGCAATATTTTACCAGTCATTCATGGAAATTTCCTGCAAGGGACTGTTCAATTGTGGGTAAATTTAGAACCTCCCAGGTAATATCTATTAATGCTTAAAATATTGGCCTTTACATAAGAAACACCCTGTAGAATAACATTAAATTGTAACAAATCGCAATTCAACGATAGGCTTCATTTATCTTATTTTTCTATATATTTACATAACATTTTAGCAATTAGTACAAATAGATTTACAATTTACAAAGTGGAACGAGTTTTATATATTATTAAGTTATTCTATAAAGGCTGTTGAGATTTTTTCCTTTATATTTCAAGCAAAAGTATGAGAATATTATTTGAGTGGATACTGTTTTCAAGTGTATATAACAATTAGTAATGCAATGCCATACCTGATATTATGTATAGTTTGACTTAAATTATGTAAATATACCTGATTCGTATATAATTGGTAAATTTTCTTTATTCTTGTTTCATAATTTATTTTTTATCTTATAACCCTTGTAATCTAAATACTTATTTAGAAGAAGGCCACTTTTATAAAATTGTATAATTTCTTCTTCGTTAACTTCATGGCCTTTAACGTATTTACGTTCTCTCACATTTTAAGTCAAATGTCAAAATCTTCTTTTTCAATACCTAACCTATTTTTTATATTCTAAAAATAATAATATTTGTAAGTTATAAGTGATAAGCAACAAAGCAACGTTTAATATTTCAATAATGACTTTAAAATGGAATGAAAAATTAGATAGGTCCAATCGAAAGCATTATTTAGTACTGTTTCTACTATTATTCTTGCTTATATTTACTCTCGCATTCGAGCTAGTCGGCGTTTATAACCAAAATCAGACCAGTTCTGTTCAAATAATATACGTGGAAAGTGATAAACCGGCTGTATTTAAGACTGATCCAAGATTCTTGAGCTTAGGACTCGATGCCATAGTAATAGCGAACGGGTTCCGAAGGTTCAACATGTCCGATCCGAGATTAATAAAGATGATCAAGTACCTCGGACCGGGCTACCTCAGAATCGGAGGGAACTTACAGGAACGAATCAAATTCTCGCTATTGAACGATACAAACGAATATTTACAAGATGATAACATTGCATTGGACTTGGTACCCAATATAACATTAACTGCATCGAACTGGTTAAAGCTGAACAAACTAGCTAGTAGCGCAAACATGGAAATATTTTACGGCCTTAACGCCCTACAGAGATTCCCCAACGGGTCCTGGGACCCCAGAAACGCCGAAATCATGATAAAATACACCACCGACCACGGTTTCAAAGTCAACTGGGAATTAGGAAACGAACCTAATTCATTCAGGCACAAATTCAACGAAGCCGTCAATGCCACACAAATGTCCAAGGATTTCGTCGTGTTAAGATCGATTTTGAACAAATACTCCAAGTACAATCGATCGATGCTAGTCGGGCCAGACACGACGAGACCCCAGAGGAACCCCGAAAGCCAAATTTACCTCGAACAGTTCATTAAAAGAGGCAGTTTCGAAGTGGACAAAATTACTTGGCATCAATATTACGTGAACGGTCACAACACGAGCGCAGAGGAATTTCTGGATCCGAAAATTTACGATCTACTGAAATTTCAAATCGACAGAGTCAAAGAGATTACAAACAAAACTCACAGGGCTATTTGGCTGGGAGAAACGTCTTCAGCTTATGGCGGGGGAGCCCCGGAACTCTCCGATAGATTCACCAGCGTTTTCATGTGGCTGGATAAGCTCGGACTGGCGGCCAAATTGGGGGTCGAGCTGGTTATGAGACAATCGATTTTCCACGGGAATTACTCGTTGTTGGACGATTTTTACAATCCCAATCCAGATTGGTGGGTCAGTTTGATATACAAGCGATACGTCGGGCAAGTGGTTGTTCCTATTTACAACGTTACAACTGATAGAGTCAGATTGTATGCCCACTGTTCGAAGAATATAGTCCAAAAAGGCATCACCATTTTCGGTTTTAACGTCGACCACAGCCCTGCTAACGTAGAATTGCAGGGACTGCGTAACTTAGATGGACGAGTTCCTCCTTACGTGGAAGAATTTTTGTTACAAACGAATTATTTAACTTCGAAAAACGTGTTTTGCAACGGCAGACTTCTAGCAATGCTTCCTGGAAATCAGTTACCGAATATATTTGGTGTTATAAAAAATATTTCACCTTACCTCACCTTACCTCCATTTTCCGTCGTGTTTTGGAATATACCAAATGTTAGAGTTAAAGCTTGTATGTAGTGCTAAAGAATTTTTTAATATATACTGTTCTGTAAATATTTTATGCTATTCCCTATTTGCATCGAAATTTGTGTTAATTACAAAACGATTACTTCATGTAGCATTCGGTACACTAAACAGTTTATTTAATTGTAATCTAAATTTCATTTAATAGTAGTATCGATTCGGCGGAATTTTCGTTTCGCTATGCTATTTAGCCGGAGTCGATGCTATTCCGCTAATAATGGCCCCAATAACGGGAATTATGCGCATTTAATCGAGCACAATGGAGACGAAACAGGCGAGGTATGTATATCAATCTCCCTGAATGATGTACAGACTTCGATCTGCACCCTTTTCACCATTCTATTCTTAAATTAATGAACCGTGGCCGATTTTGTGGCAACTGAATTAATTTTATGTAGATTTGGAGAACGTAACAATTCCGCGTAAGCTTGTTTAATTCACTGACATAATTTGTAAATTGGCCATTCAGTCACGAAGGAATCGAGGCAGAAGATTTTCTCATTGTGAACTTCTTTAATTAAATCAACAGAAGAATTCGACAAAAACGCCGGTTTGTTGGAGCGTTTCCTAGCAACGTGATGGTTCATTTGTCAACTCAAAACGTCAATAACAATTTTACATTGCAAAAATTGAAGAAAAATGTCCCAACCCGCCTCAGAAACCGGAGGAGTGAAGCCAATGAGCATAGCAGATCGCTTTGTGAGCGAAAGAGAACGCCTGCATAGCATGTCCAAAGAAGAGCGAGCTTTCAGAAAACAGTGGCTGAAAGATCAAGTGTTGCACCCGAGGGAACCCTGCGAGGTACCCGAGATGTACGCGGCGACCCACAATCCCATCAGAAGGGCCTACAAATGGCCCCTCAACCAGCTCGAGAACGCGCTGAGGGGCCACTTTCGCTGCGAAACCGCCGCCCGAATCAGGTACTACACGGGCCGGTCGATCATGATTATCGCCGGGGCGTACCTGATGACTTACTACGTGATGTACAACACCAACGACTGGACGCGCAAAAGCGGCATGAGGGTGTCGCGATCGAGGATAGCGGTTCTTCCGGGCGATCCGGACTTTCCGTGCGTTAGTACGATGGAAAGGGCGGATTACGCCGATAGGGGATTCAGCGAATGCGGATTAAAACTCTAATTCCGATATTTTACTCGAGAAACTTGTTATTGGAATACATGTAGGTATTAAGATATTAAGGTTTATGTTAAAGTTTGATTAGCGAATAGAACTGCACCGTTTGGAGTAGTGTGAGATTTTGGAACAATTTCAAAACTTTGTTAATTTAATTCTTAGAAGTAAAAAATCAGCAAAAATCCATCGAGACGCGAAGAGAGCTTTATTACTTAGGTGCCCGAGTTATTTAGAGTTGGAGCAATTGAAACCATAAATAATTACCAAGGTACGATTGTTGGAAAGAGCGACGCGAACGGCAATTCGAAAGTTAATCCAGTTTGAGTCCGAGCGAAGAACAAAGGCGGTAGACTCATTTAAATCAAATAAAAAGGAGCAACGCAATCTAAATCTGCATCGCGTTTCTGGAGATGAGCAATTCAACTTCTTTCAGCTTTTCGGCGAACGATTAAATAAAGGGCGCGCGAAGCGCAAAGGCGAACAAAACACAAGTTTTTGTAGGTCGGGATTTGCGGGATTGATTTTTTTTATAGTTCGAATGAAGTTGGATTTACGGTTTCGACATGCAAACGCCTTTTGTAGACTGTGAAAAAATTGAATCGTAAATTATCTTGTTAAACGGATTCGTAGAATGAACATAATTTAATTTGCACAAACGTTTCATTTGAATGAATGTAAACTTAATTTTCCTCAAAAAGCTCAAAAAATCTAACGCCATAATTAGCCAAGTTTGTACCTGTACAAATCTCCGTTTCTTCTTTAATGTCATATTTCATTTTTATATGGAAAAGTTCATCGGATTGTCTCCGACGTTGGGTCATATTTTATTCAAAATCCGCCGCGTCTGGACTATGAAAGGCCCGTGGAAAAAGAACGCATAATGTAAATCGAGCGTTCTGCAAACCTGTCGAAAAGCGAAAAATTCGAGCTTAATGCGAAACAAACGTAAAAGTTTAGTCACCTCCGCTTTCGGTCTGTAATTAAAACCAAGCGAAAAAACATTTTTGTAAAAAATTGCGAGTCGCAAAGTCAATTTGTCAGTACATTGTACCTTTAGAAGAAAATAATAATAAATTAACTTTGTTCTCCACGAATGTTTGATCATTTCAAAAACTAGTTAGTGATCGTGAAATGGGCAAATTTCCATACTATTGAGAAGTCGGTTCAAATTGCCATTACAACACGAAAAATAAAAATGTTTTAAAAGGACAACAAAGAAGGCGAGGCAAAGGAAGCGATGAATAAAATTTGGAAAAAATTACATTAGAAGTTCATAAAAAATTTAAATGCTTATTCCTCGTCATAAAGTCATTTCATCGTTATTCGAGAGCCGGAATTTTTTTGCGATTTACCGTAATTAAATATTCATGAACACCGATTTATCACGTGCGCATTTTCCAATATGTCCGATACGTTTTTTTTTTTGATTAAAATGAAATCGCGCGTTTTTGTCGAACATGAATTATGAATCAATATCCGGGCTATTTTTCAAATATTTATTTTTTCAAAGAGATCAAAAGATAATTAAAATGTGCCAATTTGTGCACTATTTGCAGCAAAAAATGTCTATAGCCCCTTTATGGGACCATAGAGATGAATATTTTTCATATTAGTTCATCAGTCTAGAATTTATTTGCAGATTTAGCCTGAAAAAAGTCTTAATTACCAGGTAGACTGCACGCGCTAGATAGACCTATGCCGAATCATTATTTCCAGTATTTAGTGGAAAAATAGCGGAAGCATATTTGGATATTTTTCAGTTGGAACGTACCGAATCTCATCGGCGTGCGGGAAAATGCTTTTAGAGCACGGAGCGGGTTCCGTTTGGAGCACAAAGCGACGAAAACCGACGAACGTGCGCTAAATGACTCGCCTATAATTCGATTTGACAGGGCTCTTTCTTAGATGGGCCTTTTGGCGGCAGTTTCGAAAAGCTCGGCGGTTTTGTTCGTCCCCGATAAAGCGATATCTTGACTCTCGACTGCTGTGATGGGAAAGATTAATTATATTTTAGCGAGTAACGGGGAGAATTTATCCGAAATTTTCCTGTGCTGGTGACGTTGAGTCGGTTCGATATTTGATATTTTCAAAAATTCAAACAGCTGAACCTGAATTTTTTATTACCCATCACCCCTCAAGTCATTAACTGCGGATCTTCAAAGAAGCAATTACATCGCCTTTTTTTATTTTTAGATGTGCTCTTACACTTCCGCAGAATTTTCGGTATATTTAGAAGATCGTCTGTAAAGTTAGAAATTTTATTCGACGGAATTCCGAACGGAAAAATCCCGCTTTTCTCGAACTAAACGAATAACTGAACAGTTAGCGCGGACAGAATGGAATCTTATGTAATTTTGTATGGTGCATAAAAATTATAGGACTCGGCAATATAGCGCAAAACTAACACTCGCCGGAGAGGCGAAATTCAATTTAGTTGTCAGGATATTCCGTAACATTGAAGCCGGCGAAATTTTCTCTATTTACATAACGTCCAATTAATTTAGACTCCCCGGATCTTTCAAAGAAAATTAAAGCACTTGTACTGTCGCCGTCGCCTGTCCAGATGAATGTTTCGTTAATATCAAAGATGCCCTTTTATTATAAGCAGGATGGGAAGGTTCGCTTCAAACGTGTAATTTAGATGTAGATGAAAAATGCATTATTTGCTTAAATAGCAAATGCAATTTTCCGCCGTTTGAAATTGCGTTAAGACGTATCCATTTATGAATTTTCCAGGTTAATAAAAGGAGGTAAACATGCTGGAAAATTTTATGCGCAAAAATCCAGATCCACTTGTTCATTTAATTGTATAAGTTCTGGCGATTATATTACATATAAACTATTTAATTTGCGATTAAAACTGACGTTTTAAAGAGGCTTTAAAAGTTTAATTAAACTAGCCTTTATGATTCTAGAAGGATTTTTATATTCAGCGAAATTAACCTTTTTGGTTAAAAATGCAAACATTTCTTTCCCCCTAGAACAAATTCTAGGGGGATAGAAATAAAATTTGGGTATTAATGGTTCAATATTTTTTAAATTAGGCATGTGGTTTCAATGAAAAAACTGAAATAGGGAATTCCATCTGTATATAAACTGGTATAAACCAGAACGTTTCCGAGTGAGTTTAGTCCTTAAACTGCGAAACTTTGTTGAAATCGGTTAAATTGAGGCGTTGAGAGCGTCGATTTAGACGGAATTTCGGATCGTTGTCCTCGATTCAAAGTTTATAAACTCGCCTGGATATCGCAGCTCATTAATGTTCAACCTAGAAGTCGCTGTTACTACACTGTTTCGCTAAATATAGCTTACTGCAGTTGAGATTTACATAAATAAAAAGCTACAAGTGACCTCAGAAATTTTCATGCAAGCGTTGTAGTTTTCCCGCTTCATCTGCATCTCTTGAAAAGTTCCCTAGAGGAGAGTTTTTGTTTGCCTAATGTTTCTCGAAATCACAGTATAATTATCAAGTTCAGTGCTCGAACCCAAGTAAATTTTAATTATAACACGACGCGCCTGGATGCTTCGAAACTTAATTGAAATATGACCAAAATTCCATAATTCGCAGGGTTTCTTATACCTTCGAAAACCGATAAAAGTTGGCTATTGACGCTCGCAGGAGTAAATAAGGCGAAGTTAACATCATCCACGTTCGGATGTAACAAACAACTCCGAGCTATAAATCAAATTTGCAAGTTGCTTTTTCCCTTCGTCTTCAGTCGAAATTTGGTAAAGGTAAGAAGGAGTTTTGAGCTTGAGCGTAGACAAGGGAGGGACAGTACTCTAATAGAACTTCAGAAGATTAAATGTTAAGGATTTTGATTCTCTAAAGATAATGGGATACATTAGAATTTTCGTTTATTTTTAAGGGATTTTTAAAAGAATGTTTTTGGACATATTAGAGACCTCCATTTGTTAAAGTTTTGTCAAGTTTGTAAAGTATATTTTGTGAAGACTTTTTGCTAATTTATAAAACATATGTCCTAATTTTTTTTGTTTTCTTCATATTTTTTATAGTAAATATCTACCGGTTTTGGTTGTTTTTTTATTGATTTATTCAGGACTTCTTCCTTTTGAAATTTCTTTTTAGTATTGTTCTTGAACTCACTAGTTTTCCTCTTCCCCTTTAATATCCCTCATGTTATAAGAGGACCCCTCTAAAAAATTCATGCGTACGTCTTTGGTTCTGGCGAAAGGTAAACTGAGCGAAATCCGATATTTCTTTTAAATTCATCGAAATTTTCCCAATCATTAAAACTCGTGGGATGTGCATGGAAAACATTTTAATTTACATACAAAATGGTAGAGCATTAGCATTGAAACTATTTAGATTAAATTCCCCAAAAAATACAAATTTACGGATTAAAGAATTAATACCAGCATAATTATGGATAGCATATGAAAGGATTATGAAAATCGTACAACTTTATTGGAAATCGATTGCAATATACATTAAAAAACACAGTATGAAAAATTGCCTTAAAACGTTAAAATAATACATTTTCAAAAAAAACTATAATGACCAACTAAAAAGGTACTATACATTCCAAAATATAGATATAATAAGTAGGTATATTTATGCATGCTCGGGGCACTTTGCGATGCGAATCCTAACATTGTATGGTCGCGCAATTACAATTCGAAAACACAATAAACGTAATAAAGTGAGAAAAGGTTCGAGTCGAGGACTGAGCAGCGGATTAAACGGACAGTAAAATCCACCGGGATATTTCATTTGAGCATTGTCCTTTTTATAACTCGGTTCCAGTCGCGTTATTCGTCATAATTATTAGAAGTTTCAAACGCCCGCGCGTTTAATGAACTCTCCTCCGAAGCCGAAGGGAGCGACGTTATTACAACGTGGGTAAATTGGTTTCGTCGAGGAGAATTAATTTCTCAAAAAGGTAGAGCTTGAGCCGATCGTGCGTAAATTAAGTGTCATTTATTACGAATTTTTCCGGACTAACAGTAAAACAATCTTCAGCGAGCTGGTTTTTTTACTGTTCAATTAATAAATAGGCCGCTATTATGTTTCCAGTGATAGCAAAAGTTGGTATAAATAGTCTCAATGCATTTGGATTTCTAAACAGTCTAGTTACAGGTCGTATACAACAAACATTACAAAATGAAAACCCTGGTAAGTACTTCTAATATTTTCACAAATTAATAACTTTTTACCATCAAGAGCATTGGATTAGGCATCTTGTTAAAACAACTCCATTTCCAGATTACAAACCATCTTGTAACTCAATCCTATATTTCAGTTACTTACTCTTCTAGTGACGTTGTTAACAAATCTAGTCAGCTGCGGTTACTTGACAGGCCACCACCCCCTCCCTCAAAATGTGATAACCTCAAGAACGCTGGTCGGGGGAGCCGTAGGGGGGCCGCCTGGAGGGGCTTATTCCTCCTCCCAATTGACCCAAACCGTTGCATCAGCTCCTGCGCAATTTCAATCGTCTATTGCTACTTACCATCCTATCCAATATGGCTACAGAGGCAACCAAAATCAAGGAGGCGGGTACAACCAAGGGAGTAACCAAGGGGGCAATCAAGGGAGCAACCAGGGGTACAGTCAAGGATACAATCAATTAGCAAATAATCCGGGTAAGTTTTGCAACATTGAGGGTTTTTGGAAACCTGGCAATGTTGCCAGGTATTGTGAAATTTCGTGGATCTGGTGACTTTTGCATTTGCTAAAACGATTCCACTGTATGTAATGGTGCTTTTGCAGGTCAAAATCAGGGTAACTTGCAAAATAATGGATACAATACGAACATACCGAGTGTCCTAGCTTATGGATCGTATGGAGAACCGAACCAAAATCAAGGTTATTATCAAAATTACGGGAATAACGGACCGAACAATTACGGAAGGTATTGAGATGCCCTCTTATAATAAACTGTAGACTGAATTTCAAGACCAAATTATCTTTGTAATAACGATTGCTTTCTATTATGCGTATATTAAAATTTCTTTAAAAAATAAATGATTTTTACATTGAATGTTGTTTTAATTAAATAACTTCAAGTACTTTAACCATAAATTAGTGGTTTGTAAAGTTTTCATTATTTTCTTTACTTTTATTGCCATTATTTCGAATTTCTTGGTTTCTTAAGGCATCCGTTTATTATTTTCCAGCTTCCCTTTATTTATCCTTAATTTGTTCGAGCTATATCCGATTGGGATGCATAAATTCTCTAAATATAGTTAGGATATATTGCACGGAAATTACGACTTGGTTTATACATTTTATATTCCCTTCCTCCGTTTATATTGCTAATGAAACGTTGATATCATTTTAATTAATTTCGAATCGATACCGCCTTTCGGAAATGTACATCGCCCGTTAATTTTCATGAATTTTAAATTGCCTTTTAAAAATATTAATTAAACTTAGTTAATTTCATTTGATCATTCATTTCATTCAATTCTATGAGTTGAACCAAGAAAGATTATTAAAATAGCGGTGGCTTTTTCCTTCATATATTCATTGTCCTTTCAATTTCTATAAGTAACTTAAAAATGTAAAATTATATTTGCTAATTGGCCAATTGGATATTCTTGAAAAAATCCCTCATATCCTTACGGTAAGTGCGCAATTAATAGGCGCTACATTCGGAAAACGAATGCGAAAGACTTATTATAAGGGGGAGCAGTTACTATTTATAGAGGCAACGAACTTAGAGAAATAATTAATTAGATCTGCTTCGTCGTCGCCGGCTCTTGTAACTCCCCTGGCATAATGAAGTCAAGATTCTCGAATATAATGCCATCAGAATCGCAGAAGTTGAAATTTCAAATGTGCTTCCCGTCGAATCGAATGCGAAAACTCGATTAACGTATCGACGCAAAGAATGGGATACAAAGTGTAAATCAGCGATGATTCCGCGTCTACCCAGATGGCCCCGCTTTCTATGGAGGCGATAAAAATATTAGGGAATAATGCCCTATTGGGGCGTTCTCTTCGAAAATACCAATTTAAAATTGTAAACCTACGCTTCTTTTATGAAAACCCGAACATTTTATTCATTCAATAAGGTGAGAAAGGGGGATAGTTAAAATTATTTAATTAAATGATATTTTTTTCGGTGGGACAAATCCATTTTACAATCATTTTTAAAGAGATGTTCCACCATTTTTTACTCGGTTGCGAATTTTTTTACACTAGTACAGTTGATGGGAAAAAAGATCGCTTTCGGTACAATTCATAAATTAGGTTTTTTTTTCGCTTTTTATTTGATATTTTTTGGTATTGTTTGAACGGGTCAGTGGCTCAGACAATTAGCAAACATGTATGGCAGACATGCTTGAAAAAAGTATCAAATCCTAATCTTTTTTATTGACAAAAGTATCATATTAATCCGTACGCATAGGGCGTTTATTAATTACAAAAAACTCTTGATGTTGGCTTAGAATTTTCGATATTTTTTAGTGGTACACCCTGTAGTGTTATCGATTGCATATTATAGTGCGCTCGAACGGATGCACATTTATCTTACACAACATTTGAGTGGCGGCAAACGGATTGGCAAAAAATCGCGTCATCGTTCGATAAACTGCCGCCCTAACATCTCACCCGGAAAAAAATACACACTCGAATTTTTCGCTACCGGAGTCAGCCGGAGTCGCAATACAAAATCCGACAATGCGATTACTACAGAAAACATTTCTGCGAGATTTCGGGCTGTTGTCTCTCGGGGAAATGATGGAATAATGAAACATGAATTAATAATAAGCTGGAAATTTAAAAACAACTTTTTAGAGTGGTAACTGATGCCTTAGAAAAAATATAAAATAAATGCTGATAATAAAAAGAAATGAATTTTTATGAGAAAGTATAATTAAGGGATGACATTTTAGAAAATATCAAATAACATATTAATCAAAAATATAGTAAAAAATAAAGAATTATCAAAAAATAAATAAATTAAAAATTGCCTAAATGTCACTAAAAAACATGATAAAATCGTCTCAAAATATTGAATATATCTTATGACTAAAAATCATCCAAAATCTATGAGCAAAACATCCAAAAATAATAACTATATAAATCATCAAATCAGAGAATAACGAGCAATATCTTTGGCAAAAATATCTTTATTCTCATCGAAATCCATCGAATAAAACCCCTCTGTATGGATAACTTAAAATCTCCCTTTGAAAATAATTCGTCAATTTAAAATACGTAACAAGGGCGCGTTTTGATCCAGCAGAACAGATTCGCAAAAAAACATCTCGAATCGAGTAAAAGGAATCCCCGTGAAAGGGAAAAAACACTCCGAACCGATGCGAGACACGTGAATTAAATTTATTAAAGCCGATAAAGGATCCCGCCCTGATCTGCACGAAATTAGCCCCGTATTCAGGCCGTCCGGATGCGTTTCTCTCTTGATATGCTCCTGAAAAGCGTTTTTCCTCATCCGTGAAAACGCTTTCCGGACACAAAAAGCGGAATATCGGTATTTAAAAAAACGACGGAATAAAAAAGACTTTTAGTCGAACATAAATTGAAGATTTTGCGCGAAATTCCAGGTTTTTTTGGTTTATTGACCCGCAGATAGGCGGGAAAAATCGGTATAGGAAAGAGGATTTGGGAAAAGGGTATTTCCGGGTATATCGGGAAATTCGAGCTCTAACACCTACTGATTTATATCCATACAGCGCGTCTTTATGTAAGGGATTTTAAACTAATTTAAATGTAAAAGCTATTTGCAAATATTTGAGGATTAATCTTATACTGCCTATCTTGTGTTAATCTTATTAAAACGAAAGCAATCTTTTTTTTGTTTTTTACTTATCGGATTTATTCAAAGCCCTTCGGATTTTTAGGAATTTTGTGGATATTCTTTGAATTAATTAAATTTTTTAATCATTGAAGATGATAAAAAAATTATAAGAAAGGTATAAAAAGTAGGTACTATATACAAATATTAAAGAGAAACATTAAATTATCGTAGAAAAAAACAAATAAAATCTTAAAATTTTCTTTCCGAAGCATAAAAAATTATCAAAAGGAAATTAAAAAAAAACCTTTACAAAATCTTCTAAATAACTCAAATTTTACAAGTCCTTTAAAACCCACCAAAGCATGGACGAAGAGATAATATATTAATTTCCCGCAGCTGCAAAGAAAGCGCTCTCTACTCAAAACCCCTTTGTTAAAAATATCTCTGCTCGGCCTATTGTACAGAATAACCCGGAAATTCAATTAAATTACCCCCATTAACAGGTCGAAAAATTAAAATATAACTCGCACAATTTACATCATCTTTATTTGACACACATTGCAACGATAAATAAAACCGTAAACACATCGAACATTTTTATCTTACAATAATCCACTAAAATACGAGTACCTACTTATAGTAAATCGCAAAATTAAAAGAAAAACGTCAATTTGCATGTTCACACAGTTTTATTGCGTACAGTTTATATGATAGATATTACAACATTAACAAAAAAAAATATTTTCTCCGCAGTCTTATTCAAAATTGGACGATTTTCGGTCGAGGCTCAAACCATGGTTAGAGAAAATTCTGTTCAAATTATTTCATTTTAGGACCGTTACATCTTAATCTAGTCAAATTAAACGGTTATTAGAATAGTCCATTTATCCAAATTAAACAATAATTGAAATATTTCATCCCCAATCACTTTGCATCGCCTAAAAATTCCAGAAAATGCCTCATTAAAACAGGAATTTTAAAGTCAGAAAATATAATAGTAAAAGCACCAATAAACCCGGCAGGTTCATTAATATAACACAAACTCAACAATCCGAAGAAAAAAAAATTCCTCGTCGCCCTCTCGCTTTTCATTTAGCGCCAGTTTCCAGTTTTCCAGGCGGCAAGTTCCCTGCCGGCCGGAGTTTCCGCTCAGTTTCCACTACAAGGGTTGGCGATTTCTGGAAAAACCGGCAATAACGGACGCCTGGAAATCATATCCGATTCTGGATCAATTCGAAAAAATGCCGGCAGGATCCGGCGTAGGATGGGGTCGCGTGAAATTTTAATGAGAACTGAGATTTCACGGTCAATAAATCGATGGTGATTAACGGTGGTTTAATTTCGCTGCGACGAGATGGAAAAATTCGGCACACAAAGGGTATAATTGGAAGTATTTTCATTAAATTTTGCACGTGCATTAATAAATAACGAGCAATTTAAGTTTACAAAGGGTGTCTCTAGGACTAATTACAACAGCTTGCTTCGTTTAGCTACTGCTTGAAAAACCGATTCTCAGGAGAATGAATTTTGGTACACCTTGTATAGTGTGTTGTAGCGTGTTTGTTTATTTTAGATATGTTCATGTTATTAATAACTAATGAAATTTGAGAAATATATCGGAAGGATCGTTATTTGGCGGTTAATGGCGCCAAAACATGCTACTGCTTTTAGGGTCATCGGGGGATGCTTCTTGAGTATAAAATTTTAGCACAATAAATAAGTAATTGGGGATGCTAAAATGGCTCGTTTTTTCCATCAACTAGCGGGGAGAAATGCTATATTTTATTTACTCCTTCATAATTTAAAAAGCAATAACATTGTTTAAAGTATCTATAAATAAAATCTTTCTACTGCTTTTGTTGAGCGAGAAAATAAGTTTTAATTCCTTTGTAAATATCCATGGTTTAATTTGTAAAAATCTTGGAGTTAGCGTCTTCAGAAATTTCCTGTTAACTAAAAAATACCAAAAAAAAAATCTCATCGTATAATCATTTTGTCCCTATAATTAGATTTCTTTCTGTTAATGAATAATTGAAGTATGTTTTATGCACCGTCTATGATGTTCTGTAGAGAAATTAGAGATTTAATAATGTATGGTCTCTTTAATGATTGTAGAAGTTAAGGGAAACTATTAATTGCATTATTTATTGGTATATATTTTAATCCCAAACGTTATTTAAACTTTAAAGATATTTCCGCTGACTCCAAAATTAAAACTTACATTTAGAGGAATTCAAGCAAGGATTAATTGAAAAAGTTTCTCTGAAGTTTCATGCAAAAATTACCAGACTATTAACCAAGTGTGCTTAGTATTTAATTTGAGTTTCCTACGTAAATTTTTCATCATAAAATGTCATATTTTATCGATGTATTAAATATTTAATTTTGTCAAAGTTCTTAAATAGAAACGTTTTTTGAATAATGATTTGTTTTTTTTTTATTTTTAGCCGTCAAAACTAATTTACGGTATATTTAATAGCATTACTGTCTTCATTTACTGTATTTATCATTTAAAGATATTTGAAAAACCAATTAAAAAATGTAATCAGAGAAACTTTTTCCACCGCTCTCCACATCCTCGCTCGTCAATATGAACCCTCCAGACCTCAAATCGTCCTGATCGCTGTATCTAAACCACCTCGAACCCTCCACTAACCCCATCGGAGCGGCTGGCCTTGCATCCTTCGGTTATTCGTGCTGAGCTGGCCGTCGCCGTTGAGGAGGTTGCTCCGGATGGGCGGCCTGTTCTTCCCGATGCTGTTGATCGATCCCCAACGGGCGAACATCGCCAGGGCCCGTTTTCCGGACGGCGGGCGCGGGAAAATCGGAAACTCCGGTCCTGCGACAAGTCGGAAAAACAATATGAAGATGCTCCGGATTGCATATGACAATTGGGATTGATTCCCCGGTGGGTTGGAGGAATGGTATTGATAGATTGGACGGGGGAAAGTCGAAGGTAATTTTGGCTTTCTGGTTTATTTCTAATTAGAAGGTTAAAGGGAAAAAACATTTTTTTGATGCGAAAGGGCATCAAAACGGCTAGGTATCTGTCACGCCGGATTGGCGTAGGATTATTTTCGTTGTTCTTAGGGGAATATGGCGGCGCTGGTGCGATTTATCAGAACGGTATTTGAGCCGGGAGTGTGGGAATACATTGAGACATATTGGGGCTATTTTTATATAACACGCGAGCGCTCTAATTTGTATTTTTGCACCGCACATAAATAATAAGAGCTTTTTTGGGTTAATATTCTCGTAGAGAAGAGAAGAAGAAAATTCGTCGAAGGAGGTCAATTAGTTTTTGAATAGGGATGTTTAGCTGGAAGGAGAAAATGAATGGAGTTTTATTTATTTATTTACCAGTGTCTAAATCATCGTAGGGGTAACGACGGCGGAATGTTTGAAAATCTTCACTAGATGGATCATCGTCTGATAGTAGAGTATCCGTGATTTTCTGTCTCCAAAGGGGACCCTCGTCGAGGGTTTCCAGGGGTCTGATGGCGGCGCTAATTATGCATGGAAGTACGGCTAGAAGGAAAATGCACCATGTCTGGAACAAAGGAAAGAATTTAATAGTAAGTATTTTAGCATTTTTGCTGGATAGAAATTTTTATCGTATAAAGGTGTTTAATAAACTTCAAAAAATGCATAAGGAAACTAGCCAAAATCCCTCAAAAACTAATAAAAGTTCATAAATCGCAAATATTTTTCAATAAAAGTTTAACTCGTGTTTAACAATATATGTATATCTAACTTTTCCTGGAGTCTACTTTTAGGATCAAAATATAGCAAAACAAATAGGCTTCTTTTATGAAAAATACAAATTACTTTATACCCAAAAAAACTGCTTAAAAACCTCCGTCAGCAAAATTTAGCTTATATTTACAAAAACTTTTTTAATTTTAATAATAGGCGATTCTTATATTCTCCCATTTTCCGCCATCTCGTTATTTTTGAATAATTCCAACACGGTAAATAATTAATTTAATTAACGAAAATCTAATGGACGCCTGCGTGACGAATTAGCTACTCCAAGTGAAAAGTTAAATTACTCGTGAATGGAATACGTTCCCGTTCTTCATTGTTAATGTGAAGAATTCGCCACTGTCGAAGGCACTTAAGCAAAGCAAAAGCGAAAGGAAAACTTCAATTGCGCACGGGAAATTTATTTTGCAAGAATTTATGCCCGTTTTGCTTAATTAAATCAATTGACAGCGCGCTATTAATTTTAATTTAAATTGATGCAGTAATGGAATTACTTCAATTGTTCGAAATCGGTGTATTTAAATGAATAAGTGAATTGAATAATGCGAATTTAACACTGTTTATAAATTAATATTTAGGTGTGTAAGCTTTACTTTGAAACATAGATTCGTTACTAGTTTTTTGCATTGAATTAAATTATAATATAATGCCTCTACCGGCATTCGACGTGTTAACGAAATCTTTCAAATGGCTCGTAGAAGCAAAAGTATTCAATTTGAATGACGCCTTGAAAGTTCTTTCGCTTTGTTTTATCAATTTTTCCCGTCTCTAATGAATTCAATTAAGTATTTGCAATTTCTCGTCGGATTCCCTCTCCGGTAATAAGCCAGATCTCGGATAGTAAATTAACACCAAAAAAAAAGCTCAATCCTGAATTTTATAAGAAAGAATCAGACTTTTATTGTATTTTAGAGGCATCAAATATCCTATTTACCAATCAATAGGAACTCATCAAAACTTTGCACTATTCACATAGAGCTACAAAGAAGAGTTTTAAATGCAATTTTACCTACATGTAATTTTAACCGATTAAAAAATTGGCGAAAAGAGGACACCGAAAATGATAGCGAGGTTAACACATCAACGCGGGATAAAAAGTCTGCATGAAATCCGTCCTAAAAGGAAAATTCGGTCGCCCGTAATGAAAAATCAATCTGTCAGTAACACACGCAGTGCGTGATGTTCCTCATCATATCACACTTGACCGCAATTTGGGGCACTTCGCCACAATGCAGCCCGACCGATTAGGCCTTCGTCAATTAGATTTTTCGAGGGGGTTTCAACTAGGCGAAAACGTATCGGAAAATTGACGAGTTTTTATCTCCGATTCCCGCCATTTCTAATGAGGAGTCGCGCATATTATAGCAAGCTCGTATAATTCCCACTATATTAATATCTAATTACATGCTTAAAATCCGTCGCAGAGCTATCTGCAGATATATTGCCGGGAATTTCATTACACCTTGCTGCGGCGACAAGTCGGAGGATCGTAAGGCAAACAGGGATAAAATTCCTTCAATGTTGTGTCTTTTGTCGGGGGGTTTAAAGGCTAAAAGTAGCATGTAGGTGCATGCGATGCGATCGAAGCAGGAAATACGGTTTTGTTCCATCCGGAGGCGCAATTAAAATGGACGCGTTTGTGTCGATTGGATTTTCAAAGCGATATTAAGCCCTTAATGGCTGTTGCAAAATTTGTAGCCTGTTTTATTATTATTTTAGATCAATTTATTAGCGACATTTTTTTCTCTGCTTAAGAGACTTTAGTAAAAAATGTACGTCGTATAAATTCTTAAAATGATACCAAAAAGTCTTTCTCCCGAAAATTAAAAAAAAACATCCCTAAGAAAAGCAGGAGGAAATTTTAGGGAACAAATAAATAAGATTTATTCAGTAGGTGCTTTATAATGATGTCGCTAAATTTCTCCAACGTTATGCATAAAAAACAAATAAAACATAACTTTTCCACCGGATTTCGCCCGGAACGAAAGAGCACACTCGGGTAATCCCCATTAATATTTATCGGCTTTCCAATAGAAAATAAAGCGGAAGAAATGAAACAAATTTTTATTCGCATTTCCATAATCCTTTGACTGGCAGAGTCTTCTGTTTGTCTTCCCGATTTCGCCGAACAAAGAGTTTTAAAGCGAAAAAATAATGCCGTGTAAACACGAAAGATTAAGGGAAAAATATTAGTCATAAGTGGATTTTCTATGACGGCGAGTCATAAAAGTTACCTATAAATACATTCTGTCGGGCGCAATAATGATCTTCGCAAAATTGAATGAATTTTTTATTGGCAATAAATATAAATGGGGATTGTATAAAAATATGTATGTAGTATCTATTTTGTTGTATAAATTGATAATGTCAGTAGTTGTTTAAAGTAATTTTCCTTTTAAAGTACCCACGCAACATTTCCTGGAGGAAGTAGAGAGTACAAGAAAACTCTCTCGATGATACGAGCAGTTTAGAATTATCTCAAATGTGAAAAACTTGTATATAGTTATTGGGGATTCGGTTCAGATTTGATGTATAGGTATTTACGAACTGACGGATTTTATTTCCCACGCATGGAAAATCGTAATATGTAGTGATAAATCGTGTTTTTGTCCTTTAAAAATCAAGTTTCATTCTATATTTATTTCATCGATTCCTCCGGATCATGCACCATAACCTTTTAAAGAATGCAATATCTCCTGCAATAGTGCGAATTGAAATGAATTTTCGATACATTTTAACATTCAATTCGAAATCCCTTTCTATACTACAATCTTATAAATTTTGTTGATATGATAAAATTTTCAATCAAACCGTTCCCTTCGGAAGAGGAAGACTCATTTTCAATTTATCATTAAATCGTTTATAATGATTAACCCGTTTCGTATTCAACAAATTCGGAATTATCCGACGATAAGGCAAATATACAGCAATCTAAATTCAATATCTTGGGCAAGACTTTTGAATAAATTAGCCGTCTCGGGCCCGAATCCTTCATAACCTGATTTTGAATTTTGAACCGGGATTTACATTAGGATTTCCATGATAATTGCAATTGTCGAAACCGTGATGGATTTCGGATAAACGTTAATGAATCGCTTGTATTTTATATTTAATCCGTTCTCTGCGGGCCCACACTTGGACGCTGACCCGAATACGAAACGAATTTAATTTACGGATACAAAATGTACTCTAAAGTGTATTATAGGTATATCTATTGTATAAATAAATATCAAATATCGCCGTAAAATAGAACCTTGAGAGAATACATCAGGAAGTTTCGCTTAAGGCACATCTCAAGTGTTTTATTAATTTGTGTAAACATTTTAACTCGATAATCTTAGTTACAATAATATGATGGCTTAACTAATTAACTTTATGTACTTTATTAGAACTATTAATATTTTTCTGCGCACTTTTCATTCCTTAAAAATAACATAAAATAGTAGTAAAGTTCTTTTTATGTTTCCTATTGTGAACTGGTTAGGGATTCTATCAGCAGGATATTTTAGAGGTACATTTTCTCAATGATTGGTCTGCTGATACTCTATTGTTATATTCTGAAACGAACGGGAAATTTAATTAATTCGGGTTACGAATTAATGTTGAATAAAATTTAAAGGAAATGGAGAGGTATACTGAAAATGTCAGTAATCATTTTTTCGATTGAAATTCGTAACGGAAAAGAGCACATTGAATGAATTAATTCATGTGGATTCCTATTATATCAAATCTATTTCCGTATAATAAATTAATCTTACTCGGAATGCACATTGATGAAAAATTGAACACATTATAAATTCATTATTTACACTATATAAAATGCATGCATTAAATTAAATTATAATCGTTCGAAGTACATTCGTCAATATATCCTTCAATATAATAATAATCACAGATTCATCAGTGTCGCAAACAACGTTGCACGTTGATGCATCTATCTAACAGCTAATATAACAAACAAAATAACTCGTCAATATACCTGTTGACGCTTATTGTAAAACTGTCCTATTTATACGTTTCTATAGTAGATTTTCATTCACTCTACTCCTCTACCTAGTTAGAATTTCCCTCCACGACCCGTGACACGTTCTATTTAAATTTGAACAATGCACAACCGACTTTGAAACAATGATTTTGAACTCGCTTTGTGTTATAAGAACGTGCATTTATTGTACTGCTTCTCGTAAGTACACAATCTTTACGCAAACTAACGAATTAAATTGATTAAAGCCCAAGTAATTCCATTAAGCGTAGAAAATACTTGTTATTTACCGCGAGAGGAGAATAAATATTCTACCAACATGCGGAAAGTTACTACTTCCCGCACTTAAAACTGAAACTTTGAATAGATTCTCTTGATTGCGAATGACTTTCTTCGGTAGATAATTGATTCCCTTAGAAATTACTTCCCTCGAAACTGTTTGAGGTATCTCATTTTTGCCTTGCTAAATATCACATTCCGCAATTGCTAAGTAAATAGCAACTGTATTTTCAGCATATTGTCGGTTCCGAAACGAGGAAATTACAACCTACAGGTTAATTCTAGGGATTTTCTATAAGTTTGGGAGTAGTAATTTTGACTAAAGTTTTACTGCGCCCGGCAATTCTAGGACTTCGGCAACGTTTAATTCGCCTGACTTATTTAGAAGCCGTAAACTTTTAATTGAATTTAATTTTATAATGCGCATTGAAATTATATATGGAAAGTTTAAGTGGCGCTCGACATTAGATATCAAAATAGCAAGTTCTGTAAATCACGAATATACATAGAACTTTTTAGAAAGTTAATAGAGTTCTTAAAAGTACACGTAGGTAGGTATACACTTTATCGATTCCTATAATAGAATTTGCAAAGTTTGTTTTGGGGTTTTCAAGAGCTTTCTATAATTAGGCGCTTGTAAATTTTGATAAAACATTGTTTTTAATTTGTGATATTTATTTTATTTCCCGCACTTACATACATTTTCCCTTTAGCATCGAAATCATTGAATTAATTTCATTTCATAATACATACATGGGTCAGTTTAAAAGGTTTTATTTATCCCCTAATTCCAAATTTCCCGCAAGCTTGAAATATAGCAACTAACTATAGCATGTTTTTAAAAATTCGTTCAATCATTTCACAATTTTTATTTCATTAAACTCTTCCTCTGCTTCCTACACAATGTTTGCTCTCCATATTTGGATATCATGCACGGTTTGTAACATTTCAACTGAAAAAATAACGTCGCGGAATTAAAATTTTATCAAAGTCTACGGTTCTGATTAAATAATTTGCATACGGGGCACAATTAAAAATCCAAGTTAATTCCGCAGCAATTTGAGACCCGGTACATTCGTGGGAGTAAATGAAAGATGAGATTTTTTTAGATCAAAAATAAAGGACGAAACAGGAAACGAGATTATCAATATAAGCTCGTACAAAGAATCCTTATAATCCTCCTATTAAAAAAAAAGGTAGAATGAAATTGACAATTTCGAGTGAAATGTTCCTGCAAATTACGCGCAGAAAATATCAAATACACCTCTGGCTCGGAAAAATTATTTTACTAACTAAATACAGAAATGCGTACGTTCAAACGGAATTTTCCCGCGAACAACTTGTAAATATTTCGTTTTATTTTCGCTTAGCGTCGAGTTATAATAACAAAAAATGCATGAATATTAAAATTTTTACTTCTGTGGATTTTCAGAATGTTCAGAATTTAGCTTTTGGATAAACATCTAAAGAGAGATAAATTCTTTTGTAAAGGCATTCAGGGAATTAGTGAAACATGGCAATATAAATTGCAATAATCTCACTCGCAACAGTGTTAAAACTCCCTTTAAGATCTTAAAATAATAGAGAGCTATAATCAATTTAGGATTAGTATTTTTAAGTTTACCTTCATAAGATCCTGCAGGGGAGATTAAGATATTATTAATTTTATACACAAACGAAAATACGCCCCTTTGCAATCTCGAATAGTGGAATAATTCTAACGCTTCGTTTAATACCCGTCTTTTCCGGGTATTTTCCTATTTCTCGGCTATCTTATGAAACACCCCCGCATTGGAACTCGCCTTAAAACTTAATACCCCCGCTTTGTCTATATTTCTCGGTGATTTTTCACAAACCATTCGAACGCGGTTTTATTAAATTCGCTTATTTTCCTACAATCGTCACCACATAAATAATCCTCTTAGCAAACAAAGAAGTTAGAGGAAACCTACAAATCAGGATATCAAAATAATTCAAAAAACACGGCACTTTCATTTAGCTGTGGTAATCCTTTTAATACCTACCAAATGAACGATTAACGCTTCGAAAAATAATTCAAATTAAATAGAAAATCCTCGATTATTAAAGATATAATTCAATTCATTCCAGTCGCATTAATCACTCGCACATACGCAAATCAATTCACTGGCAGGTAATCCTCGATCGTTTAGGAGTTTACATAGATTACATGTGCAATTCCACAAAGCTAAATTAATTTCCCTGACCTACGTGCAATCGCTGCGACAGGAATACTACAGGGATATTTAGAAAAATAGTGGATTAGAAATATTTCTATAAGTTAAAAGTTAATTAAAGTCGAGAGGGAGTCTCTTAGTGCTTGAGTTAAGTTGCAATTCCATTAATTAGCAGATTAATTAATTAGTCGATTTAATAGGGTCGTAGAGGTCGTTACGTTTAGTTGCTCCTATTAAGGTTATTAACGAAAACGACAATTGAATTTACTTCTGATAATTGTCTACAATTACATCTCGATTGTGCTGTTTTAGCGTAGATAGAATAAAATCGATATTATGGAATTGCCACAGTTTTTTGTGCGAGAAAAAAAGTCCGCTAAAGTATTAAATATTTCCATCGGAGACGAACTGAAAGTTCTGGTTTATCAAAACGCAATAGTAACGTAAAGTTTAGTCCGCAGAGTAAATATTTGATTGAGAAAGCGGCGCTTTTGAGAGGCAGAACTACATCCAATATGTTTCCCCCGACTTTTGACGAGTAAATAGCTTCCAGTATCTGAAAATTAATAGTTATCGATTTGGGATTTTCGCGGTAAACTCTTATGATGTATAGAAAGACACCGAAGGCAACCATAAATAAGTAATATTAGAGAAGGTTATAGTGTTAAACGAAGCTGGCAACATCGATTCTTTCGGAATAAGCTTTTTCCGGCCAATTCAGAGCCTGTATAAATATTCAATAATTCAATGGATCAATCAGTGACCCTTACAGCTTTATATTTTATTTATTTGTCGGTTCGTTATTAAGCATTATATTTTTTACAATACTCCCTTTTAACCTCACATAAGTATATTTTTTTAATAATAACATCAGATTCAAATAATTAAATAATATTCCAATGCAATAATGTTATAGTCCATTTATTATTTCATAAACTGGCTATCAGATTTCTATCTAGTTGTGCCACCGAAGTAATCACTGGACGTTTTGTTTTCCTCCGGGCCTTTTTATATGCATGATATTCAATTAAATTCGCCGATGTAATTTAATGTTGCATTTTATAAGCTTATGAATTTGCGCTATATTGCAACTGGCAAAAGCTGTGATGATGGTTCTTTTTGACAGGATATATCCCTGTCAGAGCTAATGTTTAATAGCGTTAGTTTGACCATTTTTATTTTATATCGTGTACCCTCACAAAGCAAATTTATCAATCTAATTTAATTATTTTATTATATTAATATAATTGGAATATATTTTTTTCCAGTTGCGCAATTTTATAGCTAATATCACCGGATTATTTTAATAAACTTTACAATTTACAATTTGAAAAGAAGAGGAAAAAAATATCCATATAAATCAACAAATTTTTAATACCCGAATGGCAAACTTCGTAAGTAACTTACAACGTGACACCATTACAAAATAACCCAGTTCTTTGACAAAACCAATATGTACCTAAGTAATAATTTGTTGATAATATTCAAATGGGCTTTTTAGGATTCATAAAGCGCTCGAATTTTTATACGAGCGAATGTTAGGAGAATTTTTAGAATGGCTATGAAGTATGGGTAAATTGGTTTTCGTTTTATCCCCTTGTGGAGCGTAAAAATGCGTTTTTTTCAATAATAATCTCGAAATCCAAGTGGATTGCTTCTTCAATTTATGATTTGCTTGTTGACTTCGAAATGCTTTCGTAACGTCGCAGCATTATCGTAAAATTTATTGAAGTCGGTGCTTATATTTTATTCCGAAAAATTATAATGTGTAATACAAATTTATTCGATTTGTGTAGGAATAAAAATACGTGGTGTTTCTGTCGAAACTGATACATTTTTAAAGGAAATAGTGATGTTTTAAATTTACATTTTTTCTGAAGTATCTATTAGAATTTTTTTACTGCATCAGAAGATAAAAAAAATTGTTCACATAATTTTAAAGGATTTATTAATAGATAATGTAGATATAAATATATTTTTAAAATATATGAATTTTTAATACACAAATATTTAATATACTAATAAAAATTTAATACACAAAACATTATTTTTTGCAAAAATGTAAAAAATCTGCTTAAATCTCTTGAAAAAATATACCTACATATAAAAAATTATATAAAATCTAAAACTGTTAAAAAATCTAGAAATCTTAAGCTATTTAATATTTAAAAAAATAATTCAAAATTCATTCATTCAAAAAATATAAAAATTATTAGTGAAGTAAGAGGACTTTTTTCATTAACAGGCTATTTGTTTATTTTTTTTTAATTTAACTATCGCAATATTGTAAATTTTTAACTTTCATGTAATGTAAAAAAAACAACCCCGATGGAAATAATTCAAAAGTATTTTTATTTCCAGCAATTTTAAAACAACAAATAATTTTTTTTACTTACAATAATCTCCCTCGCCATACCCATCAACGCTGCCTGTCGAACCAAAATTCGACGGACCGAAAAAAAAATTAATTCGCACTCTTTACAAACTTTCTGACTGGACACCGCTCGACAAGAACGCTCTGTGTATCTTATATTCCCGAAGCTCCGTTGAAGAGAGCCGGATAGCTACTATCCTCCATCAGTTTATCATCAAAACTTTTACGTGTTCTACGGGGGAAGAAAATTTCGAATCAATTATCCCCTAAACACGTCAACTTGTTGCTTTTGTTACGTGCCGCTCGATCGAAACTTACTTCCGACACCTGTTGGGTGCCGGAGCATCCTATCCAGAGGGAGGAACATCAGTGGAAGGGGCCCAGGATACGCCAGAAATATCCACCCGGCTTTTTTTTGTTAACTAACCATTTATAAATAAATAAATACTTACTTAGACATGAACTAGACTTGAACAATACTCATATAAGTATTCGCATGGAAGTCGGTTAAAGAAGAAATAATGTGTATTGAATAGAGTCCCTAAATTGTTATTAAAATAAGAAGAATTGAACATTACTGACCATTGATTGTCACTTGCACATGTCAAGTACTGTATTTGGTTTCTTATGACCAACACAGGGAAAGCTGGGAATAAACTGAATATGCGGATAGATACGAAAACAACAATCCTGCATGCAAGGAGTACATAGAAGGAAATTCGCATGGGTTCGATGGACGCCTGTAATAATTCTCTGAGTCGCGCTTCGTATGAATCCCAAGACCAATCGGCAACAAACTGTGGCCCGTTAATATGGCGAAGGATGAGCGTCGGGGTGCGCATACAGGACGCCATGCCGGAGAATTTCGACGACGTGGTGGATTTGATTTTGAATTTCTACGTGCCGCACAATCCGCTGTACAAGAGCAGCAAGATCTTGGAGGACGCCGAGTCGCTGGCGACGTTCAAAGAGATGCTGTACAGCTATCTGAAGCAGGGCCACTCGCTGGTGGCAGTGGACGAGTGTACCGATCGAATCGTGGGTGCTCTGGTGCTGTCGTTGGTGAAGAAAAGCACCTTCGGTTTGGAATTCGACCGGCTGGAAATCGGTCGGGGCAAAGCCTTGCGAACGATAACGTCCTTCGTTAACGACGCGTCGAGAATGGTGGACATCTTCGAGAGGTTCCAGTGCGATGTCTACATGCGGTACATGTTCACGTGCGTGCACGGGGATTACCGAACGAACGGCATCGGCCAGAACATGCTATCTGCTAGTATAGATGTGGCTCATTATTTGGACGTGCCCGTTATTATGGGCATCGCCGACCAGCCGCTTTTGCAGAAAGTTTACTTGGACTTGGGCATGACGATTCAGTATTCCTCTAAGGTTATAGAGCTTGAAAACGATGTCGACGATTTAGGGAGTAGGGAGAATTATTATCAATGTTTGGTGATGGGGTGTCTGGTTTTGCCTCCTTCCAATCCCGAGCCAAAATCGAATTCGGCTGATTTGAATCCTGCCGGGAAAAATAAGTCGAAAATAAGTAGAATTAAATCAAAGTCTAAGAAAGATCTGTAAAGTATTTGTAGATTATTTGAAATTGTCCAATCGAATCCGTATCTAGAATAAAAACCTGCAATACTCTACCTGGATGTTCTAATAACTGTAATTAAATTTATAAACAAACAATTCGACAGGAATAGCTGAAGACATATAGGAAAAAGGATAAGGAAAAAGAAAGGATGATATTGTGGGATTGCAACTTTCTCACTCTAACCACTGTTTTTTTTTTATTATTCTTTGTTCAATTCACAGAATTGACCATATTGCTAACTCTTGCACCTAAAAGTTTATCGGAGCATCTAAAAATACCAATTAATCGATATCAAATACCGAAACTTTTTACTTGGTTCATCAATTCCTAACAATTTAAACAAAAAACATTTTTTTCGCTTTTAGATTAAATTTTACAATTTATTATTGCTAGATAAAACATATACACATTTTTCTAATACGGCCCTGTCTTAAAACGCCTTAAAAAGCTAACTTCATGTGTATTTACGACATATGTCAAATGTTATGGAAAATGGGAATTATAACCCCACTTTTTATGTAATCAAAACACAAATTGTATTTGGTTGTATTGGTTCATAAAATGGATATAATTCAAGAAAATTGCCGATTATGCCAAAAAACTTTAGGCACAATTCCATTAGAAGTAGAATTAGTCGAAGTTGTTTTTAAAATCGCCAAGATTGAAGTAAGTTTTTTTTAGTTAATTACATGTTCCAAATGAACACTTATACTTTTGATTTTAGTTGAATGATCTGGGCGAAACTTTACCCACTGGTATTTGTCTAGAATGCAAAAATAAAATTTCAGAAATCGATCAGTATATAACAGAAATCCAAACCATTAATAACTTTCTAAGGGCTTGTTTAGACAAACCCACTGTGGAAACAGCGAGTAACTACTTATATCAAGATTTAGACCAAAGAAGGAGTGAAACAGACACACATGCGTGTTTAGTTTGTTCTAAAACGTGCAATAGACTATCCACTTTCAAGAAACACTTAAAAACACATCCAGAAATGTATTGTAGAATTTGTAATACATTTTTCGAAACCCCAGCCGAATCGATAAATCACAATGATTGTGAAGATGTAAAGAACATTACCTGCAGTACAAAAAGCGAACCTGGTGAGTAATCATCTAATTTACTTTATTTTAATTCGTAAATTTCATATTTTATAGACACCGATTTCACCAATAATGAGTGCAATTTCCAATGCATAAAATGCGAGCAACATTTCGAGGATCAGAAATGTTACACAACTCATTTGAAAACCCACAACAAATACACGTGTTTAGAAGAAAATTGCGCGAAAGAATTCTCAACAGCCTACTCGTTGAAGATGCACAACTTGGCTCACGAAGGAAAGAAATCCTTTTTGTGCGTCAGTTGCGGCAAAGATTTCGTATCCAAGAAATCCCTAATTTGCCACGAGAAGATCCACGCGCCCATCAAAGCGCACAAATGCGACCAGTGCAACTTGAGTTTCTCGGTGAGGAGTAATTTCCGAGCTCACATCAAGAGGTACCACGAAGGCGTCCGATACAGCTGCTCGAGGTGCCCCAAAGAGTTCCTCACCAAGTGCAATTTGGACCGACATGAAAAAATACACATAGGCCTAAAGGATTTCGAATGCGAACAGTGCACGGCCGCCTTTTACACCAAAAAGGAGCTGATTAAGCATCAAAGATATCACCAGGTGAGTTGTTATTAAGTGGCTGCGAAAGTAATTGGTAGTAGACCAACTAGAAGGTATGTAAATAACACTGATAGCAGAGGCCTGAGTTATTTGACGTTGAGGCTATGTTGTCGATAGTATTGTTTTGTCGTCAGGCCTACTGAGTTTAGAAGTAATTCTTATATAAAATTTTTTATTTACCATTTCTTTTAACAATTTTTGCCATACGAAACGCTCTTAACGCCTTGTACAATTCTTGAGGGTACTGATAACTCATAAGTAAACTTATTATTATGATTCTTAAACCTTAAAAAGTACCGAAGCATAATGCAGCAATGAAAGTTTGGCAACGTCGCAGAGATTGTTTTGTATTCCTCTTGACACTTATGACAGTTGTCTATCCTCGAATAAAAGAAAAGAAGAAGATAAATAAACATTATCAATGGCGGACGAAAACGACAACGAAAAAATGGAAACGGACGCCCCAAAAGGCAGCGAGAAGATGTTTTCTTTGAAAAAATGGAACGCCGTGGCCATGTGGAGTTGGGACGTCGAATGCGACACGTGCGCGATATGCAGAGTTCAAGTGATGGACGCCTGTTTGCGGTGCCAGGCCGAAAGCAAGAAGGACTCCTACGGGAAACAGGACTGCGTCGTCGTTTGGGGCGAATGCAACCATTCGTTTCACTACTGTTGCATGTCGTTGTGGGTCAAACAGAACAACAGGTGTCCGCTTTGCCAACAGGAGTGGTCCATTCAACGGATGGGGAAATAATTAGGTTAAAATGGTTTCTCTTACACTGTATTGTATAAAATAAGTACCAGTTCTAGTACAATAAATATGTACTTTGACTACAGAATTGGCCGGTATTCAGCACCTCTTTTTAACTTTAAACACATATTTAGAGAGTCTCGTTAACATAAACAATGTCCATAGACCCCTTGAAAACTTAAACAGAAATAGACTTTATTTTCTTATACTTGCTTAAGATTAATTTATATTAATATATAATAAGCTGTCTGATTAATTGAGTATGTTTGATTTTTAGGGTTTAAGGCTACACAAGTGCGAAGAATGTTTCAAAACGTTTTTCGAGCGTCACCATTTAATTGTACATTTGAGGACTCATAGCGGAGAAAGGCCATACGTTTGCAAATTACCCGATTGCGGTAAATCCTTCTACGATAACCAAAAATTGAAGAGGCACCAAAAGTCAAAACATGTATCATTGTTGGCCTAAAGTTTGTATTTAATTCAGCCCCGTTTCAAATGGAAGGTACTGAAGTATCGAGTACTGAAATCTATACATTAATTGATTATTAAATAGCATACTGTATCATCTAGAACTTGGTATGTTTCATTGGTACAGCTTCAGTATTTATCTGAGTGTGTAGATGTGAATTTAAGAAAAATTTTGATTATTGTTACCATTGGTTTGTAAATTAATGTTTTGTGACCACTAATAATCAGTTCATGTATTATTTTAATAGGCTTGTATTGTACATAATTCCTTTGGGTTGTTAAAATACATTTACTTGAGATAATCACTAAATAAAATAGAAATGAAATGTTTTTCTTATCGAATATTTTAATAATGAACGTTTTTATACTGATTGTTTACAACAATTCAGCTCTTAAATACGCATTTTGTAGATCATTTAGATTGCCCCGAAATGCGTTTTTAGATTACCATATAAACGTTTTTTAGCTTCGTTATAAACTTTATCGATTCCCAGAACCCAATCAACATATTCAACTCAACCTTGATTCGCAAAATCATCAATTTATTAGTCCAATTTCGCTAATTAACCAGATAACATTATGAATTGCAAGAGCTAATAGATTAGCATATAAGCGCTCCTCGTCGCATGGTACCAAATGGCACCAACTTACTTTACCAACCGTCTCACGGGGTTTTGTTTGATCAAATAAATAAACTTTTCCGAGAAGACCGACCGCCGATTCGCGTCGCCCACGCCAGGCTTTCAGGGGTTACTGATTTTTCAAATCCCGCAGTTTATTACAAGCAATTGCTGCAAATAACTGCATGAGTTGATTAAAGCAGTAGAGAATGAAGTTGTGATTGATATTCTCCTAATGTTTTACGATTGTTTAATATGTAAAGGCGTTGTTAATGCAATTGCATTGCAAACGATTGCAAGAGAAAAGTGTCTTATCAAAGTCGAGCGGGCGCGAGGCTCGGTAATGGTAAGTGCGCGGCTGCAACACGAAACCAACGAAGGTGATGATCGGCGCGTTTTTGCCCACCTGGCCGCCGCTGTCGCGCTGCCTCGCCGGAGTGGCGGAACCTGTCAGCTTCCAGGGCCACGGCGATGCTGCCCACGCTCCTTCTCTAGCCTCCGCCGCGCTCGCCGGCCGAAGAAGGCGCTGCATCGCCGCCGCAGACCGATCAGAGCAGTGAAAGTGGCCGCCAGTCCGGCCGAAGTCTCTATCAGCAGGTCCCGCGCGCCGGTGGATCGCCCGGAATATATACGAGTACGTCGAGTGAAAGGGGTGCGAGTCGTTTGGAACTGAGCTGGGAGCACACGGCGGGGTTTTTCGAATTTTTCGAATTTTTTTCGGTGATGTGGTTGTGTTGCGCAGTGAGGAACGGGTTTTTCGTTTGACGGTTCGTTTGTCGCATGTGAGTATTTTTACGTTGAATTTTCAAGTAGTTGGGGATTGTCGAATGAAGTTATTTTAAAAAAATTGCAGGATTTTTGGTTATTTTTAGAATAGCAATTTATCCTAGCAGGGATTCGAGATGGGTTTTAAGAGGTTTTTTTATTAATACTTTTTTAAGTTTCGGAAGTTTTTTTGAGACTATGAAGTTTTTGTCAAACGAAAAACTCTAGAAATGGTCAAAAAAACCTGTAAATTCCTTAAATAATTCCTTCACAGACTTTTAAAAATCGCGAAGAAATCGTTCAAAAAACTGGAAAGAGCCATCCAAAATCTTATAAAATATAAAAACTATTCTCTTGAATAATAATTTTCAAAAATCATGCGAAAATTCTCTAAACAAACTTTCATGTCATTAAAATATCTAAAATCCTTCTAAATAATAATAAAAATTAACCCTCAAATTCACTAAAAAAGAAATACCTCATCTGCAGATTTGAAAATCTAAAAATATATCAAAATTTTCAAAAATTCCCTTAAAAAAATTCGAAAACCGAAAATCTTAAGCAAAACCTTAAACAAAACAAAGTCGGATGGTTAATAAATTAGCAAATAAATCACTAATAAAATAACATGTCAAAAATTTATTGGATTATTATTATTTGTTATAAATTCGCTGGAATTACATGCTTGAATTTTACGGCTTGTTATTACACAAAACAGCACTTAAATGCGATATTAGTTAATTCAGAAACGGAATAGTCGTAATCATGCAGAGGCAGATAAAGAAACAATAGTTTAAACATTTTCGTTTTTAATTCACCGTCGTTTTTTGTATTATTCCAAACTAAATTTTATCGCTTGTGCGCGTAAAATACCTATATTTATGCATCAAAATCTGTTCTAAACAACATACGGCCGTCCGGGGTAGAATAACCATTAAAAAGCCCATAATGTTTCTGGTGAAAATAAGGAAATGTTATTTAATTGTTGTTTTTAGAAGGATAGATTAGATTATTCCAGTGCTGCCAGCTAGAGGGAATTTTATTGCTTTGGGTTTAGATTTTTTAATTAAAATTAACATTATTAAGTAACATTATTGAATTACATATTCGAAATTGATAAATTACGTTTTTAGTAGTAAAACGTAATTGTGTTTAAAAAAAGAAACTTTTTATTACACGCTACCCACGAGATGCATCAATTAACACCTGTTTTATATTTATCCACATAACTAGAAAACTAATAAATTTCTCTACCAACAAACATCACACTTCTATTCCCAATTTGGAGAAAAAACCCAATCATTAATTAGGCGCTAAATTAAAACCGCCCAACATTCCACAAAAACCACATTCGATACATCGAGATTATCTCGCGGATTCCGTAAATATTTTCACTTCTAACTCCTCGGGCGCTTGTCATTGTAATTAGCGTTAATCATTTTTTCACGGAAACGCTAATTCTCCCGGTCATTCTCGCGTATTATCGAAAGGAGGATGGCCGCATAATCTAATCGTTCGATTAATATTTCTCTAATCGTCGCGTCCAAGTGGCCCCGGGCGCCAATTCATCCGAAGCATTCACGTGCACCTGCAGAATTATTATGTGTTTTGCAACGTTATTCACTGCAACTGGTGTGATTCTAAATAGTAATCGCGGAAGATGCAATTTGTTTAATTTCTAATGTAGCTCAAAAATAGAATGAGTGAGTGGTAGTGGAAGAAATATTGTCGAGACGAAAACAATCCTTATTAGGATAATATTCGGTCCTTCTTAAGATATTACGTGTGGAATAATCTTATTCATCAGATTCTAAACTAGATAAAACCGACACAACCGCAGAAATTACCATACAGATTTGTTGTGGGCGATGGAATTAACATATTATATTATTATAGTTTTGTTTTTCCATGAAATCTATTAAAAGCAGCGTTGCCCGCGATATTAGAGACGCCAGTGGATATTTACTGCCGATTTTTCGTAATTCAATATTTCATTCGGTTAACTAATTAAAAAATACTCGAATAAAGACTGTATATGGTGTTTCGTAATAAGTTTAATAAGAAAGAAGCGATTCAAAATAGTATTTTTCACGTCGAGTTTTTGTGGTATATTGCAAATTTGTACCAACTGAAAAGTTATGTTTATAGTATATAGCATTGAGAGATATTTTTCTTTGTTTAAAATAAGCAAATGTTCGGTAAAAACCGTTAAAAAATCTGGCGATGTGCTTGGCAAAATAATAACCACTTTCGGCAGCGATGCGATGAGAATAAACATGCGAAATGTTTTCGATGAGAAAAGCACACTTGTTGAATTAAATTTGAAACAGCGGTTCTCAACTTATCGAGCACACCAAGTCAAATTGTTCATTTTTTGTTCAACTTTCAACTTGTACTACATTTTCAATTGGACCTACCTACTATTGAAGATTGCAAAGAAAAGAAATATTGATCGTATACTCACATTAGAGAGTTTTTAATTTTGAGGGATTGAGTTGAGAACCAATGGTTTACGCTCCTTTAAAACGACCTAACTATACGAATAACAAAATGTCAATGCACGATAATAAACACATGTTTCCTTCGAAATTTCAACCATACGAATTACATATTTTTTTGCATATACTGCGTAATGAGGATTTGTTAAAGCGCCGGGCACTTCGCGCGTACAATTCGCATTAATTCCACCAGCTTTTCGCTCGGAACTTTTCTCTTCAAATTGCATTTCATCGTTATTTTTACCGAAGAAAACGGTAAGCAAAACGCGAATTCAGGATTGCCTCAGATGCCCGCCGGACGCGTCCGTATCAATTAACTCGAACCATTGTGTTATACAACGCTTTTCATAAAATCGTGACGGAGCCTATCTGATAATAATAACGCACTTGATGTGTGTTTATTCTATTTGGTGTAAGCCGTGTTATTTTCTTAAATGTCATAAACATGGATTGAAGGCTGAAAAATCGGGCGTGGAAAAGCCATTCGACGCAGGAGATATCTTGCAAACTGCGAATCCAGAAAACTACCTAAAATTTCTATTTGAAATATTATGTTTTGTCGTTAGAAGATAAAGAGTTTTCTTTAGTATAATTTGTAGTTTTCTCTTGAAATTTGTCTCTCTAGATGCAGATGGTATATAAAGTAAATGTGGAATAGAGCAGGTATAGAGTACAATAGAGTATCTATGAAATGTTACGTTTATTATCGGTTCAATCAAGAGCTGGTGGCACTTTGGAATTACCCAAGAGAAAAATCGACGAAATATCGGTCAAGGATCGAACGTAAGCATTAGCCCACGTATGAAATTCTCGGGTTGCAAAGGAGTAAGAAATTTATAGTCATGAATGGAATTTACAAATTACCTTCAATTAAAACTAATTTCTCAACGTTTCAGTACCTTTGGTGTAAACAACGTTATTTATGCTATATTCGATTATAAGTTGTCGCGTTAAACACGACGGTAATGCGACCTGTGCAACGGAAAGCTACATAACCCGATTCGAATATACATCTACAGGGTGGTGCATAAAAACCACAATAAGGATCTCATAAAATCTACCAGAATCTCATAGCATATAAAATGATGTAAATAATGTGTAACATAAATATCTAGCAAATTCATTTAAAATGTGGAAAGTGTGCTATAATCTCTCATTTTTACTTCATTTTTCCTTTCGCTTTGAAAATTACCCCAGAAGATAATTTTCCCTCTACTTGAAAACGCTGCGGATAACCAGCTAAAATTAAACCAGTTTAAAATTTACCTCTTAATAATTAACCAATTATCTATTATAGAGAAAAATGTAACTTCTATCTATTAGTGTCGTCACACCAATAATAATCATATTTATCAATTATTTCCGTTTATAATTAATTTTCCAATGAACTGTATAATAACAAGTGACATTTCCCACACCACTATACTTAAGACGTTTAATGAGTTAATAACCGTTTTAAATTCAATTATAGCTCATCTTGACTGTGGGTAATTAAAGAATTAAAGCCTTTTTGTCCGTTGAAATGGAAGCAGAAGCAGATTGCGTGCATCGTTAGAATTAACGATACATAAAAAAAAAAGAATTATACAAATCGGCAATAAACTCGGTTTTTCCAGCGAAAGCGCTTTGCAATCGGAAAACGCTGCTCAATTCGACGCACATTCGGTATTTTTCCTCTTCGAAACGAGCAAAGTTGTAGATTAATTGAACTGATTTGCTGCTTGAAAAACCGAATAAATCATTCATGTACGGTCATTACAACGCCAATAAAATCCGCATGAATAACGCGAGGCAAAAAATCGGATCATTTCTCATTTCATAATTGCTAGTTGAAGTACAAACAAACGCTTATTTGGACACGATCATAATTGGTGGTTTCAGTTGTGTTTAATTTTTTCCTTCGCGATTTATATGCGCCTGCAATTTATTGCTGCATCTAATAAATTCGTGGTGTGTTGTTTGTTTGAAATTGAAAACAGTAAAGTAAAGTGCACAAATTGTTTATATTGTGCCAGAGTAAATCGAAAATGAGCTAAGAGAGTATGTATAGCGATAGAGTAGGTAACGAGAGATCAATTGATTGGGAAAATAGTATTAATGCAAAAAGAAACGATTTGACCCCAAAAATGGAAGTTTCTTTTTTCTTCATCCTTTGCGAATCTAATGCAATTTTGAAGGGCATACGACAATTTGTGGATTTGCTATGTTTGTTATTTGACAAGATCATAATACCGAATCGAATTCAACCTTGGAGACGTTCGTTACATAACGAAATAATAGCAAAATGCAGTGAATTATGTAAAACAGTCGGTCCAATTTATTCACCTATCTAAATTGCTATCTTTGCGGCGACCTGACGCAATAATAATAATGGGTAGGTCAGCCCGCTGATGCTCCTACAGATTTTCGGAATCTCCATCGACAAGAATTATTCGCCGCACGATCGATTAATCCCATTGTTTCGACGTGAATTAGCGATTATTTTCGCGCGCATCTGTGCGTTAAATAGCCGAAGAATT